TCATTAAAAACTCCCGCAAATTAGCTAAATCACGCTCCTAAATATTGAGACTAATAAACTACTTTCAGTTTTTGCTTATTTTCCAACTGCATACATTCGAGCTATCAGTTTCCATGACGGTAATTCTGACGCTACCATATTCACCAACCATATCGGCGTCGTTTTCATTCTGATATCCAATACTAATGTAAGGCAGTATCTTCCATAAAAACATATAAAGAGAATATGAAACAAGACTAAAGCATAAATACTGGCTCTCCTTAATTCAAGAAAATGTAGAATTACTCTACCAATATAGTTAAGATGAATTTTTACAGGAGTTTTTTTCTCAGGTTTGAAATTGGCAGGAGCTTTTTATGGCTCCCACACAATTTCATAAACATGAAGGACTGATACAGGAGATCCTGAGTTTCTATCTGATGTAGGCAGAGAAAGTTCATCAGAACATCCAATCTAGTTTCCCTTTGTCAGTGTTGCAGGACGAAGGGCCTGTCATGGAAAAATGCCTTGCAGTTCATATACAATGAAATGCAGAGGTCCTGTGATAGCATGTTAAAGATCCACAGAGTGTTGGAAATTTAAATAAGAGTAGGCTTACTTTATGCACCACTGTCCAGTCAAGATTCCCCCATAGCACACTGCATGATTTATGCCCATCTTCATTAGCCCAATTGGCACAGAAATGTGGGACACTAAACCCCATTTTATTTCATTTTTTTTTGTCAATACTGTCAATGACAACACTCAAATAATATACAAATAACTTTAAAGGTACATTATATAAGATTTAGATAAAGACCTGATAGTTCTCGCTATAATAGTTCAAATATAGATAATGAAAAAGAAATATATTGAAAATTGCAATCAAATTACAATATTCTAACTAATAAAAGTTATCAGTGACTGAAGTTTTGATACAAATAGCTTAGTCTTGATTTTCATTGCTACGATTGTTATGCTTAATTAACAAAGTCTTGATTATCCATTTTTAAATTAAATTATTAATTGGTGATTCAATACATTAAAAATCACGGCCATGCAATGGTCTAGACTCTATAATTGGATTTGATTATATGGGTTTGTCATTTGAATAAATGTTTAATTAATAACTGAATTAACATTTTGAGGCCAAAAGAAAGGGCATATTTATTACATAGATGTATTGTATCTTTAATAGACATGTACATGTAGTTGTACCAGGAAACAATGACAAACAGTAATTTATATAACACTTTATATAAACTAAACAGTTCATAGTGACTAACATTTACATTTGTCTACTTCAACATGTCAACTTCTCACACTTCTCTAGTAAAATAACAATTAACTACATCTTGTTAGCTTGCAGTTCACGCTAAAACAATATCTTGTTGGGTTCAAATATATATGCAACAACCTTTGTGGACTGTTCAGACGACCTGCCTGGCAACCCATTTTTTTTGGCATGGGATGATGATTTTTATGGGTCAGTTATGTATGACCTTGCCCTCTCATCCCCAGTCCCCCCCCTTTATTCTCTCCTCCTACATACATGTATAACATTTTACGTTTTCCTCTGCCACCTGTTCTCTCCTACATGCTTGATATTGCCCTATTCACCTTCTCCCTAATCGAGTAGTGAAAAAAGTGACACAATTCAAAATGATGTCAGTCTTTAACTATATGTAAACGTGATTAACTTCTTCCTGTTTGCTTTATAAACTGATCAATAAATACACAGATCAAATAGATCATATACACGTAGCTTTTATATTAATTCTTTAATAGCTTGTGAATAGATCAAAACACTTTATATCCATTTCAAATATACAGTTGTCCTAGTGAAAGAGAGAAATGGGGTTTAACTTTCACTCAGCACAAACTATGTCATTTCAGGACTAACATAATACATATGGTTCAAAGTTATTTCAATAGTTTGCTTGAGGGTAGGGATCTTTATGGGAGGAAACCGGAGGATCCGGACAAATCCCACCAGTCACCAGATTGGACAAGAGACCTTTACATGTACACATGGGGAATCGACACCACGCCAGTTTAATCAATGACAGACGTCTTATGATCCATTCGCCCGGACTGTTGTTCTTGATATACTAAAGGACAATAATCAAGACAATCCACAAATTAAGGCTTTGTCAGGCAGAATTCCTCTACTCTTTTATTTGTGTTTTCGATGATATTTATATTCATTTCGATTGTATTTGAACTGGAGAGCCTTAGGCTTTTTTCGAAGATGAGTAACGGTGACTCTTGGAGACCTGTGCCTTGTCTAAAAATGATAATTAAGGGAGTTTATTGCAGTTTGGAAAACAGCTTATTATATATTCAAATTTGTAGACTTTTTTCAATGTTCGGGGAGAGCAAAATGTGGTTTAAAACCCACGAGACGGACACCAATTTTTATTTCAATAATTCGCTTGTACACAGAGGTCTTTAGAAATTGGAAAACCCAGAGATAACACATGATGTGTGGGAGACCCTGACCCTTATCTGATTCAAGATGTCCTTATTAATCATCACATACATGTAGAAGCCTGGGATCGAATCATTTAAGAATTTACTCAAAATTGTTCACCTTCTTTTAACTAAAATATAGCCCTTTATAAAACTTCCTTTGTTTCAATATATCAAATAAATCAATAAGAATCTATGTGGCAAAGTTTTGTGTTTCTGCATAAAAGATATTTTTCATAAACAGTGATTGAAAGATGACAAAATTCTTAACTTAAGGCTTCGTGAACTTGGAGCCAGGTATTCAAACAGAAACACCAAAAATCTTTTTGGCTACTTTTTTCAAATTTATTACCCCTCTTACACACCCTACCCCCCTCTCCCCCATCATCCTTCCCAGCCTAGTGTGTTGATATAATTTATTGTGTGTTTGTGTTGACAGTCGTCAGTTACAGCCAATAGTAAAATTAGTAGATATCAAGAATAACATAGGGTTTTATGTACTACTCTTTTGCACCTACTGGGCTAATGAAGACAGGCATACATCATTTTGAATTCCAACTGCCAAGGGTTCCTTTACACACACGCTAATGGGTACACAGCTAGGGCATTGGTTTTTCGTCAAATCTGAACTACTAGATTCGGTTCCTTGCCAGACCCTCTGTGAACAAGATGAAAACAGGGTTAGGGCACAAGATTGTTGCCGAGGATTGTGGGTTAGGGTTAGGTCTAGGGTTGACCTTGAAGAAATCTGCGGATGGCCTTAATATTTTAAATCTAACCGATTTTGCTCATCTCTACTCAAGCTTTTAAACCTCTTAATACTCACTTCCTAAATATAATATTTTCAAGAGAGGATGCAGCCATGTCAGGAAACCAACAGTGATACTTGTGTTCCCGTTAGGCCAAATTAAAATAATACATGTTTTTACTGAACTTATGTGTACCCGACCGACCTTATTTTTGGAGCAAAAATCGATGGCTCTACACTAAATAAGTCTTGTCATGGTTTTTTTGTAGACAAATATCGACAATGAAATTTTGGTATTTGCAAACAGTCCAAATTTGCAGTATCTTTCAGAACCTTACACTGTACGCAGTAACTGAGCTAGAAATGTGAGGAAATAAACAATGAACACCTAATAGGCCTACTAATAATACCAACACCTTATTCTAAATAACAAGACACAGGTTACAGAATGCAAGTATCGATGTAGGCTATTAAAACTAAAAGATTAATTTATTAGTTCAATTCTATCCAACTTTACCCCACAAAAACTGTTTTTCCGACCAACATTATTTTGGGGAGTCAAGTAATCTGGCATTGCAAGGGTGAAGCATCTTTATTTTTCTAAAATTATCCATAATAAAGCAATAATCATATCAATTGTCAATTTGAACAATCTCATCCTTAAATATTGCCCCAAATACAACAAAGCTCTGTTCAATTTCTTGCTTTAAATACGAAATAACCCCATTCAATTTCTTGTAAAAAAAAGTTGCATTAGTAAGTTGTTACAATTCAGAAGTTCATAACTCTGTTTAGTTTGATAATCCTAGAGACTGGAAAAACAAATAAACATTCTCTTTTATAAAGATCACAGAGGATTAATTTACTATCATATGACAAAATGATTGGTCCCTAGTAGGGACTCCTCACATATTGTAGAGTATTATTATTATTGTCCCTGAGGCTAAGAGATAATTTTATACACTGACGACAGGCAAAAATAGTTTTATAATGCCTGGTGACTTTTTACTATACAGTATTTAGTTAAGAATGACAGAAGATTTGTTATGAATAACAAATGGGGTTTAATGTCCACTCGACACAAACTAAGTCATTCTGGGAGTAACGTATGGTTCAATTTCATTTCAATAATATGCATGCACGTATCAGACTCAGTCTGTTCCAATGAATATATTTCTGATTTCGACTGGAACCAGGAATTATTTTTATCCATGTGTTAAAAATAAAATTACCTAAACAGAAATAATATATGTATAAGGAGCTTTTATTAAAAAAAATAACTGATCCGTTCCAATGATTATAGTTCTGATCTCAACTCGGGTCAAAACTTTTTATCCATGTGTTAAAAATAAAATTGAATGGACAGAAACATAAGGAACTTTTATAAAAAAAAAAACAACCAAAAAAACTGATTGGTGCCAATGATTTTTCTGATCTGACTGGGGTCAGAACTTCTATTTGCTTCTAAGCTTTTGAAGCAAACAAACAAGTGTCTGTCAATTCATCTTTTTCACATGCTGTTTTTGTCTGACAGATGCCCAGAGATAAAAACAAGGTCATGTTGCTATTTTTATAAAACACAGAAACTCATTCACAAAAATCTCACACACGATATGACTTTGACATTTTCAAAATCATGCAAATAAATAAAATAATTTATCGCTTCCTGCACTTCTGATGTTCTTGTGTAAAATTGCTGAATACAAATCCTATGAAAATGGGAATAGCTTTACAGAAAATTAATTTTGACAGGCGAATTGTCTACAAACAACTAGTCTAAAAATCTAAATTTTCTACTTACCACCCGAAACAGTTTCCAAGGCCCCAACAGCTTTCGTTCTGGCGGGGATTTTGTCATCCATCCAGAATGAACCACTTCGTGCTCTAGTTTATTCATTGAGCCTCCTTGGTGAAATAATCCCAGATATTTATTCAGAAATTTAGACTTGGATCCCATGAAAACGCCGTGATTTTTCTACCAAAACACACCATTTTGCCCTACGATGTCTCGTAAAGGAAGTCGAACACTTCATAGAGTCATAAGAAATGCAATCGGCAGTCTCCGGCAATTGATAATTTCAAAACCTAAAGTCTAAAGATAATTTTTCAATATTTTCTATTTGATAATTTCTAAATGAAGAACTAAATATTTAAATTTACTATAACAGATTTTTTTTTCCTTTGAATATAACAAATGTATTTTTTTTAAAAATATATTTTAGTCAATCAAGAAAATGGATTTACATAAATCTTGAAAATAAATGTTGACTAGGTAACTTGATCATAAAAGAATGTCTGAAACGAAGGATAATTTTTTTAAGACTGTTGGATAAATTAATTAAATAGCCGTTGTTTTTAATTCCTGGCACTAAGCCCTGTTTAATTTTTAAGCCAATTCAGGATAGAGTGGCCGTTTGTATGAAAAATGACAAACTGGAAATGACATCACATGTAAAGTGAAAGCGGATTGGTGTGTATGTTGACATATAGCCAATGGAAGGCGTTATTAGAGTGTGTAATTTAACTATTTATAGAATATTGGGAAGCGGCGTGTATCTACATCATAATGACATTATTTATGACATAAAAATGGGTCGTAGTTAGGCCCCTAGCCTTACGTATGTTGTAGTTTAGTCACAAGGGGTGAAGTTAACAATTTGACATCCTGTATCGGGTAAATTTAAAATAAAAACCAGCTACCTTAGTAATATATGATAGAAAAGATTCATTCGCAGAAGGTTGATAATTTATATTTAATTTATAATTCATGTAGTACACGGTAGCCCTCGTACGATTGGGAGGAGGGAGGTAGGTGGCTGGATGGGGCAGTAGTGGCAAAGATGTTGTGGTATTCAGGCACTGTCAGTTGTATATTATATAACTTGGGTTTTATGTAAGAAAAGACACAATTCTTCCAAGCAGAGTTCGGTTTAACCAGATTAATTGAATTGGTAGAATTGGAAGAAACTTGAAATACACTGAAAACATTGAAAGTTGTATTACTCTGTTACATAACAGTACCTTTTAATACAATGTTTACTATGAACTATAGGTCATATTGCACAGTAGAATACAGGTACCTATATTGAAATATTGTGCTATTGTACTTTGTTACATAATTAATAGTGCATTTATGATCATATTGCACAGAATCCTGGTGGATATTGTAACATTGGGCTAATCTGTTACATATATGGTGTGGTTTATGTATATATATTTACTATGAACTATAGATCAGATACATGTATTGCACAGCAGAATCTTCCTTTATGTTGGTTAGCCTGTTAAAAGGTCTGTGACATTATCTTGATTTTAGAATTGTTTACTAACATTTCATGTTATCCTGTTCTGAATAGCACAAAAATTATAGACGTGATGGCCTAGTAAGTAACCAGGAAGTTCAGGGGCTTCTGCATAAAAATGAGCAGGGGAATGTAGGTATGGGGTTTTCTCTCTGATTTCCTTCCATCTGACCATTTCTCAAGGAAATTTACTCTTTTAAATGTATAGGCTCTCTCCTAGTCCACATGAGCAGAAGGGGGTGGGAGGTGGGGGACTGAACCCCACTCCACCCAGGTCACTCGTCTGAGGTTAGATTACAGGGTTGGCCAAGAAAGTTCCCCAGGATTTTATTGCTTAGTATGCGTCTTGTCAATGGTCCAGCATGGATGGTGTGAAAACCGATGTCGTGTTTACACTTTGGTGAGCAACAAACCAACAAAACCTTGCAGTTAGAATTCAATGAAGTAGATGGAAAACATATGCCACAATCCGGGCAAAATTTGTCTCATAGCACAAGGTATGGCTTATGCCATCTTTGTTAGCCCAGTCGGTTAATCTGTTGTTTTTTTATGTCATTGTCACTGCCTCGTTTCTTGATGGCTACAGTACAAATCAATCTGCCATTATTAGTAAAATAAACACCTCATTTCCAAAATGTGAAAATTTTAATTTAAAATAGATAAATCAAGACTTTGTTTATTGTTAACAGAACACAATTTTTATGGGAAACAATCACTGGTTTTATTCTAATAGCACGACGTTTCGACAAGTATCCTCTTATCGTATCAAGCACAATCACTAAATGCCACTTAAAGATTTTGTTTATTGTTGTACATGTAGTTAGGGTACTGAACAATCTAGACTATCTACGCTGCAAACATCAAACACTCATAACTTTGCTTAGAATAAAGTAATTGGACTGAAATTTTCAATATTTTTTTTTTTCATTATCTATTTTTGAACTATTATAGCGAGAACTCTCAGCTCTCTATCTAAATCTTATATAATGCATCTTTAGTTCTCTGAAATACAGCATCAGTAGAAAGGATTGCCTACCCTAAACCAATCAGCATACCGGTACATGTAATACATGTACATGTACATACACACTGTACATGTAAATCAAGCCTAAGATAAAAACTCAAATTACAAATTCCATCATAAATTTTTAATTCTATTTTTATTTTATTTTCAGGAAGTAAACATGAAAGACAAAAGTTAATGTCTGCCTCCATGTCTGTGGAATAGAAAAGATTCAACTCAGTTCTTCAGCAACCATGAGGATTGGAGAACAGTTGATATGAACGCAACAAAAAATCAAAAATATCAAGAGTGATGCAGATTGAATATTGATCAGATATTATAATAAGAAGATATGTTCCATGTGCTCCCAAGAAAAATAGCCCACATGTCTTGAATATTTCTTTCAAGCTTTCTCCGAAATAAGGAATATTGACAAGATATAGGCATGGCAGCCATTGTCGTGTGGAATTGTAAAATGTGTACTTTCGAGAACGCGAAAAAGGACGATAAGTGCGAAATATGTGAATTTCCCCGTAAAGATAAGTTTTCCAAAGAGTCTGAAGTATTAAAGAGTGACAGGTTATCTAGTGTGGGTAGCCAGAATCTCGAAGGTATGCAGAAAAATGGACATGCAGACGGCAGTCCCAGTATGATTGTCAGTGATTCGGCAACAGAAGTAGAAAAAACGCGTACAGAATGGACGTGTAAACGATGTACATTATTAAATTCCGCTGAAAAAAAGAGATGCAGTGTTTGCGAATCTCCGCGAGTTGTGAAAATACCCACAATTCCAGACAATGTAGATATCAGCCATATTAAACCTGATATTAAACCACAGACGGCCGTGCCCAATAAAGCACGAACCATCATCCCTGATGTACCCATCAGTCAGGTTATTCGACCAAAAGATTTTAAGAAAGCGACCCCTACAAAAAGACCAGAATTGGCAATGGAACGAAAACCATCTACAAGTAGAGATGAAGAGGACATGGAATGGGCGTGTGAGAATTGTACGTACAGTTGTAATCCTTCCTGGGCCAAACAGTGCGATACATGCAGCTATTTCCGACCCGCTGTTCCTGGGCAGACACCAAAAAGTCCAATAGAGTTCAAAAACGACAGTGTTAAGTTCTCCAAAACCGCTTCTCAAAACGATAGTCAGTCATCAACGGAATCATGGGCATGTAGTCAATGTACGTTTAGAAACGATAGTGATTTCGAGATGTGTCTGATGTGTGGTTTCGGTAAGAACCAGTCCGAGAACATTGCTTGTGGAAGCGAATGGGTCTGTCCACGCTGTACGTTACATAACAAACAAACACGAACTAAATGCTCAGCTTGCGGCTGTAAAACGGGTGCCATGGAGACATCAGGTATTACGCCATCCGGTGGTGGCGAACAACCGGCATCCATTTCTTCCATCACACAAGAAGTTGGAAAGCAGAGTATGTGGTCATCTGATGAAGACAGTATTGATAAGTCTATAACGTCTGCTACTGGTACGCTAAATACTCGTAACAGAACCAAGAGAAAAATCGTGAAGGATTTACCGGGGACATTATCGAGGCAGGAGAGTTCTCTAATGGATGATTTACTGTTAATTGAAGTTGAAGAAGCTTTGGAAAGACTTCAGTGTATCCGACTCTTCTGTAAACAGGTGGGTGGTTTACTTTCTTTTAACAAGTGGGTGGTTCACTTAAGGCAAACAGGTGGTTGGTTCATTTACTGTAAACAGGTGGTTGGTTCAACCAGGGTTCATTTCTTGTAAACAGGGGGCTGGTTCACTACTCTAGAAACACTCTAAACCCGCGGACGCCTTTACAGAACGCTAAAATGAAACAGATTTTGAACGCGTCCAACAGGATGAGTATTCAGATTTATACGTCTGACATTCAGCACAGAACACATAATGTTCTTAACAAAGTAATACTAAACGTTCAAATTCGAACTGATGTATACGTCTGCCGTTCAGCACAGAACACATAATGTTCTTAACAAAGTAATACTAAACGTTCAGATCCGAAAACTGGACGCGTTCCGTAATGAACGCAAAAATGAAACAGATTTTGAACACTTGAACGCGTTCATTTGCTGTTTGCTAACAGATTCATTGTACTGGATTAACTGTATATATATAAAGCCACAATGAGCGAAAATATTGTACAGAAAATGAATTTTGTCAGTGCATCAAGAATTAAACTTACATCAATTACTTGCACAATGGATTCTTTTTTCATCGCACCGTTTTGAGTTTCGATCTCAATAAAGTTGATGACAAAAAGGCCCGTCATTCACCTTACACCTGAAAAATGTGATTCGAAATTTAAATGTAAATACTTTTTAAAAAATGAAAAAAAAGTTTCATTGAATCAGTACATTGAACTAAAAGCTGTAAACGAAATTTTCTGCAGGCATAGTATCACTGATGTACAGAAATACTTTACCAGTTTTATTTAGCAGAAGCTTAAAGTGCACCGTATTCGGAAATTGTGTTGGTTTTTTTTCATCTACTCCTTATAAAATTCTTCGATGTTAATCTTCTTCATGGGCGGTGATGGAACATGCTAGACCTAATACTGTAATAGTAGACCCCTACCGCTATAAAAATGACCAAATGCATCAATACTAAATACTCATTACTGATAACTGTAAATAACGCGTGTGTGTGTTTGTTGAGGGGAGGAATGGGGGTAAAAATAAAAAGCTGAAACAACAAACAGTTTTTGTTCTTCTTCTGAACACGAGGTGTTCTTCTTCTGAACACGTGGTGTTCGAAACAGAACTCACGTGACGTATAACTAGAAGGGAGATAACTATGTGTCCAACCTTATACGTTATAGTCTACAGTCAGCTTCCCCGTTTCTTTAAGGATATTTTAAAATTAGACCCACCTGTTCTAACACTCTTAAAAATGTCCGCGTTCCTCTATTCATAACAATAATATACATAACTAAAGAAATTTGCCTTCAGTTACAGACGTCTTACTCTTTGAGACGCCACGGCCCAAGAGAGCGGTAACGGTTGACATGATTAACAGTAAATCAAAATACTCAAGGAGGAAAATAAAACTAAATTTTCTATTGCAAAACTTACCGTTAACAAAGTGTCTATGCTGAAATTCATCATTGTACACTGATTAGTGATTCAGAGCTGGATTTAATGTCTTACATCAAAATACGTACAATGGCGTCCTAGGTCGTCTTTGAAAGTGTGCACGTGACTCTTAACGCATGCTCATAAGGGCATGTTTGTGTGAACGGTGTGGATGTTTGTCTTAACGCCAGGCGTTGGGGCAAACAAGTACAACGTTAACACAAACATGACCTTTAAAAGCGTGTTCGCAACTCTCATTCGAAAGGTTTTAATGGTATTGCTTCGAAGGAGATTCTGTTGATAGGCTACCCCAATGGATATATATTAACGTCATTGGGCTGCCTTTTGTAAAAAAAAAAGAAAAAAATAATCCTTTATTTAAAAAACAAATAAAACTATATCTGGTTTCTTAATCAAATATTAAAACTGCCTACTTGTACTTTTAAGTGCAAGTTGGCAGTTTTAATAATTTTCTATGAATAGCTTGTTCATAGAGAAAATTTGACGGTGAATGGATGACGCAAGGTGTCCATTCTTCAAAACATCTCAAACGACGTCATGTGTTCTGTTATTAATGTTTAAACCCAAATGTGTTCACAATCGAACAGTCTGTGTTTACTAAATCACAATGAACACTCGGCGTCATAATTCCAAATCATATAAAGGACGCTCTGTGTTCGCTTTTTAATGGCTGTGTTAAATAAAAAACATTATGTAGGCAGATTAAAACTTTGTGTGTTTACAATCTAACGCGCTCGGACGCGTCTTGCGTCCACTGGATTTAGAGTGAAGGTGTTTGATTCAAACATGGTTCATTTACTGTAAAAAAGGTGGCTTGTCCACTTACTGGAAAGAGGTGGCTGGTTCATTTACTGTAAACAGGTGGCTGGTTCACTTACTGTAAACAGGTGGTTGGTTCAAACAGGGTTCATTTACTGTAAACAGGTGGCTGATTCACTTACTGGAAACAGGTGGCTGGTTCACTTACTGTAAACAGGTGGCTGGTTCACTTACTGTAAACAGGTGGCTGGTTCACTTACATGTACTGTGAACAGGTGGGGGTACATGTACAAACATGGTTCACCTTCTATAAACAGGTGGGGAGGGGGTACAATGGCTACTAGTATAAAAGATTGTTACAAAATTATTTTTTTCCGTTTTTCAGAATAAAGAAGAATTTGTTGACGATTCTTTTCCACCCTCTTCGAAATCTTTGTACCTGGATAATAATTCACGTTTCGCAGCTCGGAACTTCCAGTGGCTGCGACCACACCAGATCTCTGCGTATACACGAGATGAATCAAAGTTAAAATGGGTGATTTATCGAACCCCAATGCCAGAAGATATTTCTCAGGGAGTTCTGGGAAATTGTTGGTGAGTTGAGGACAAAATAATTTCTTTAATATCAGACAGTGAAATGGAATATGATTTATCCTGTCATCCAAGTTTGAAAGGAGTAATTTTGAAATTACTATAATGCGGTAAAATATTAAAAAAGAGCATCTTTCTCATGCAAAACCAATTATTGCAGAAAAGTAGGACATTAAACCATTTTCGATCTTCGTTAGCCTGTTTGGTTCAGAAAAGTAGCATGTTAAAAACCCAATTACATTTCATTTTCATTTGTCTTACCAAAAAGAATATCATTACAAAAATTAACCTAGTCATTTGATGATCTACATTCTGTGTAATTTGTGTACACTTCTCATTGAATAAGAGGCGTCTCAGTGGCTCAGTGCTAACTAGGTCTCCGGTTTGCTCTGGGTATTGGCCAAATTTTCAGCCGTGGTGCAGGATGGGGGGGGGGGCGCCTGACAAGGATCAGTGTATAGTTGTTTGGATCGTACGAAAAATCAAAGTCCGATGTACACATTGGTGTGCATGTAAAAGAACCCTTGACAGTTGGAATTAAAAATAAGAGTAGGCTGTAGTTACTTTTGCAATTTTGAAGGTAAATTTTTAAAGTTTCAAAGTTAAATTATTACATGTGGACAATGGTTTGAGGGTTTGTTTTAAACTATTAATAGAACTCAGACCGTACGAAACAGCCCTAACTATCCCTCCTTCGACTGGAAAACTATTTACATGTCTGGGCAGTTTGAGGCTGTCTAATGAACATCACTTTCAGATTGTGTTAGAATGTCCAGGAATGTATCAATAAAAATCCATTTTGACATCATTTCGAAGCATATTCTCTCAATGTTATTAGTTACAATTGCCTCTTACAGATTTTAAGATCCTAAGTTGTGGCTTCAGATTAAACTATTATACAAGTTAATTAATGAGATATTTTTTTATTTCAACAGATTTCTAAGTTGGATATTAAACTTTCACAATATTGTAGTTTGCAAGGGATTCCTATATCGTTAAATGATGAACCAAGCCTTTAATGAATGGGATAATTTTTATTTCTACAGGTTTTTAAGTTCATTGGCTGTTTTGACTGAGAGACACCGGAGCTAGTGGAAAGAATTATTGTAAGACCTCAGCTGTGGCTTCAGATTAAACTATTATACCAGTTAATGAATGGGTGAATTTTATATTCTGCAGGTTTTTAAGTTCATTGGCTGTTTTGGCCGAGAGACCAGAGCTAGTGGAAAGAATTATTTTAACGAAAGAATATTCGGTTGAAGGCGGGTATCAGGTGCGTCTATGTAAGGATGGAATGTGGAAGGTTGTGTTAATTGATGATTATCTCCCCTGTGATGAAAATGGCATGCTGGTATTTTCTCAGGTAACCACCATTAATTGTTTTCACACAAAAAGCCACAGATTGTCATTTTACCTTTTTGAGACATCTAGGTTTCTATAGCTTAATCTCAGGAGTGTGTCGTTGGGGGGGGGGGGGAGTAAAATACAGATCTAAATTTCATTTGTTTTTTATACTGTCGATGTCCTCCACTACATAAAGATCTGACTGGTTGTACAAGCGTCATTTGACCCTATGACATCAGATATTTGCAAATACAACTTCTGCTTTGTCTTCGCTACGATTGTCTACCCACAGTTCTGTGCACCACACGCCAAGAACTAGCCACAATAGTCACAAACACTGGCTAATCCCTCACATTACCCAGAACATTTGTTATATACATGTAACAACTCTTCCAGAGTCTAGTGTAGTGAAGGCAAGTAAAACAAAATTTTAAATTATAAAAAACGAAATGAAAAGGATCCGTGTTTTAATCAGATTGCCTCAAATAGCAATTTAGAATCCCTCAGGTGTTGATCATAGACTTTAAGAAAAAAGAAAGAATGAAGGGAATTGAACATCATTTGTACATGTAGTTCTGTCTAACACTAATTTACTTGCTTTTTATTTTTGGAAGGGAGTCATGGTGGCTCAGTGAGTAAGACACTGGCACTCTAACTGGGAGGTCTTGGGTCCACTCCAAGTGTTGTCTGAGAAAATTCCTCAGAATTTTCTAGCAAGGTTTTCCCCTTGTCATTTGTGCCGTGTCTAGTCGTTCTGATATGATGAAAACAGGTACCATTTCATTTCATTACTTTACATTTTAATTTAGGCCAAGAGAAGACAACTGTGGGTACCATTGATAGAGAAGGCCATGGCTAAATTACACGGTAGTTATGAGGCATTGGTTGCTGGGAAATGTATCGAAGGTTTAGCTACGTTAACTGGAGCTCCGTGTGAGAGTATTCCACTACAAGGTAATCTACATTAAAACTTCTTATAACATTTCTACACACTTATCTTCAAATTCCAACTGTAAAAGGGATCTTTAACTATTTTTATGTTAGTCCCGAAATGACCTAGTTTGTTTGGAATGAAAGTTAAACCCTATTTCTCTCTCCAAGTGGGACTGGGTAATGAGATAAACATAAATTAATGTAATTTGGGAATAAAGTTGTTGTTTTTTTTTCTCAAAAACTCATCTTTTCTACCCATTTGTAATCAATTTTAATTCTTCTTTTTTTTTGTAGGAAATGAACAGAAAAAAAGAAAAGTAGAACCTGATTTAATCTGGGCAAAGTTACGGAGTTGTCGAGATCTAAAGTATGTATTGTAATTTTTTCGACATGGTTTCCCCTTGTCGGTAATGCCTACATGTAGTTGTTCGGATGGAACAAAAAACGAGGTCCCATGTACACATTGGCGTGAACATAAAAGAACTCTTGACAGTTGGAATTCATTTGCTGTCCTGGTAAAATTTACCCTCATAGCACACTGTATGAAGCCCAGTCGGAGCAGAACAGAAGGATGTTAAACCCCATTTCATTTTGTTTTAAAGATCCAGATTTGTTTTTTTTAGATTTTTAATGGGAGCATCATGTGGTGGTGGTAATATGAAGGCAGACACAAAACATTTTGAAGAAGTAGGATTACGATCCCGTCACGCCTACTCTATATTGGACGTACAAGATGTTGAAGGAAACAAGTGAGTTGTCATTTACGTTTACATTTTTATGTGAGTTACAAATTAATATTTCTAAATCAACTCATAGAAGATTTATGGTTCAAAATTCTTGAATATACAAAAGCATGTTACAGCCTTCCTACAAAAATCATCCTGAACTGGTTCTCACGACATAAGAGACTGCATGAATCTCAGGAAGCATCAGAAACTGCCTCACTAACCAGGAGGTACGATGTTCGCCTTGATTTTCTAACATGGTTTCCTCTTTCATGTAGGTGGGTCGTTTTCTAGTGGTTTAACAAGTGCGCATGGAATCATAAGGTCTGTCATTGAGTCAAGTGACATGGTTTTGATTCCCTGCTTTCCGGGTCCTCCAGTTCCTCCCACCGCTAAAGACCCCTACGCGCTAGCAAATTATTGAAATAAAATTGACCTAGTTTGTGTCAAGTGGACGTTAAATCCCATTTCTCACCCCCGCTTTCAAGTATGACTCTCACGTTGTGTCATATTGCTATATAAGCATTTGATCGAGATTGTAGCTCAGGATTTTACAGCTTAGTTTCCTTGTGTCAGTGGTGAAGGATGGTTGGCCTGGCAAGTAAAAATGTCTAATCCTTCGGATGGGACAAAAATATGTAATCAATAATATTTTCTACAATTAATTTTGATTTAGATTGGTGCGATTACGGAATCCATGGGGAAGATTTTCATGGAAAGGTGATTGGTCTGATCAGTCAGATAAATGGCAGTTTGTTAGTCAGACGGTTCGAGATAATTTAATGGTACACGGAGAAATGGATGGAGTTTTCTGGATGTCCTTGTCTGATTTACTCATGTAAGTTATAATAACGGTAAAATTTATATCATTCCATCCTCATAGATTTCTTCTATAAATTCTAACCCGGCTGGATGATTTACTCAATACTACCCAATACTAACTAAATACTACCAAATACTATCTCATCTGGATGGTTGGGTGACCAAATGGTTAAAGCATTCGCATTGCAATCATGAGATTTGTCATTGAGTCAAGTGGCTAGTTTTGATTCCCCGCTTGTAGGTGACAAGGAGTAGGGTCGCCTGTCCGGATTTCTCCCACTGCTAAAGCCCAATACGCGCAAGCGAATTAATGAAATAAAATTTAAGTATATGTTAGTCCCGAAATGACATAGCTTGCATCAAGTGGACATTGACCCCAGTTCCTTGAAAAAATGTTTTGTATGTTGAAATGAAATGGGGTTTAAGGTCCTACTGTTCTACACCGACTGGGCTAATGAAGACGTTTTTTTGTTCCTTGAGTTTTGTAGCTCATTTTCAAAACTGCCTGAACCTGTTTCCTAGACAACCGCATACAACCTGACTCTCAGAATTCCTGGTACTATATACAGTCATTAAATAGTTCTCAGCTACTGGGGGAGAGAGAGAGAGAAATAGGGTTTAACGTCCACTTGATACAAACTAGGTCATTTCACGAATAACATTGTTCAATTTTATTTCAATAATTGACTTGCAGGTAGGGATCTTTAGCGGTGGGAGGAACTGGAGGACCCAGAGAAAAACTGCAAGGTTAGACAGGCGGCCTTACTCCTTGTCACGTATGAAAACCCCACCTCTTGAGTCAGTCACTGACCTTACGATCTAACACGCACGTGTTAAATTATTCGGCCACCCAACCTCCCTCTCAGCTAAAGGGTTAAAGAACGAGATAAGAAACATTATTCATTTTTATTTCCAGATATTTTGACAGTATTGATGTTTGTAAAATCCGTCCTGATTGGAGAGAGACTCGAATACAGGGTGTGTTCCCGAGAAATGCCATGGAACCAATGAAATTAGTTAAATTAACGGTATTTAATACGACAGAGTTAGAGCTGGGATTGTTTCAGGAAGGGATAAGGTAAATAATGCTGGACGGAAGTGAAATAAAATGGGGTTTAACATCCTATTTTTTTGCACCAACCGAGTCAATGAAGACGGGCATTATGCCATGTAGTTTGTGAGATTTTGTCATGATGTGCATGTACACGACAGAGGTAAGAACAAGTCGCGGGACCCTAATTTGAGTCCCATGTCGCGGGACCTTGAGTCCGTGTCAAGTCCTAAGTTGCTGACTTTAGTACTGAGTCGAGTCCCAAGTCTTAACAAAGCCTGAGTCCAGTTCAGTTCGCCAGTTTATGGTGAATAAGGTAAGTTAGAGTCATGCCCCCTCACCGCAACTCGATTCCTGAGCTCTTTCAAGTCACAAGTCATCACAACTCTGTAGTCGAGTCTCGAGTCGCAATAAATATTTCAAGTTGAGTCGTAAGTCAGACTCGAGTCCCAGTCACTGGACTTGAGTTCCCGCCTTTGATACACAGGTCCTCTGTTCTTTAGGTGATCGTTAATCTCTTGTGAATTTTGAATCTCTAAAAAGAATATCTGTCCATAAATGGTTCAATTCCGTTCAGTATTTACAAAAATATGATTAGTCTGCATATATGTTGCCTGGAAACCTATCTTAAACTTCTATTAAAAGCAAATTAAAAGTTGATCATGCAGATTAACATGGCTTTTGATATAGAACTCTGATTTTGCATTCCATTTTATTTTTGTAAAATTTGAAAAATCTTTTTTTGTATTTTTAGAGGGAATGACAGTATAACTTTAGATCTATGTATCGTGGTTGTACGTGAGGTGAACAACACGACAACGGCAGCAGGCAAGCTAATTGGCTGTAGTCCAAGACAGTTGCGTAGTTTTATAGGGTGTAATATGATGATTGAAGAAGGCCAATATCTAGTTTTATGTTTAGCATTTAATCACTTCTCAACAGGTTAGTAACAATCTTTTTCATTGGTAGGTAACAAACTTATTTATTTATTATTCGAATCAGTTAATAACAACCATTTTCATTGGTTCAACAAGTTTGTAACAAACTTATTCATTAGTCGAAACGGTTAATAACAGCCCTTTGCACTTGTCTAACTGGTTAGTATCAACCCTTTTCATTGGTATTAACCGTCTTTATCAAACATTGTATTGATTATTTTGTGTATTATTGATTATTTTGTATATTATTGATTATTTTAGGGACTGTAAAACCTAAAGGACCTCTACATCAATATGTCCTATCTATACATAGTTCTAAACCTGTTATGGTGGACGAGATAACCACCTATAGAAATCGTCAATACGAACATATTCTACCAGATGCTTGTATACAGTTAGCACTAGCTAGAGGGAACACAGAGGAGGTGAGAGACATATTTACAAATATTCTTAATTTCCAGCTCAGTGAGAAGGTGATGACTTACTAATTAGGTTTGATCCCGATGTTGGGTGAGAAAGTTGCTTAAGATTTTCCAGTGTGCAGCAAGGAAAAAATGTCTAGTTGTTTGGATGAGACGGAAAACTGAGGTCCATCCATGTACTCTTCATTGAAATTGGATGATTAGTAGGCAGAAGCGAAACTGCCTGGGTAAAATTCCCCCTCCTATCACACTGCATGGCAGTATGCCCAACTTTATTAGCCTGGTTGGAGCAGAACCCTGTTTAATTTCATTTCACGGATTTCCAACATTGACAACACGTTTTACATTTTGATCACATTTAAATAAAATCTGTCTTTTTGAACAAGTCTACTTCCTTCCTGTCATCACATAGTCAATACACATCGGCCAGATGTTCTCTGTTTAGAGATAGCAGTAATTTTTCGTTATATTAAAGATTCACCCTCAATAAAAGAGTCTGACAAACTGCGTTGCTGGTACGATATTTAGAGCCACGAGCAAGCCTGGACATCAGACACCTGTCACAGGCTTTGTTCTGTACAAAGATTATCACACAACATAGTGTGGAATATTTCATATATTATTATATTTAACATATTATTAGAGAATCGCCCGGGTATAAAAGCTTGACTAACATTTATTATATTGTTTATTATAGATTCGCCCTGGTATAACAGTTTATACTCTGATGAATGGCTGGGCGGGAGGAATATTTATGGTAGAAAATCGTCTGCCACAGAATTGTGTCAATGTCCTATGTGAGTGTACGAACAGCTCGAATGTTGTTTCAACTCGTGGAGAATTAATCACTAAAGACTGTGTTCCAGCTTTAAGCAGGTCAGTTCAAGAATTTTCTTTTTTGATTCCTCAGACAACTAACACCCAATCACACTACTCAAAATGATGATTCGTCACCCTGTGCCCAATCATAAATTGATAATTCCTCACCCAACACCCATTCACAAATTGATGATTCCTCATTCAACACCCAATCACACTACTTAAAGGAGCTAAATTGCTAATATTTGGGACCTAGAAATTGACAAAAATGGTTCGCAACGCATATAATAATGTAATATGAATGTATATAAACTGATTTACATTCAGTCGTTTCTGTTTTTACTGTAATTTCTAATCAGTTATGTTCGGCGAAATACGCCAGAAGTCTCATGTGAATGGCAGTCTTTAACGTCTGGTTTTTCCAGTCTACATCGATGATATTTATTGCGCATGCTCTCCAGATAAGAGTAAAGCGTCACCATTTGACATGACTTGTGGAATATGTCTAGCCCTGTTCTTTGAGTCCCTTGTTGCAAATGGCACTGAAACGCATTATGGTACACGATCCGTGTACCAATGGTAAAATGTTTATTTTGTCTTGAATATTGGATATCAGAAGCCCATCTTTTCCCTGTAAGATCACAAGACCAATGTTGATTTGAATTGACAAATAATTTGTGTTTTCAATGTCGAAGATTTTTGATGATATTGAGTTAGAGACTTAGCTACTTTAAAGTGAACTGTTTCAATGGCATTTAGTAATTGAACTGTATACTTTAAAGTGATGATTCCTCACCCTGTGCCCAATCACAAATTGATGATTCCTCACCCAACACCCAATCACAAATTGATGATTCCTCACCCAACACCCAATTGCAAAGAGCATTATAATGTTCATCAAGAAAATAAATGTATATTGTATATGACTCAGTGATTTTTTTTTCAAATTTTGTTGAAAATCCCCAACCAACCCCTGATGTAACTGTGCTGTTGAATCATTTCACAATTGGTCAACGCACTAATGCTTCAGAATTTTCCAGTCTGGTTTCCCCCTTTTCATTGTTGCATAATGGAGGGCCGGGCAAGGAAAAACCAAGGTCCATCCACCTATGTACCCAGTTGCATGTATGTTAAAGAGCCCTCAACAGTTGGAATAACACAGCAAAATGTTCGTCTTCTTTAGCCCAGTTGGTCCAGAAAAGTAGGACGTTAAATTTGATTTCATTTCAAAACGGTTCTGTTATTTCAGAACATTTCAAATAATGGCAACCTCTATCAACCCATCATGTTAGATTTAATTTTAATGTTGTTGTATTTTTACAGACAAATTTTAATGGTATTATCACATTTAGAGAGAACTCAACCATATCACTTATCACGACGAATTTTACATCGTATCTCTACGCCAGCTTACGGTCTCAGCGATTGGGGTCCGCCAGGTGCTACAAACATTCCTCCTTTGACACCTCCTGTAGCTCTGCTTCATTCATCCCGACCATTATAACATTATCAACTTCAGGGTCCAGATCTCGACCATTAAAACATTATCAACCCTAGGGTCCCCCAAAAAAACCCGAAAGGCCCAAGATAAAGAGGATCTCAACCATTATAACATTATCAACTCAAGGGTAAAAAAACAAAACCTTGAGGATCTCAAACGTTCATGGTCAGAAAAAAACTGAGTGATCCCGGCCATAAAAAAAAATTATGTCATTTCATTTCAACATTGGATTTTAAGAAAGTTCTTCTGACCCCAACCTTTACATATCACATTTTGAACACTGATCAAGATGGCTGCATATTCTACAGGAGAAAAGTCTACCACAGTGCTTAAGGAAGTCAGAAATTCCCACACACCAAATTAGAAACCACAAGGGTTGAGGTTATTGGTAGGTGAACCTAACCCTGACCAAGAATTTCCGCTACATGAAAAAGACCGCCAAAATCTGCTTGATCTCCTCCATAATGGACCATATCTTCCCAACAGACCAAAAAATAGGCAATATCATATTATACAGACAAGATGTCCAAGACTCATTTAATGGATGCCATCAAGATGCCCATGACCCTTTTTTAATGGACACCATCAAGATGTCCATCATATATTTAATGGATGCCATGACTCATTTAATGGATAGCCTCAAGATGTCCATCATATAACAGTAAACTAATGGACACCATTAAAATGTCCATCACATATTTAATGGACGCCATCAAGATGTCCATCGCATATTTAACAGGTGCCATGAAGATGCCCATAATAGACTCCATTAAGATACCCATGACTCATTTAATGGACACCATCAAGTTGTCCATCATGTATTAAATGAATGCAATCAAGATGTCTTTGAAGATTAACAAATTAATAAAAGTGTTGTGAACACAATTGATCAGATCTTCCCCTCAATCCACCGCACTGGCTACCACTGTTAAGCTTGAGAATTTCAATTTATTATATATTATATGTGATTTATTATATATTATATGTGATTTATTATATATTATATGTGATTTATTATGTGACATATATGTGATGTATTATATATCATATAATTGTGATTGACGGTGTCCATATTATGTATCACATGTGATTTATTATGTATCACATGTGATTTATTATGTATCATATGTGTTATAAGTGTTTTTTTTTTAGTATTTGCAAGTCTTAAAGACATGATGTACATGGAACATTGTATATAGTATTTGTTATTATCATCTGGTCACAGTATAAAACAGATTTTAACATGTGGACCTATAAATAACCCGGCTACCCATGGTATAGATTACAATTATTGCTCTGAGAAGAATGACTACCATAATTGTTGTTTCTTAGCTCTTTGACATTTTGACTGCCCAAAACCACCAGTAAAAAGGCTTATCCCAGTGGAAAAATTATATATGAGTGGGGTGCAGCAAAGGTTATTCGAGCTAGTTCAGTTTTCTCATCATGTCACCATTTAGTCTGTGGGTCGAGAGCTACCCGGTCTGCCCCTCTGTATGTAGTTATATTGTTGTTATTTGTTAAAAGGTGTTTTTTTTATGTCCACCCAGGGATTATTGTAATATTTTATCATCTACGATGTTACCTTGTATTATATTATTTGGGAGCTGCAGTGACTCAGTGAGTAAGGTCTTGACTCGCAAACCTGTAGGTTCAATCCCTGTGTTGGCCAAGAAATCTCCTTGTGAAGGACGGAGGGCCTAGCAAGGATAGTATCTAGTCGTTGATGTGGGACAAAAAAAACCAAGGTCCTGTTGACAGTTTGAATTTGAAATAAGACTAGCCTGTAGCGCTGCTGTCCGGGCAAAGTTTTCCTCAAAGAACACTGCATGGCATATGCCCGCCTTCAGTAGACCCAATGAAGCAAAAGAATAGGAAGTTTCTTGTGCTAATTGGGGACATATAGATAAAAATTTGGTTTCATGGTCTAAGTGGGGTGTTTGTGCCAAATACAGGGTTGTTATCAAGTTTGCCCATTCTACGTTTAGAAATTGTTTTTAACCACAATAAAGAAATAGGCAATTTTTGTAATTGTCTGAGATGCATTAAAATTGATTTTGGTGGACAGGGTTTCACTTTTCACTACACTACTGGTCAAATGGTTTAATTGTTTGAAATATGACTAAATGTGTGTTATGACCATTGAATTATGTTTTTATGTTTCTGAGATAAATATGGCCAAGTGTTTAATTGTTTGAAATATGACTAAATCTAACATCGTGTGTTATGACCATTGAATTATGTTTTTATATGTTTTTGCATGATATTAATGGTTACATCATTTATATGTTGCTGAGATGGTTCCATCATTTATATGTTTCTGAGAAGGTTCCATCATTTATATGTTTCCGAGATGGTTCCGTCATTTATGTTTCTAAGATGGTTCCATCATTTATATGTTTCTGAGATGGTTCCATCATTTATATGTTTCTGAGGTGGTTCTGTCATTTGTATGTTTTTGAGATGGTTCCGTCATTTATATGTTATAATTATTGTTCTGTGATCTTCGTGTGTTATAATCATGTTATATATCTGTGTTGGGTTCATGTGTTATATTCATGTGTTATAATCATGTCATGATTCAAGTCTTGTGTTGGATTCAAGCTGCTCATCGTCATTTACATTTTCCACGGTTAAATCCACAATAAGATGTAGCCTACATTTATCATTAATTCAGACAATATATAATATTTCATATTTAACATCAAATTGATAAAATGAACAAATGAATGGTAGATAATCTCCAGGCTTCAATCAGATAGCGAAAATTATAGGTGGTGCTGGCTTATTTTTACCATATGCTGTTTATATTCTTTAATTCATCATATTTTTGTAAATATGGAATGGAATTGAATAATTTTTGGACTGATATGTCTTTTAGAGATTTGACTTTCACAATATTATTATAATTATAAACTATAACACATGGAAAATGTCTCTAAAAGATTAATATTATAGTTAGCAAGGGATGTCTCATTCCCTCAAATATACATCAGGAATTATAAATATGTTTAACTACCTCTAAGGTATTGTTAGTTGTATTGTGTATTTCGATAAATTTTTATCGAGGTATCAGAAACTCTGGTTCCAGTTGATATTTGCAGGTAATGACTTACCTATATGACTTACCTGTAGGCAAATTGATATGACAAAATTTTGTTGTTTTATTTGTGAATAATAAATGTATTAATCAGAACAACTTTCTTCCCACATTTTTCACTTGTAAAAATCACTTAAAACATATTATGTATATAGAACACCAGGAAAATCAAAATGTATTATGTATATTTAACGCCAGGAAAATCACAATATTACTATCAAAACATTATGTATATTTAACACCAGGAAAATCACAATATTACTTTCAAAACAGAAATTGCATGGCAAAATTTGATGATGTAAAATTTACTTATGTTTTTCTCATTCTTTACTTTTTGCTGATGCAAATTCACTGTCATTTTTCATCTTTGCAATTTCCATTAATATATCAAAAAGTTGGCTCCATAATTAATAAACCACAAAGTAAAGATCACTTGATTACCAATGATAGATTGATTATTAATGATAGATTGATTATTAGAAAATAGAAACTGTAAATATATGACCTGTGATTTTTTTTACAATATGAACAAAAATGCAAACATGAAATGTTTTGATTTGACAAATAAGGCAAACTGAATTTGTTTTATAGTTTTAGCCCGTTTCAACATTTTTGTTCATATATCATAAACAATGAATTGCTACTTGCGACCCATTTTGCTATCATGAGTCACATTTTACCAACATAATGTGTCTTATTGTTTGGTTGTGGCAATGATTTTATTTGTGTCTTAAAAAAATATCCGAAATACATTTTACCAATTTGTAACCCTTTAGCACTTTGACACCCCGTCACATGCATAGCAATCGCGCCCACATGAACTTATAAGTGGTCCTGTCACATATCTCGGCAGTTGGAGACAATCTAATGAACAGCAGTTTCTGACTGTTTTGTTTTGTTAAAGGTTATACCAATATTTATTATATAACTTTTCTCTAATTTTCTTCAAGGAACTGGGGTAGTCAATAAATATTTACATGTACCCAGTTCTAAAGGGTTAAAATACAGATGTGACGTCATCCTTTGATGTTGGTGTCCCATCATTTTAAATAATTTGTTATACTAGTTGAAATTTTGAACCTGTGTGATGTATTTCATTGCAAAGCATGTGCGTCGTTGCAAAGCCTTTAATTCAAATAATAGTACAATCACTTTACAAATCCGACATTATCTATACAAGATGGTGTTCTCATAATGATTTCAATAACAGGAACATGCATGACTTTATAATCTGTATTTTAAGTTGTTTAAAGCCCCCCCCCCCCCCCCAACATTTAAACCAGGCTTAAAAATGTTTGACATCAGCTGATTAAAAACAGCACACAACACACAGTTTATATGATAAACAATTACTGGTGTATACACACAGCACTTTGCCAAGTGTTCTCTTATCCAGATAGATTGTGTTGTTTATTTTTATTGTGCTCAGTGGCAAAACGCCACTCAATGATTGTATCAGCTTATTACTTGGCAATATTTTTAAAATGTTAGGTTATATTTAGCCATGACATCATATGTAAATATATAATTCTGTTAGCACTATGTTTCAAAGGCAGCGATAAAAAGGTTGTGGTTTAGAAGTTTATGAAATGTAGAATGTGCCATATAAAAGTTTTAAGGTATTTGTAATTTATATCAAGCTGATTAAAACACAGATACTATTTCGTTTTGTTTTTTATAATTCAAAATTTCTTTCACATGTCTTTACTACACTAGGATTTGGAAGATTATGGTTGATGTGAGGGATTAGCCAATGAAACGGTCTGTTGCGGCGAGTTCTTAGCATGTGCTGCACGAACTGTGGGTATCCCACTGATTGGTTAATCAAATGTCTGTGGGCATAGGGTCAAAAGCCCTGACACGACCTCCCACTACAACTGGTCAGATCTTCATGTAGTAGAGGTCATCGAAAGTATAGAAAAACCAAACGAAATATAGATCTGTATTTTAATCAGAATGTAATTTATGTTATATATTGTTTGTGTCCACATAATGTTAGTTAAAATGACTAGACCTTTACTTAAGTTTGTTTAGACAGATATCAGTAACAAAATATCCATCAGGCAGATATTGATAACAAATATCAATTAAACTGATATCAGTAACAAATATCAATTAAACTGATATCAGTAACAAATATCCATTTGACTGATATCAGTAACAAATATCCATTAGTAAAACATACCGGTATCCATAACAAATATCCATCGGGAACATATCCAACAGTAACAAATATCCACTAGATATTCATAACAAATCTCAACTAGAAAGATATTAATAACATATATTAACCAGACAGATAATAATAACATTATCAATTAGTACCAGATATCAGTAACGAATATCAAGCAGTAATGGATGTCCATTGGACAGATAACAGTAACAAATGTCCATTGGACATTAGACATATATCGGTAACAGATATCCATTAAAGATCTATTTCATACTCCGCTTGATACCATAATACGCAAAAGTGGCTGATTTTTTAATGATCACATTGATGTTGATTTCGTGTTGAACATTTTTAATTATTACAAGTTTGTATCATGGCATAATGTTTTAAATTTAACGGTACATGTCAAATATTCTTGTACATTTTTTTTATGCAGTGTTTATAAATATTTGTAAGGATGCAGCCTTTTCATTAGTCTTCAATTAAAATCCGAGTAATGAAAGGGCTGAATTCGAAAAATATTTTAGTTTCAGTTTTCTGTGAATTACTATTTACACAATTTTTTCATATGTTTTTTGGACTCCCTGTCTTTGATTACCCAGTAAACTGTATTACATTGAGTATTTATATTGTAATTTTACCCTCTGTATTGTCATGGCAAATCTTTTGCCATCGCTACGATATTCATTACATGGTTTAAGATCTAACTATCTATTTGCAATTCGTGTGAATTCTCTTTTATGGTTTTGATTGAGTAAAAACGAACACTGCTGAAGCAAATTTCCTAACTAGTAAAAATGCATTATATAAGGGCTTAATCTGCCTATTGCAGGTCTTTTTTCTGGCTTCAAATTGTTCATATTAATTATTATTTAGATATTTATTTACTTGATAAGCGCCCATAATCAACTGTTAGAATATCCACGCCATTTATTAATTTTACGTTAAAATGGATAATCAAAGAAATGGTACTTGACAATCAGGACTATTTAGACTAAATCTTGTCAAAACTTCAAATATAACTTACTTCGCTCAGAATAAACTTATTTGACAGAAAATTTCAATAGGCCTAAACTATTATGACAAGAACAGTCAGCTCTTTTTCTAAATCTTACATAATACATCTCAAATTGAATCGGGGACGTTAAACCCCATTTCATTTCATTTCTAATTAAATCGGTGGTTTGATTTCTATAATAAGTTGAGTTTAGGGTTATTTTTTGGGATATGAACTAGATTATTCAGAACTAATTATATTTATTGTTCCTGTTAAGAGTGGTAAGGCCTCTATAATTATTTGATGTGAAATTTTTAAGTTTCTGTGATAATATTAGTCAATATATTCACTTGTATATAATTAAATCTATTAGTGAAATTGTTTTTATTTGAACAACAAGTTGGACAGGTGAAAATTTATTTTTTTGCTCAAATTTTACAAGACCAATGAAACGATGAATAATGAAAGAAATAAATCAATGGTGTGGAATAAATATTTGTGTTTTATTGTTACGGTATCAATTTTTGTCGTGTATATAACCAGAGAGCCACGGTGGCTGTGTGTGTAAGGTGCCAGCTTGCTAACAGGGAGGTTTCTGGTGTTGGCCAAGAAAGTTATTCGGAGGAACTATGCCAGAAAAATCACAAGGGACATTCTCTGTCGACCTCCAGGTTTGCGCGCAACACCTACTCATTTAGTGTAAGTAAAAGAGAACAATTAACTACTGTCCAGGCACAGTTTCCCTTATAAATGAAATGAAATGGAGGTTTAACGTCCTACTGTTCTGCTCCAAATGTGCTATTAAAGGGGGGCAGACGCAATGCAGTGTGCTAGGAGGGAAATTTTGCCCGGACAATGACTACACAGCTGTCCTTATCAGGCCCTCCGTCTGGCACCACTGCCATGGGGGAACTACGTCGGATATTGGTGGTAACCTTTATTTGCCCACACCCGGTTCGAACATGGGCCTGAAGGTTAGCAAACCAATGTCTTACTCATTGAGCCACAGTGGCACCAATATATGATATTCATATGGTGTAGCGACTGGAATTGGGTGTTCAATTTTACCATACACCTCCTGTTCTTTCATAGAATGCTCATAATTTTTCACGGTTAAGGAGTCAATGCTTCGCTGTCTGTGAGAGGGTAGGGCTATAGCTAGTGTCAGTAATCTCATTCACTCTTGAATATTGTCTACAACGGGAGGTTTAACGTCCACCCGATACAAACTAGGTCAAGTTGGGACTAACATGTTACAATTCTATTTTAAAGTGGGAAAAAAATTAAAGACCCAGTGAAAACCCAAGAGGTTGAACAGATGACCCTACTCCTTGTCACATACAAGTAGAGAATCGAAACCACACCAGTTGAATCAATGCCAGACCCGACATATTCCGTAATAATAACAAAGTAAATCGTTTTAAGATGAAAAAACTATTTTATTTTTATTTAATCTAAGAATATGATTGTGTCTATAGCAAATCTGTTAAAGACAACAGTTATAAAGATGTACGACCCTGAATAATTAAAATTCTTCAATTGTCCAAGTAATTCAACTTTAAATCTATTTTCACCCTTTCAAATCAATCTGAATATCTTATTCTGATAACAAGACAAAGTAGACCCTGAAACAGTTTTTAACAATCTATAAAAATAAAATCAAAGTGGGTCTGTATGTATGTATGTTCGTTTGCCCATCACGATTCTTCGCCCAGCTCCACCCCCACATACATGTATCTGGTATCAAATTAACCTGCATGACAAACATAGTTTTAAAACAAACTATCAATATAAATCAAACATACATGTATGTCTATTGAAGTGGTAATGAAATGGGGCTTAACGTTCCACTATTCTACCCCAACCGGGCTAATCGAGACGGGTACGCCATACACCAATGGCTATCAGGGAAAATTTGCCCAGACATTGACGCTACAACCTACTTTTATTTCTAATTCCAACAATCAAGGGTTCTTTTACGTGCATGTTAATGTGTACACGGGACCTCTGGGTTTTTTCCATCCCATCCGACCACTCAACACAAACTAGGTCAATTCAGTACTAACATTTTATTTAAATAATACACTTTCGTGTAGGGGTTTTTAGCAGAGGGAGTAACCGACGAAAACCTGATTTTCAGTCTGAAACACACAGAACTGTAATCAGTGCCAACTGTAGATTGTACAGGGTTCTGCAAGTTCCCCAACATTTAACAGAAAATTTCTGATGATACTTTAAAGCCTCTGATCATGGTTTGTATTTTTTTCGCAGAATACATGGGTCTCATTTTCTCATCAGGGCTTCATCAAGGGATTTTTTGCAAAAAATTTGAAACAAATCTGTCAATCCCTTGCTGAGCCGTACATATATATATGTATAAATAATATACATTTATTATTTTGGTAATCATAATGCCCTTTTAAAATTTAATAAGAGTCTCTGTGTGTTATTTCCACAATTTAACCCACTCGTACTCACATTGATTATGTAACATTTTATTAAGAATACAAAATCAAAATATTAATACCAGATAATCTCTCGACTTGGATTCGATCTGATTGAAATAGCAGCCCATGAAAAGATTTTAGCAAAGATTATGTGTGGCCGTAATTCATTTTCACCATATCATGTTTACATCATCAGCCGAATGTTGAGATATTTTCAATTCAACATATCTTTGTAAATACTGAACAGAATTAACCCATTTTAAGACTGATATTCCTTTCAGAGATTCTGCTTTTACAATATTGTAATTACATGTAAATGTACAAACTGAATCATATTTAGAGATTTAATTTTAGAAATATTGTGGTTTGTTGGACTGATATTAATTTTTTAGAGATTCAATTTTTATAATATTGTAGTTTTTGCATAGTTTGCCATTGAAAATTCCTGAAGTAACGATCAGAGACTAATTATTTGACAACGATAATATCCCTGAAGTGACGATCAGCGACTAAGTATTTGACAACTATAAAATATTAAGTAGTATTTATAGTAAAGGCAATAGATCTATTAAATTTTAAGTTACTGAAATAAAATGAAAAATAAACTAACAGGTGTCGAATCTGGATCTGTACATTACATGTATACTCTGCACAGACATAGGCGTACGAGCTGGGGGGGCTGGGGGGGGCGCCTGCCCCCCCATTTTGGGAACCAAATACTGGGAAAATTTGGGCACACAATTGTACTTTCTAAAAGTTGTATAAAAAAATATTGTGTTCTTGAATGTGTCCAATTTAACAGCGAATTTATTATTATTAGGTAACATACTAAGAACCTAACTACATTTTTTGGGCACCAACCACCACCGCCCCCCCCCCCCCCCAGTCAAAAATTTCCCCGTACGCCTATGTGCACAGAGCCTCATATATCCCAACATGGAGTGACACTGAATTCAATTTAAACATGTCTTCCTATTTTCTGGAGAGATTGTGAAATGTATTTGGTTTTGATATTTATAATATCTATGTCTCGTATCCACTATGATCATCACTACCACAAAATGTAAAAAGTCTCGAGAGTAAAAATGTTAAATATACGATTTTCCAAATAAAACAAAAAACGATGACTGCCTTCGTTAAAATACTCCTGGTCTATTTATCTGGTTTCTTCACGGTCGGTTTATCACCACGACAACGCGGACAGTACCATTTCCCTTTCGGTTTGTGTGATAAGTTTACACAGTTAAAATGAAACCACTCGATTTGACACTTGTCATTGTCACATCCTATCATTTCACCGTACGATACTTGATTACACAAACAATATCGTGGTTCGTCCGGGTCAATTGGCGGATCAATCGGAGAGTCTGGTCGTTCTTTCTTCACTTTACGCTTTTTCTTCTTCTTATTTCCATTCGCATTATCCTAAAATAGAAAAAAGTAAATTAGACATTATGAAAATTAAATGAACGGAATAGATCTTGAATGCTTGCTGTAATTCTGTCAAGATTTGACCTTTCTAGGGCTAGAATGCTTGATGTATTCTGTCAAGATTTAACCTTTCTAGGACTAGAATGCTACATGTTTTCTTTTTACAATCAAGACTGACCTCTCTAGGACTAGTGCTGTATTGTGTTAACAGCCATGACTGGTTTTGAGTGCTTGATGTAGGGCTGACAATCGATACTGGTTTCAAGTCTCGATAATTGTCGACTATCCGCCGATCAATAATTGATAATATACATGTAGGCAAATTATTTGTACTTACAATTTTTTTTGATAACATTCATAATTTGTATACAAATAATGAATTATATGTGAGTTTATGCTGTAATATCATTATATATACATGTTTCATTGACTTGACAATTAAATAATATCATATAATAATACGAAAACCAAGGTGTTGAAACTCAATCAACTTCATAATCCATAAAATGTAGTTATTTCCCTTTAATCTCATGAAAAGGATTCCTCATCCAGTTCACAGTAACAGTTTATTTTTTTTCATAGTTATTCTCATTTCTCATGTGCAGAAAACTGGGCGCAAGCCCCCAATGCCAAGACTACTATAAGGATAATCTTTGATAGATTTCTTCTTACAAGTGACAACCTATAATTGCGTGATTAACGATATTTTAAATCTATCAATTATCGTTCTTCAAAACACTTTACCAACAATTATCGACAATATCACTATTTTCTGCCAACTTTGGTATGCTGTATTCTATTTAGAGTCATGTACTCTACCAAGCTAGAATGCTTGCTGTATTCTACCTACATGTACAGGCATACACTCTCTAGATCTAGAATGTTTTTTGTATTCTATTTATAGTCACACACTCTCTAGATCTAGAGTGCTTGCTGTATTCTTTTTGCAGTCATGCACTCTCTAAAGCTAGAATGCTTGCTCTATTCTATCTACATGTACAGTCATACACTCGCTAGACCTAGAATGCTTGCTGTCTGTTTACGATCATGCAATCCCTAGATCTAGAGTGCTTGCTGTATTCTGTTTATTGTCATGCACTCTCTACGGCTAAAATACTTACTGTATTCTGTCTAGTCATGCACTCTCCTAGGGCTAGAATGCTTGTCTGTATTCTATTTACAGTCATGCACACTCCTTGCCTAGAATGCTTACTGTATTCTGTTTAAATTATAGGCATGCACTCTCCAGAGTGCTTGCTGTATTCTGTTTGTAGTCATGCACTCTCTAGGGCTAGAATGATTACTGTGTTCTGTTTACAGTCATGCACTCTCTAGGTCTAGAATGCTTGCTGTATTCTATTTATAGTCATGCACTCTCTAAGGCTAGAATGCTTACTGTATTCTGTCATGATTTGATCTTTCTAGGGCTAGAATTACGTTTACAGTCATGCACTCTCTAGGGCTAAAATGCTTACTGTATTTTGATTACAGTCATGCACTCTCTAGAGGGCTTGCTGTATTCGGTTTATTGTCATGCACTCTCTAGGGCTAGAATGCTTGATGTATTCTGTTTACAATCATGCAATCTGTAGGATTAGAATGCTTGGAGTATTCTGTATACAGTCATGCACTCTCAAGCGCTAGAATGTTTGCTGTATTCTGTTTACAGTCATGCGCTCTCTAGATATAGAATGCTTTCTGTATTCTGTTTACAGTCATGACTGTGAAAAACATCTTAATGTATACAGACTTCCAATTCCATCTTTTGTTTTACCTCTGTCATGCTAAGTATTGGGTGGCTTAAGAAAATAGAAAAGCAGTGGACGTTTGGCAAAGCAGAATTTGGAGTAGTGCTTTTCGGAAGACGAATTTCAGACTATGTCGAGAACTTTCAGGAATAATCTAGGGCTCCACATGAAAGACTCTTTCGTTCCATGCCATGTATTTGGTAGTGCAAGGAAATAAAACAGTAGCAGACATTTAGCTTTACCTTATCATCAACAGTTTCACTATTCTTCTGTCTTCGCTGACGTTTTTGACCAGATTTTTCCGGTCTGTCGTTATCGTTTGTCTTTGTTTCTTTTCGTGTCGTCTGACATTCCTCCCTATCCAATTCACGTGGACGATTTATCGTTGGGTCTGCAAGATAAAATTCATCTATTATTAGATACTTAATAACATATCAGTATTTACATTTTTAAACAAACGCATAAAATTTTAAAAAAAAATATTAACCCGTTGGCACTTAACGTAATCACTGCTCCCTCTAACGCCCATATAGCCTGAGTCATGTGAATAACAGAACTATTTAAATTTGATTGTACACTAATTCTGTGACTCAAGCAATTTGAGGTGCTATAAGGATCAGCAGTTTCAGCCATTTAAAAAAAAAAGATAGGTTGCCAGGTAACAAAACATACGCCCACAGCAGCTAAATCGCCCGAGCGGTCGTCAAGGGTTGTCGCATATTTATTCTTTTGTAGGTAATTGGGGGCCTTTACAAGACGGTTCTATACAGATCAGATTATAAATTTTGTCGTTTGAGGGTTTACATGGTTCTACAAACTGAAACAAGGGTCTCGACTCTGGAAGTAATCTACAGAAATTGTTGAAATTTGACAGGCTTTTTCGTTTTACTAATACAAATAATGCATTTAAATTTCATACAGATCACATGATCACTTTTGTCATTCAAACGTTCACAATCGCCATAACTCTAGAAATTATTGACGGAAATTGCTGAAATTCAATAATATTTCATACATATCGGATGATAACTATTATCAATCGAGCATTAACAAGGCTTAACAAAGTGAAACAAGGGCAATAACACTAGAAGTAATTATTGTAAATTGCCGAAATTCAATAGGCTTTTTCGTTTCACTAATTTTAATCATGCATATAAATTTCACAAAGATCGGGTGATAACTTTTTGCGTTAGAGCGTTCAGAAGGATCAATAAAGTGAAACAAGGGCCATAACTCTAGACGTAATAAACAAAAATTGCTGAAATTCAATAGGCTTCTCCGTTTCACTAATCTAAATAATGCAAATAAATTTGACAAAGATCGAACGATAACTTTTGGCGTTGGAACGTTCACAAGGTTCAATAAAGTGAAACAAGGGCCATAACTCTAGACGTAATAAACGGAAATTGCTGAAATTCAATAGGTCTCTTCGTTTCACCAATTTAAATAATGCATGTAAATTTCAGAAAGATCGGATGATAACTGTTGGAGTTAGAGCGTATAAAAACGGGTTCCGGTTACAAAAATCTATGTAAAAAAAAAATTCTTTTCTCTAATTCATTCACTGTACCATGTGCTAAAGGGTTAAACAGTATGTCTTCAAACGTAACATAGCCGGCACATAATATTCTATCTGACATTAAATGATCTTAAATTTTATACTCACATAATTATTTGAAACCATCAATAATCTAAGAAGATTACCAATATATGAAGTTTTCTTTTATCTCATTTTAGGAATCATTAATATTAATTCAATGAATTCAACTTTAATGTTTGAATAGGCCTTTTCAACGTAGAATATTTGATTAGTAAAGTAAACACTTGATGTGAACATTGTTACTGAGGGTGAACATGCGCTTTACACTGAAGGTGATGACATCGAAGACAAATGCTTTGCAGAAACTTGCCATAAGAGTCGGTCATGTTTGAGAGACCAGCATCGGGCAGGAATGGAAGGACAAAATTTGCAGCCCCCATCCTTGTGGTCAAAGACTCAGTGATGCCTGGGACCACAAATAAAATAAACATTTTTTTATACCCAGATTTTCTCTATCTTGATCCAGCTGACGTTGTCGATTCTCAATTATTTCAATTATGGTTGACATTTGATGAAGTTTCTCATCCCCAATCTCCTGACATTTTATCAGTGCTCGTTGTATACCAAGAAAGGCTTTCTTCTTGGCTGTGCCTTCTGATTTGTTTGATGTGTAAGTATCATGATGGTGATCCATATCTTGTAAAATATCTGAAGAAAACAGAAAAAGGTTATTTGAAATCATTAGGCATTTTATTTTTCTAGTTTTACTGTAAAACGTGACACAATTAATTAGACGGAATACAAGTTACTTATATATTTATTTCTGGCAATGTTTCGACCAGGGTTCATGTATATTAATGAAGACAAGATAATACTTGTCGAAACCTTGCCAGACATAAACATCCAAGTAACTTGTACACCAGTTAATTGCACAATATTTTATTTCCAGCCTGTTACTAAATCCTGCTTAACCAATTTTGTGTGATTTTCAGGGTTTGATCTCTGTGTAAGCCTTCATAGCACACTGTATGCCTAGTTCCTTTAGGAACGGTCTTTGATTGTATGCTGTCCGCTGACCGTTCCTACTTCCTAGCGTCCTTATATATCTGCACTATGAAAATACCGCTCTTCACCAACGCTGTACTTGAAAATAGTGTTGAATTAATATAAATTTGTGTCAGATATGGCGAGAAATGATTCCTTTTGGCAAAAAATAAAGAAACATGGTGAAAAATAGAAGGTAAGGATTCCAAAATAGCCTTAGAAGAGAGGTGGGGAAGAGCAGTATTTTCATATTGTAGCTACATGGACGGATAGGAACGGTCAGCGTCCAATCAGAGACCGTTCCTAAAGGAACTAACTGTATGCCCATCTTCATTAGCCTGGTTACTGCAGAACAGTAGAACTTTAACACTATTTCATTCATCTGTATATTTTGTCTAATGTTAAAAATATAATCAAATGGTCATCTTATTTTGCTAAAGAAAAGTAAAACAATACTACAACATATACTGAATACATCATGTCATGTGTATATAAAAAAAAAAGGTAAAAAGAACAATATTAATATTGGTTAAAAACTTTTTTTCATTCAAGGATTTGTGAGTTTTCCTGGTTATTTCTAGTTTTTCTACTTTTCATTCAAGCCACCACACGCACCAATGATGAATGAACTGTATAAGCACCTGACCGATTGCCGTGTCTATTTTTAGCACGTGGAATCCCTCGAAATTAGGTCAATCCAGATCAAAATTCACAGATACGACCCTTCGGAATTTCATTTGGAAATAGAATTTGAAATCAAATCTTGAAATAATGGAGAAACATTAATCGCAAATGGATGCTAAATTCGATTAATATACTCGCCTCTACACTTGATATCAAGTTCTCTCAGAGCTGTCACGCATCTTTGTAAATCATCTGGCAAGCTCTCCATGGTTTCAAGATAATTTTCTAAATATGTCGCCGAACACAACGCCTCTACGGCCGCCTGATTAAACATAGTCATCTTCAACAATCCCTTTTCTTACATTAATTCTAAACACAACTAAAACTTAATTCGAATAACGAACAAGAAACAAATAACAAGAGATAACCACAAGTAACATTTTGCTCCCGCTCCTCAAACGTAAACTAAGGTCGCGTCAATTATAGGATTAGCAGGTGCCCTTTAATACGAAACGAATTATCAAAAATTCACCAACAACTGACAACAAACATTTTGCGAAAAGAAAGTTCCTGAAATCGACAGGATATTAAATATTTCTGGAATCCATTCATTTTATGTTTTGTTAAAGAGATGGAAATTTTATTAAAAATATTTAAAAGATTTAATGTTTCGTATTTGTAGAATTCTGAAATTTGTATAAGGGGTTTTTGACCTATTTTACCCGGCCTTGACTTTTGACATTGACCTCTACAACAGCACATTTACATGCACCAGTCACAACACATACTGGAAGAAATTTGTGAACTTAACAGGCAGTTTCCCCGAGACATGTTGTGTCGAATTTGCGAGAAGAGGCAATGTGTTCCATTTAGACAGTTACAGAAACTTATTGGTGGGAATTCCAGGAATTTCTCCTCGAAAAAACCACCACCAGAATCCGAGTGGAAGGAACCAAAAGAGGGGTTTAAAACAGGAATCAATGTCTGGAATACTTTAGCAAAGAAAAAAGTTCGATTGATATTGAAAAATAAAAACCAGTTATCATGGTAACCTTGATACTAAATCAAGATTTTGGTATTCAAATTGATTAAGTGTGCAACCATTTGCCTGACAAGGACAGTGTCTAGTCATTCGGATGGGACATATAACCAAGATCCTTTGTACACATTTGGCGTGCATGTGAAAGAAATTACCATATATTTAATCCGAATTTGTTTTCCTATATTCTTGGTGGCCTAAGTGTTTAACATATGCACTTTAGATCATATGGTCTGTCATTGAGTAAAGTAGGGTGGTTTCGATTCACAGCTTGTACGTGACAGTGTGGATCGCCTGTTGAACCTAGTCGGTTTTCTCCAGGTCCTCCGGTTTCCTTCCACAGCTTAAGACCCCTACACGCAAGCGAATTATTAAAATAAAATTGAACCATATGGGGTTACATAACATGGACACAGGTGATTGGGTCATCACATGCCGACCTTAATCAGCCAAGTTGGTGCCGAAATGGAAGACCATAAGGTACATTTCATTTCATGTCATCAAGGTCAAGTACAAATTATCACACAACATATATATTGTAACACATACCTTGTGTGATAATTTGTGTCTGACAAAGTCTGTGACTTGAGCCTTTATGTCTAGGCTTGTATGTCATGTCTATAACACTTTATAGCCATCTAGGGAATAAGATGATTATACATTCCTATAAACGACATGATGAGATAATGCAGTGGCTTGAAATGTGATGTGAGAATTCATTTACCCCAGTAGTGATCCTTGGACAAAATAACAGTGCACCCCCCCCCCACCCTACCGCATCAGATTGTTTGGAAGAATTGCATGAGAACCAGAATATTTCTTAATGTATGGCCTTATTTAACATACTGGTAGTTATTTATGTTAGTTTATATTTATTTATAGGTATATGTGTGGTCCGACCGTATACGACAGCGCTCATATCGGTCATGCCAGTTCCTACATCAGGTTCGATATAATACGACGTGTTTTAGAGAATTATTTTGATATTGAGGTTGACCAGGTGATGGGTATAACAGATATAGATGATAAAATTATTTACAAGGCTAATAGGGTAAGATATTTTTCTTCTTCTTCTTCTTCTTCGTCGCCTGTCCAACCTCGTGGGTTTTCTTCGGGTCCTCCAGTTTCCTCCCACTGCTAAAGACCCCTACGCGCAAGTGAATTATGGAAATAAAATTATTGAATCATATGTTAGTCCCGAAATGACCTAGTTTGTGTCGAGACGTTAAACACCATCTCTCTCTCTCTCTCTCTCTCTCTCTCTCTTTCTCTGTTTCTCTTCTTCTTCTTCTTCATGTAGCCTATAGTAGTTCAGATGGGATGAAGTACACATTAACGTGCATGTAAAAGAACCCTTGGCAGTTGGAATTCCATATAAGAGTACGCTGTAGTGCTGTTGTTCAGGAAAATTTCCCTCATAGCACACTGTATGATGCTATTTAAGAATAGCTATTTCTAAGCATGAGATATTGCTTTTAAAGTTAACATTATAACACCAGTTATTTCTAACCACTGTACAATCATATTTACACAATTTTATGCATATGATTCTATTTATATGAATCTGTAAACAGTGGAGTCTTTAGTTAAAGTTTGGTTTTAAATTGAAATAGTTGTATGCCCTCTCAATTAATTGATACCAAAATTGGGCACCCCTTACGCAGATATATGGCTTTAATTTCAACATAAATAAGGTCATTTTGGAAGTAACATATGGTGTGTTCTTATTGCAACAATTTACTTGTACATAGGGGTCTTTAGCAGTGGGATAAAACCCGGGCTCCCTTAGAAAATCAACGAGGCAGGCAGGCAACTCTACTTCTTGTGTAGACGACCCAACCCCCTTGTATTTTAATAAAAGTAGGATTGTCTGATTGTTTAGCTCTGGTTTGTTTTTCAGACGAAGACCCCATTTGTTGAAGTCGCTAAGAAATATGAAATGGAATTTCTACAGGATATGGAGAAGTTGAATATTTTACCAGCGACGCGATTAACACGGGTTTCAGATCATATACAACCAATTCTAGAATATATACAGAAAATAATAGATAACGGTCTAGCTTATACTGCAGATAACGGTTAGTATTTTAAATAGATAACAGTCAGTATTTTAAGCAAACAACAGTCAGTATTTTAAAAAGATGATATCACTTGTTTTAAATGCATGTAGCTAACAGTCAATATTTTAAACAGATAACAGTTGGTATTTTAAATAGATAACAGTTGGTATTTTAAATAGATAGCTGTCAGTATTTTAAATATATAACAGTCATGATTTTAAATATATAAATGTCAATAGTTTAAATAGATAAGAGTCAGTATTTTAAATAGATAGCTGTCATTATTTTAGATATATAACAGTCATGATTTTAAATATATAAATGTCAATAGTTTAAATAGATAAGAGTCAGTATTTTAAATAGATAACAGTTAGTATTTAATAGATAATAATCAGTATTTTATTTAATAGGTAACCATCAGTATTAAGTTGGTGAAATGTATGAAATATATTAATGATTGTATCTATCTAATGTATGTTTAGGTTCGGTATATTTTGATGTTATTAAATATGGTCGCTATGGTAAATTATGGACTCATTCAATGGAAACAGAAGTGAGGGCGACAGGTAGGTATTTATTACTGAATGGATAATTAAATTCATTACATGTGACAGCATGATGAGAGAGATATGATGGCGCATTGAGATCGGCACCAGCTCTTGTACCAAGCGGTCCTGAGTTTTGATCTCGCTGGCTGAGAAAGTTCTTCAGGATTTTCCAGCTTCGTTAGCCCGTTGTGATTCATGTAGGCAAGGAAAATCATCTCGTCATTTGGATGGGACAAAAACCAAGATCCACTGGTGTACTCGTTGACTCATACAGTAAAGACGATTAACATGTCCAGGCAAAATGTATGATGTAAGTCCATCTTCATTAGCCTAATAGGAGCCACAGGGGCTCAGCGAAATAGGCGCTGGCTAACTAACCAGGAGATCCGCGGTTTGATCACAGTGTTGGCAGAGAAAGATCCTTGCGATAGAGCAAAAAAAAAACCATGGTACCATGTTCACGTTGGTATGCACGTAAAAGAACCTTTGACAGTTGGCATTTGAAAAGTGTAGGCCATTGTCCATAAAAAAAGCATAAGGCTCCACTAATTTGGGTATGATGGACATGGAACTAGGCATGCTTGTTCTTTGGACAATTGCACATCAATTGACAAACTTCACATCACAATTCCAAGTTGACTGGTTGCTGTTTCTTACTATGGCTGTACTTGTTTAACGTATTTGACAGATGAAAAGTATAAATTTAACTGTATTTATATGGGGAAAAAACCTTGAATTTATTTGTTAAATACTGGTACTTTAAAACTCTTAATTTTATGGGATGTAATGTAAATTGACTGACAGATAAGGTCTTCAGCCTTTCGGTTTCACTTTTAGTCTGTTAAAGATGCATTATGTAAGATTTAGATAAAGAACTGGGCTGTTCTTGCTATTCAAAAATAGATACTGAACAAAGAATATATATTGAAAACTACACCCATCCGATGGTCTAGAGAATTGATTATGAGCTTGTCATGTGTTTAAATATGTAATTAAAAATGTACAAAATTTGAGGCCAAAATAAAGATTTGCAATAGACAGATTTAGCTCTTACATAATGCATCTTGAAGTCTGAAATGGGAGTCATGATGGTCAATATGCCTTCATTTATACTTGGTTTACTACAAATTATCTGAATTATTTTGTTTTGTTAGGTGATCAATTTAAAAAACACCCAAGAGATTTTGCATTATGGAAAGGTGTGAAACCAGGTGAACCGTATTGGGAATCTCCATGGGGTGATGGCAGACCAGGATGGCATATAGAATGTTCGACAATGGCAAGGTAATCAATTATGTGTTACTAGAATTTTATGGAATGTGCCTGATTCCAACTTGTCAGGAAATTTAAACACCAAAACTATGTCAGCGAGTGGATGGCTGTGGGTCATCGGTAACTGTCTCCTAATGACCCCCCTGTGTGTCTGGTCAGGTAAGTGCGGAAAATCAAACGTCATATATAATGGAATCTGCCCAGTTTGATTTTGTCAGGAGTGGCACCTGTCAACTGACTAGGGAAGTGTGTTTTATCATTTGGATGGGACGAAAAAGTGAGGTCCACCAGTTAACAAATTCTAGTGCACGTAAATCATCCCCTTGCATTTAAATCATCCCTAAGAACAGGAGAACGAAAAGTGGCTTTTGCAGCAATATTCTTCCTCTCGCAATGTGAGGGGTTGGGTGGCTGAATGGTTAACGAATGCGCATTAGATGATAAGGTCTGTCATTGAGTCAAGTGGTGTGGTTTCGACTCCCTGCTTATACGTCACAAGGATTAGGGTCGCCTGCCCAACCTTGTGAGTTTCCTCCCAATGCAGGCAAATTATTGAATAAAATTGAACCATATGTTGGTCCCGAGTGAACGTTAAACAAATCCTACTCTCTTAACTGGGCCAAATCTCTCCCTGCAAATAATTTTATATGGTACACAAAAATATGTTTCAGTGGTGTATTTGGATCAAACTTTGATTTCCATTCTGGTGGTAATGATTTAATGTTTCCACATCATGAGAATGAACTGGCCCAATCACAAGCTCATTATAACTGTCATCAGTGGGTCAATTATTGGCTTCATTCAGGTGAGTTGTTTGACTTCCTGTTGGTCAGGTCAATTGTTTTACTACCTAACTGTTGGTCAGGTCAATTGTTTTACTTCCTGTGGGTCAGGTCAGTTGTTTTACTACCTAACTGTTGGTCAGGTCAGTCCTTTTATTACCTGTCGACCAGGTCAATTGTTTTACTTCCTGTCGGTCAGGTCAGTTGTTTTACTTCCGAAGACAACATTATACACCAAGTAGATGAATACCTGAGGTTGTGTGCTATGATAATTTAAGATAATGATAGAAAACTGTGTTAGTCTCAGAATGAACTTAATACATCCAATATTATCTAGTTTATCATTATCTAGGTCAGGGTTGTCAAACATGCGACCCACGAGCCAGATCTGACCCGCCAAGGGTTTAAATGTGGCCCCTGGAACAAATTTCAACAAACTTGCGTGTCGATAATTCTTTGAAACTAGCAGTGGAAATCATTTTTTCCAGTTTCAGTAAAACTCTGACTTCTGTACTGTATGTTATAAATAGCTAAGTTGTATGTAATACAAGAGAACGTTGTGTTCAATATTATATATTGGCAATTTGGAAACCAGTCTAAAAAAAAATACCTATGTCAAGGATGTTTAGCTTTGTTTTTAGAATTCCATAAAGTTCATGGATGTTTGGCTTTGTTTTTATATGCCCACATTGAAATTTGGTCGTATATTCTCGTTGCCCCCGTCGGTCCGTCTGTCTGTCAGGTGTCCACTATTTTCACCGATTTCCAATAAGTACTGCAAGAGTTGTGGCCCTTGATCACTTCGAAAAATCTTGTGGGCGCTCTAGAGGCTAAAGTTAATATCCGATTGACTTTAGATTTAAACACAGTGTTACACAGTGTTTAAGGTCATGAGATGGAGAATCCTATTGATTTTCAATGATTTCCGATAATTACTGCCAGAGTTATTGCCCTTGATCACTTTGTAAAATCCTGTGGACGCTCTAGAGGCTAAAGTTAATATCCGATTGACTTTAAATTTATACACAGTGTTTAAGGTCATGAGACAAAGAAGGCTATTGATTTTCACCGATTTCTGATAATTACTGCCTGATTTATAGCCCTTGATCACCTTGAAAAATCTTGTGGATGCTTTAGAGACCATAGTTTTCATCTGATTGATTTTATATTTATACACCGTGTTTACGCCTATATATAATCGTTTCGATTGACTTTAGATTGATACACAGAGTTTAATGTCTTGCGACGAACAAGTATATTGATTTTCAATGATTTTTGGTAACTTGAACAGCTATATCCATGGTATTAAATGTTTTGTATACTAAATATTAGCATGGGCCAAACAAATTCTAATGATTTTCTGATAATTACTTAATGAGTTGTTCCTCTTAATCAGATTTTAGTGTATTATAAATGTTTCATTACCAACAAAAGTAAAAATATGCGACAACGCATGTTGACTGCCCCGACGATTTAGCTGCTGTGGGCGTATGTTTTGTTGCCTGGCAACCTATCTTTAGAATTTTAGTTCAATCTATTTTTGAACAATTTTAGTAAGAACAGCTATCTAAATCTTGCATAATGCATCTTTAACATGATTGTCTAGTTTTAAGATGGTGTTCATTTTCTGATTTTATATTATTACATTGTTTACAAGATGTTTATCAGCCCCTAGTTTTAACTTAAAGATACATTATGGGAGATTTTTATAGAAAGTTGACCATTCTTGCTATAACAGTTCAAAGTAGATGATGAAAGAAGAATATATTGAAAAATTCAGTCAAATTACTTTATTCTGAACATAGTTATCATCGTTGTAATATTTTCCTAGAAATGGTAGCGAATTGTGTCTTCACCTTCGCTGATCGTTTGATTGACAGGCGTTAACTCCACCTACATATCTCGATTATCAAGTAAAGTTTTCAATGGCATACCGAAACGCTTTACAGCGGCCTCGCTAAGTACACTCTATCATTTAGCCTCGATCTAACTGACGTATTTTCATCAGGTTACACCTTATTTGATTTAATCAATTAGTGAAATCCTATTTAAATCCGAGCTGTAGCCGAGCCATCCGTGGGTCTACAGAGTTGATTTTGGTCTTGTTGTTTAAATAAAATTCTAATTTATAGTTTCTATAACATCTGAAGCCTAAATTAAGACTTGCAATAATCAGATTTAGCTCTTGCATAATGCATGTTTAATACATTGTTTACAAGATGTTTACCATTTTCTAGTTTTAACTTACTTTAAAGGTTTCACTTTCTATATTTTTCTTTCTCTGTTTAAGGTCATCTGCATTTAAGTGGGGATGCCATCAAAATGTCGAAATCACGCCAGAACGTTCTGACGATATCTGATTTTCTAGATCATTTTACAGCCAACCAGTTCCGAATGTTCTGTCTTCTCACTCCATATAGACATTGTAAGTTCGATTTCTAATTCCGAAAACTACGGTGTTAAACCACATTTTATTCATTGATTGATTTCTAATTGAGAAACAGAGAGAGAAAGACAGAGATGGAGACAGAGAGAGAGTGGGAGTCTTTAGCAGTGGGAAGAAATCGGAGGACCCAGAGAAAATCTATGATGTTGGACAGACAACCCTACTCCTTGTCAAGTACAAGCGGGCAATTGAAACCACGCCACTTGATGCAATGACAGACCTTCTTCTGATCCAATGCGCACATGTTAACCATTCGGCCACCCAACCCCCAAATCTAATTACAAGAAACAGGGGAAAAATTACAAGAAACAAGGAAAAAATTACAAGAAACAGGGGAAAAATATTGGTTACCCTTTAATTAAAGACTTGATCCGTCATTTAATTCAATAGGAAACTCTTGCAAACTATGATATTGTGAAAGATGAATCCCTAATAGGAATATGAGTCAAAAACTGATTCAATTCCATGCAGTATTTACATAGTTATGATATTTTGAAATTTCGTTGATCTATGCTGATGGAGCCATCTTTTATTGGTATAGGCCAGGAAATTATCTAGTTTTGGGTATTTTGATTTAATTAAATGTTAAATAATCAATTAAGACCCTCTGACAAATGGAATTATTATTATATGGCCACATGGTTGTATTGTCGTTAACCCCGTCTGTCCGTTCGTTCATTGTCCACAGTTGCTTATGGACACTCTAAAGCTAGAGGCTAAAGATAATATCCAATCGACTTTAAATTTACATGTATACACAGTGTTTAAGATCATGAGACGTAAAAGCCTAATTACTTTTATTTTTATTTTTTGGGGGTGTAGATATAGAATATAGTGATGTAATCATGAAGAAATCGGCCGCTATTTACGAACATTTTACCAACTGTATTAACATGTGTGACGCTTATGTCAAAGGTCAAATACTTTGTGAACCAATCAATGAAGCTGAATTACAGAACTGGTAGGTAACTATTAACGTACATTATACGGGGATTGAACTTTAGATTGTAAGGTCTGTAATTGAGTCAAGTGAGGTGATTTCGATTCCTAGCTTGCACTAGCTAAAGAATGACCCCCAACGCCCAAGCGAACTATTGAAATAATATTGAACCATATGTTAGTCCTGAAATGACCTAGTCTGGGTTGAGTGGACATTAAACCCCATCTTGTAAGAACATCTTTCACATATGACTCCAATATCTGCTATAACAATATGAAATAAAATGAAATAGGGCTTAACTTCCTACTTTTCTACACCGACTGTGCTAATGAAGATAGGCATATGCCATGCATGTGCTATGAAGAAAATTCGGCCCTGACAGCGGCGCTACAACCTACTCTTATATTGAATTCCTACTGTCAATGTGTATACAGGATCTCAATTTTCTGTCCCATCTGAACGACTAGACACTGTCCTTGCCTTGTTTTCTTTCCTGCACCACCGACAAGGGGAAACCACACCGGAAAATCCGCAGGAACTTTCTCTGCCAACACAAGGAGCAAACCCAATATCTCCTGATTATTCACTGAGCCACCACAGCTTCCTATATTCTGTATATAACTATAAAGATAGAAACAGGCTTTAATAATGTTTAAATAGATATATTATCTGTATTTAACAATGTTCAAATCGATTATATATTACCTGTATTGAACAATGTTTTAATAATATATTATCTGTATTTAACAATGTTAAAATAAAATATTATATGTATTTAACAATGTTAGGATAAATTATATATTATATGTATTTAAAAGTGTTATGATAGATTATATATTATATGTATTTAACAATATTTAAATAGATTATATATTATATGTGTTTAACAATGTTTAAATAGATTATATATTATATGTATTTTTAGTATAAATGAAACAAGACAAGGTATATTAGAGGCATTGGCTGATGATTTCCTCACAGAGAATGTCATCAGTTCCATGCAGAATTTAACAAAAATACTCTACAAAAGTTTTGCAAAAGACACAACGGTAAAAACATACCTTTTGAATTTTAATTAATTTGGGGAAAATGGGACTAATAGATGTTGATGTTAGAAGTATTTGATGTGGCAGTGTAGGGTGGATGTTGATTTAGAAGTATTTGATGTGGAAATGGAAATTGATAATAAAAGTATTTAATGTGGGAGTGTAGGGAGTATTTTATGTGGGAGTGGATATTGATTATAGAAGTATTTGATGTGCGAGTGTGTGGGTGGATGTTGATTATAGAAGTATTTGATGTGGGAGAGTGGAAGTGGATGTTGATTATAGAAATATTTGATGTCAGAGAGTGGAGGTTGATTATATATGTATTTGATCGTGTAGTACTTATTGTAAATTGTTTAAGCAGCATTTAGTAACTGAATAGAATAACATGTGATTATATGGAATACAAGTTAATTAGAAGTTTATTTCTGGCAAGGTTTTGATTAGGGTTCTCTGATCTATGTTTGTTTCAGTGTAGTGTAGTAAGAAGCCCTGCCACGGTTTCTACTGCTGGTGTATTATTACAATCAACGTTAAATAAATTAGGTTTTAATCTCAGACTTAAAGGGGTGAGTAGAGTTTATAATTTTTACGGGAACTGCGTGACTAGGAGGTCTCAGGTTCGCTCCTGGTGTTGGATAGAAAGTTCTGAGGCGATACCGGCATGGTTTCTCCTTGTCATTGGTGCAAGGAACAGTGTCTAGACCTGTGTACACATTGCGTGCAAGTAAACGACTTGATAATAGTTGGAATTTGATATAAGAGTAGGCCGTAGCACTGCTGTCTGGGCAAAATTTCCTTCATAGCACACTGCATGGAGTATGACTGTCTTCATTAGCCCAGTAGGAGCAGAAAAGTAGGATGTTAAACCCCATTTGATTTCATTTACAATCTTGACACTTTTATCTTAAAAAAAATCCTCCCAAGAATGTACATGTCAAGGAGGAGTAATTTCACCTGCTAAACCTTGTAGTTTTTCTCAGAGTCCTCCGGTTTCCTCCCACTACTAAAGACTCCTGAAATAGAATTATACCAAATATTTGTCCCGAAATTACATAGTTTGTATCGAGAGAACGGTAAACCATTTATAATTTTTTCTTAAAAAAATTTATTTTACATTAGACTAGTTGGTCGGATAAAATATTTTCGAATTATAAAACTGGACATTGTAATATGAATAATGATGTTTTATATTATAGAAAAGTATATAATGATGATGATGTTTATTTATATTGTAGACAAGTAGCAATATGGATGGTGTAAAACTAGACTCTGTTATAGAAAATCTGGTGGATCTCCGTGATACTGTCAGACAGTTTGCTCTACATCCACCTGACAACATATTTACAGGTAAAAAAATAACACAGCACAATGCATGATTACATGTGGCGTGGTTTCGTTTCCCCTCTTATACGTGTAGGGTCGCCTGTCCAAACTTGTGGGTTTTCTCTGGGGTCCTCCATTTTCCTGCTATAGCTAAAGACCCCTGTGCACAAGCGAATTAGGTATTGAAATGTAAAACTGAACCGTATGTTAGTCCCGAAATGACCTAGTTTGTGTCAAGTGGACTTTAAACCATTTCTTTCTCTCATATTTACATATATAAAAATATTATACACCACACTTCATATTAGTCTCAAACAAAATCCTAATCAGTTGTTTGAAGAATATGTCTAAATGATATTTGTTCTGATAGGATTGGGTTTCTAGGGGTACAGCTGTATAGGGTGTCTATTAATAATTTGCAAGAGTGATGAAGATTTAGTTTGATTGCTCTATGGTGCTTTAAAGGATATAACATCCACAACAACAAACACAAGTAAACACAATGTATAACACAATATTATTAGGAATAAAGACAGATTTATAATACACAAAGACTACAAACAAACAATAATCGACGTTGACTAGTGAACACAGTGGTGTATATTTAAAAAAAAACACCTTTGCAGTAGGAACTTGAGGAGTTGGCGGAAACATTCCTGCCCAGGCAAAATTCACCTCCTCTCATTACACATGTAACCATAGAAATAAGAATGACCATTTTAGTCTCAAATTTACCTAATTATTTTAATGATGAGATGTTAAACTGCATTCTATTGTTATATCCAGTTTAATATCGAATTGTGAAAATTTAAGATTTTTACATGTGGAGATGCCACTGTCTGCAGGATCGGAATACAACCCTCATGGTGAGCCTCTGTATTTCCCCTTAGTGATAATGTAAAAATATCAGATATGGAAGACTAAATACCGAAAATTTGAGACATATGTTTATCAGTTATGGAAATGTCGCCGTCTGTGAGATCGAACGCGAGACCTCTTGGTGAGCCTCCAGAGTTCCTCTTACAGGCAATGAGATTGGAAAAATATCAAATACACATGTACTGAAGACATCTTAATGATCGAATACGACACCCCCTGGTGAGCCTAAACAGTTCTGCTTAATGCTAATTAGATTGTAATATATCAAATACCCAAGACCAAATACCGAAATTTTGAGATTTTTATGTTAATTAGTTGCAGAGATGTTGTCATCTGAAGATCGAGCATGGTGAGCTGCGGTATTTCTTCTTACCAACAATCAGATTATTAAAATATTAAATATTGAAGACTAAAAATGAAGTTTATGATTTTGTGTAATTTTAGATGTAGCAGAAGAAGATACAAAAGAAGAAGAGAAAAGAAGAAAGAAGTTGATGTCACCGTTATTAAATAAATGTGACAAAGTTCGTGATAATTTAAAATCTGTGAATATTTCAATAGGGGTAAGATTATCAAGACCTTTTGGTACATTTCAGTAATGTTTTTATATAATTGAAGTTTAAAAGAACTGTAGCTCAGTAGTGGTTTCTTAGATTTTAAGATAACTAATGAAACATTAGTTAGACATTTATTCACATGACAAGCCTAAACTCAACTCTCTAGGTCATTGGAGATTTAAACGGACTAAAACACGATTGCCATTTAATGATTTAATTAAAAAATGGTGAATCGCGGCTGAGTCTAGTTAACAAGTACCGTTGCTACGATAATATACTCTCCAAAAAAAGTAGGGGATATTGAAATGCAAATACCTATGCAGGTTGTGATATGAATAATAGTCATGAACACTTGACATGCTTTGAGAGTATGTTCACAGATGAAGAACTTATTGCCCCAACAGAACCACTGAGCTGCACATGCAACACGCAATAGCACCATACACGTGGGAGGGGTTCATTGTCAAATTTGACACTTCAAGGAAGGGTTGATGAAAACTGCCACGTGCTGGTTTATCCATGTTTTCTTTCCTATCGGTTCTTGCATAGATTTACTGTTTAGTGTATCTTTGCTTTATTATGTTACGTTTAATTTGATCGGGAGACGTGTTCGTCGACATCAACATCAACCCATAGCACTACAAGAATTGGCCGTGGCACTGCAAGAGGAGTGGGTCAGATTGTCCCAAATCGTGATTGGACGGTTGATTAGGAGCATGCCACGACGAATTGCTGAATGTCTGAGGATTGGTGGAGCAATTACTCATTATTAAGACAAAAATCAAAAACGTCCATTTTCACTTTTGACGGAGATCTCTTTGCGAGTGAAATGGGGCCGTCAGATAAGCCACCCATATGAACTGTTTATGTTCATGTGTAGGCAATTGGCCTATTATTAACATACACTGGTTATCTCTAATAAATACAGCAATGCATTTCCGCAGTTTTTTGGAAGAGTATATTAAACAATCTATGCCACATCATGTCAAAACTTCAAACAGTGATGATTTCACTCAGAATGAAGTAATTTGAATGTAATTTTCAATATGTTCATTTTTCATTATCTATTTTTGAACTGTTAAAGCAAGAACAGCCAGCTCTTTATCTATATCCTACATAATGCATCTTTAAGTAATGTTTTCATTAGTCCTCCACCAGAATCATTTGTCTGAATTTTAATTAAACTTTCAAGTCTCTGAAGGTATATGAGGGATTATGAAATCCCTTGCAATCTGCAAAGTGGATTAAGTTGTGGGTTATATAGATAATGGCTGTGTCGTAATATTAGCTGACAACTTGTGTTTTATATTTTCAGGATTTAAAGAAGACCTCGTTGTGGAAAGTTGATAAATAGTAGTAGATCCCCTGATTATATTCTTAAAAAAAAAAAAAATGATTAATCCGTCTTCATTAGTTGGGTATAGGACGTTAAACCCCATTTGATTTGTAAAAAGTGATGCAATTAAAACAAGACTTTAATTATATAATATTGTGTTATTAGTTTTTATATGATAAAGGACCATAACTCTGACAGTAATTATCGGAAATCCTTGAAAATTTATAGGCTTCTTTCTCTTGTGACCTTAAACACTGTGAATACCTTTAAAGTCAATTGGATATTAACTCATGCCTCTAGAGCATCTACAAGATTTTTCAAAGTGAACAAGGGCCATAACTCTGGCAGTAATGTTCAGAAATCTTTGAAAGTCAATAGGCTTCTTCGTCTCGTGACCTTAAACAGTAATTTAAAGTCAATCAGATTTAGCCTCAGAACATCCACAAGCTATTGTGAATGCCGGACAGACGGGAGAATCGACACTATACAACCACATTGTGGGCATATTAAAATGGATAATCTGGACTTTGTTTATTATCGTTACAACTGTGGCAATTGAAATCGACAATAAACTATTCTTCAAAAATTCAACTGGCAGCTCTTTATCTAAATCTTACATAATGCATGTTTAAGCCATCTGATGTGCATATATAAATTGAGTTAATTATACCCTTATTATATCTGGTCATATATCATAATTATATAGATGATGTCATCTCTGGTCATTAGCTGTATTATCACATCACCTCACACATAATTACAGCTTATTAATATCCAGCCTCTTCTCTTATAATATACGACCATTCATCTGACAATTTTTTAAAGATAATTTACCTCCCTTATGCAGGGGACACACTAGCTGAATCATTCAGCCAAATCAATTGCCGCTGAAATTTGCGTAGTGTGTCCTGATAGTTGAATCTATTAGCCAATCATCACTGAGAATCACATGATTGTTTAAGGACAAAATGCCGACAATATCGCGGCTTCATAACCGCTAACATCTTCCTCAGTCAATTCTCAAACGAGATTGTTAAAAAAAAAAAACTCTCTGTGTCGAACCCCGGTTTTCACCCAGCCACTCCTATTCTCCCACATCTTTCTTCTGCAGCACATATGGAATAGAATTTTAAAAATCCCAATGCGACAGCTTTTTTTTTTTTTCTTGGTCGCTGCCATGGTTAATGTGATGTGAAAGGTGAATTAAGCAGAAAATTCGCCTAGTGTGTTCACTCATTCCGCACAGATTGATTTGGCAGAATGATTTAGGTAGAAATTCGCCTGATGTGTCTGCTGCTTTATATAAACCCAAATGTACCTCAAGATCCCAAAATAAAAACACTAGATGTTCCTAAAACAAAACTAAAAACAATTTTGTGATAACAGTTTCAGTGCTGCACCTCACCATTGGAATCAGTTGCCAGTAAACATTACTGAGTGGTCACACGTAGATAATAAGCTAACAGACAGTGAGGCTGATGTCCCCCATCTCAACCCCCAAAATAAATAGATTGCACCGTTATCTTTCTATAAAGCATCGATCAAATCAAATTGTTCACTGCTCGACCTAAGCAGATAATGCTTTGATTACTATAGAACTTAAGTAAAAGTACTGTTACAAACCAAGATTCATAACTCTCATTCAATTACCCGTAAGTTACTGATATGTTCAAAAGCTTCAAGGGGAGGTTTGGTGTCAGAATGGTTTAACGTATGCACGTTAGATCATAAGGTCTGTCATTGAGAAACAAGTGGTCAGGTTTTAATTCCCCACTTGTACGTGACTAGGAGAAAGGTCACCTGCCCAACCCCATGGGTTTTCTCCAGTTTCCTCCCACAGCTAAAGACCCATATGCATAAGCAAATCATAGTCCTGAAATGACCATGTATGTGTTGAGTGGACATTCAGCACCATTTCTCTCCCACTCCCAAAGTATCAACAAATCAAATTTCTACACCAAGTTTGAACATTCTACTTCAATAAGGGGCAGAGTTAAAGAAAAAAAATTGTAGTACATACAAGGGGGAAAAGGTTTTATTACAGAAATATTGATACAAGTTTTAACATATAGGCACAAGGTAGAATTCTTACTTTACATAACTAATTTTACTTATATTTATATACAGCATTTAGAGACAGGTCTACATAGCTAATTGTACATATATACAATATTTAGTCAGAGACAGGCCTACATAGCTAATTGTACATATATACAACATTTAGTCAGAGACAGGCCTGTACAATTGACATTTAGTTAGAGACCCACATCTAGATCCCTTTTATTCCATGTCATCATACATTTTTGTTTTAGTACATGCCCTACTGGACACTACTAACTTTAATATGCTTACAATAATAAAGGCCTAAGTTAACAATTTCCACAGACAATAACAATATCTACAGACAATAATATAGGCCTGAATTATTAATATAGGCCTAAATTATAAATAAAAACGCCTAAATTGTCAATATCTACACACAATATCATAATATAGACCTATAATGATAAATTTAAACTTCTATAGACAATATCATAATATAGATCTATAAGTATAAATATCTACAGACAATATTGGGTAAGAATTCGATTTGCAAAAAAACATCACAAACAACATAACAATTATAGATTATTGTAATTAAAGATGCATTATGTAAGAGTAAGAGCTAAATCTGCCTACTGCAGGTCTTTCTTTCCAGAATAAAGTAATCAACTGAAATAGTCAATATATTCCTTTTTCATTATATTTAAAATATTATAGCAAAAACTGTCAGCTCATTATCTAAATTTTACATAATGTCTCTTTAATGATCAAGTTAGATAAATCCTAGATTAGCCAGATCGTAACTTCTATTTTTATATATCACAGTAGACAGTATTATTGAGTCTCTTCACCTGTAAACTTAATATCATTATGCAAATACTTTCAAATGTAACAATGTTATTCCAAATCTAGACAGCTGCACATGTAACCATAATAGATTTATAATACACAAAGACTATTTATAAACACAAGAAATTTTGTTAAATTAATGCAAATATATTCATGAGAACTTTTTAAATTATGCAAATATATTCATATATAATATCATTGTCATCATCATTTCATTTAAATAAACGTACAGAAAAATATAATACATATATAAATTTTAAGTCAAAAAAGATCATTTCCAGGTTAATAGATCAAGATTAAAAGTTGAGTCTTTTATATTAATTTATTTTTGAGCTAATGGACATAATGTAAATAGAAAGGCAGCCTTTATACTTGATGAAATTGTCACAAAAAAAAGAGAGAGGTCATCATCAAGATGTTTGCTGCAAAAACACTCCATAGTTACCAAAGCCTGCCCATACTGACAAAAACCTACCCATACAGACCAAAACCTCTCCATACTGACCACAACCTGTCAATACTGACCAAATTCTTGAGTAAACTTGAGATTATTAGAAAAGCACTTTTATTGTATTAAGTGATAAAACAGACTTTAACACACACTTATAATATATACACATTTACATTATTTATTTTATAAGCAAAAGCATATAATTATGTGGTTGTGAAAAAGGCACAAATCATAGTGAGTATGGTAAATAATATAAACATTGTTCATGTGACAACATGACATCAAACAGTTCATTCTACTTAAACATTTCAGTGAAAAATCATCTAGTTGTTTGGAAGGGCCAATAATATGAGATGTATATCATAGGCAGCACGTTAAAGATCCGACTTTTAGAAATTGAAATAAAGAGTAGCCTGCAATGCCGCTTCTGGACAAACTTTTCCTTCATAGCACAATACATGGCATATGTCTGTCTGCTTTAGCCCAGTTGGTACAGAAAAGTAGGGCTTCAAAGATGAATATTTTTATAATTATGATATTTGACATTCAAATAATCATCCCTTAACAAGTTTCTTTATACGGTAGCCTTTTTCTAAACCAACATCTATAACATTTTGTTTATATATCAATATACGTCTATATGGATATTGCTTTGTATTGTTTATATATTGTAAATATCTTTGTTTTCTTCAACAAGTCTGACTCAAGGGTAATAAAAACTTTTAATAGTTCAATAAAATACGGTTTTAACTAAATATAGTGGGATTAACTAGGTCATTTTGATCAAAAGTGCTTAAGGCTTCAATCTAATTACAATATATTCAACAAAAGTAAACATTTTAACAGAAATGAAATGGGGTTTAACATCCTACTGTTCTACTCTGACTGGGCTATGAGGAAAATTTTGCCCAGACAGTGGTGCTATGGCCTACTCCTATATCGAATTCCAACTGCCAAGGGATCTTTTACGTGCACACTAATGTGTACATGGGACCTCGGTTTATTGCTCCCATCCGAACGACTGAAGGCTGGCCTTCCCTCCGCCCTTCACCACTGACAAGCGGGGAAACCAATGCCAGGAGAGAATCTGCGCCCTCCAACCTAGTGAGCCAGCATCGTACTCACTTAGCCACCGTGGCTCCTACCTTTTAACAGATGTCAATCAGAGGTTCTAATCATATTTTCGTACAATATTCTCAAAATCAACATACTTGTAAAATATAGAACAATTTAAAAACATTACCCAATTATTTCTGGGCTGTTAAAATATTTTCAGAAATGAATCAGTATGTTAACATAATCAGAAATAAACTATTTAAAGGCAGCTTAATAATATTATATATATATAAAACTGTGGTTTAAGTTTGTGTATATCTATAAACAGTGAGATCGAAAACCAGCAGTTGCTAGACAACATACACCCACATTTTACAAGATATGGACAGAAAACAAGCTATTAAAAAAATGTGATTTTTTGTACAATCAGGGGCCATAATCCAGGAAGTTACGTTCCGACATGCACGATTATTGAAAATAACTGAGATCTTTGGGAAATACCGAGATCTTTGGGAAATACAGAGAGAGAGAGGGAGAGAGAGAGAGAGATGGGATTGAGTCCACAAAACACAAACTATGCAATTTCGGGACTAACATACTGTACCATTTTATTTCAATAATTTACTTGGGCGTAATATAAGTTGTCTTTAGCTGTGGGAAGAAACCATTAATATCTGTCAACTTTACAAAAATAATTACGCAATAGTTCAATGGATCAATATGACCTAATAAATACACTAAACAAATTTACTTTATAATAGAAGGACTATTATATAGAGTTGTTGCTAAGTGGCCAGATGAGTTAAATGTAAAATAAAACTTTACGAATATTGACTTAAACCAATACAGATCTAAACAGATTAAAAATCCATAATGCAATTTGTACCTGTCATAGCTAGGAAACCTTTAATGGAATTATCAAATTTCATATTTTTTATACATTTTTTGGGTGTCCAGGTTCAGGCACATTTATGAACCACAGCAAAATTTCAATACTTGTGTCTAAACAAATAACCCTTGGAACGGGTTGGTGGGTTGAACACCGAAGACAGAAAATGATAAATTAAAATTACAGTATTCAAGAGCTAAATTTGCTTATTAATAAGACATTTATTAACATGACAAGACCATAATCAACTCTCGATGTCATCGGATACTTGAGATTTTAACTAGATTAGAATGGTTCAGCAATTTGATGTTTTAATTTCAAAATGGGAAAGTGAGGCTAAGCCTTGTATATATCAGTACTGTGGTTACGGTAATACACAATCAATCAACACATCTTGTCATGTACAAGCATGGAATCAAAACCACATCACTTGACTCAATAACAGACCTTATGATCTACAGCATTAAACCATTTGGCCTCCCAAAAATTATATCGGGTTGTCTAGATCTAGAAGAGTTAGTATACACTGTGACATGACTTTTAGAAAGTAAGGGCTTAAAGCGGCATTATACTATAGCCTAGCCTTGATTGTCATTACTACCGTTGTTACGATAATAAACCAAGTCTCTATTATCAATTTTTACGGTAACCGCATCAACCACAAAATATATCTAGTTCTATTATATCGCAGTCACCCGATGGCATCGAGAGTTGATTATGGTCTTGGTAAGTTAATTAATGTCTAAGAATTTATTTAACATTTCAGGCCTAAAGAAAGGCCTGCAATAGGTAAATTTAGCTCTTTCATAATACCTGTATAATTCAATGGTTTTAAACTACTGTGCCACCCAGTCCACTGAAAGTAAGTTAAACCTAGTAAAATAATTCATTGCAAGATCAATTTAGGAATACCCCATAATTTTTGTAACTTTCTATGATTTAACATAATCTACATGTACCATTTTAAACACAATAACTTTTATATTTCTTACAACTAGATCCTAATAAAAGTTATATGTGTACAATGCTTCTTTTATGCCTAATTTCTAACCTACCTGTGGGTTATTTGTAGTGGCTTTCTAGAGTTACAATATAATCATCCAAGTGAATGACTTCATCTATATAATATATATAAATAAACTGTATAGAAGGGTATAGCCTGTTTTATAAACTCTACTATACCAGGTATATTAAACATGAACAGGTATATTTTAGGCCATATAAAAAAACAATATTCTGGTTCTCAGACAATCCTTCCTAAAAATCACTTGTTTATCTCATCATGTTGTTAATTGTATGATTATCCAGTATCATTTATGATTGTCGAAAAACATTTATCGGGGTTGTGTACTTGATAATTGAGAATACGGTGCATTTCCAGATTCTTTCGAATAGTACTTCCTGTAATCCAGGGAAAAAATTTACATGTGGTAATCAACAAGACTGTTTTCAGTTTTTGAGAGTATCAAAGAACCAGAATATTTTTTTTTAAATGAATTTTATGTTTGTCTTGAAATTCTATGATTTTCCGAATGGGAGGTAACAATGGTAACCAACAAAATAAAGGTAAACAGACCTACTGATTTTAAGACAAGCAAGTTACTAAGGTAACCAATACAGGGCCCTTATTCACGAAAACTTAAACTAAGATACAATCGAAATTTTAAGAAATACTGCAATTCGATAGGCTGACCAGTAAAATCAATTTGCATATATCCAATGAAGTTGCAGTATTTCTTAAAATTTTGGTTGTAACTTAGTTTAAGTTTTCTTAAATAAGGGCCCAGATAGAGTAACTAAGTAGACCTAATAATTATAACTACATTTAAATCGAATTTTAAGGGGGTTAAAAGAAGAAAATATTTTATATTTTTATTCATTATCTAATAGGTTAAACCATGTGAATCATTTGTCTTTAATTAACACTTCAGCTGTGATGTCATGAGAACTGTCAACAACTGGTTTATAAACTATGGCTGACAGTTACCCTGATGATGTCACAACCTTGCCCTAATTTGTTGATGTTAATCAGGATTCTGCACTGTGGAAAGATTTCATCAATAAGGGCACTGGGTCTTTTCTTTAATACACATATCTCTTTACATGTAGGTAATATGTGAAGGTTGTTTCTATGTAAAATGTAATAATATACTATTAATCCAAATAAACTGAAATCTAATGACATCTGAACAAAAGACTGAGTCATGCTACACCTATTAACTCAATACTAGTTTACAGCACATCAATGGAGAGTTTTATTAGAAAGCATTGAAACTAACATCCCGTCTTCATTAGTCCAGTTCGGATCTGAAACTAACATTCGGTTGATTAATATTAACTTTGAAAAATAAATATTATAACTGCTGCACATCATTCCTATTTTCGGGACACTTTTAGTTTTTCAAGGCTTAATTGATAAATTGTACTCAAATTGATTATTTATTAAAAACTTAATAAAATCATAAGATTTCAGCAAAAATTATAGGTGATGCTGGTTGGTTTTGACCAATACATATATCCTACATTTTAATAAATTTTCAATTTAGTTTAGAAATCAACTTTCACAATCTTGTTATTTTAAAGGATTCCTCAATCCCTAAAATGGTTTACCCGTATTTTTCGGTGTATAAGGCGCATGCGTAGATAAGGCGCAGGGCAACTTTGGCAGAGTTGTTTCAGGAAAAAAAAAATATGCGTGGTTTAGGCGCACCCTTTCCCAGCGCGTGTGAAACTCGTGCCATAGCATATGTGACTCAAATCCACCTGCGATCTCCAGTAACTAGGTCAAACTCTATTGTTTACAGTTATAATAATTACCGATATTTAGCCGTATCAAGCTTTATATAATTATATTTCTTTATGAAATAAATTGCTTTTGTTACATTCGTTTATATTAATTATAACACGCAATTGCATTATTGCATAACTTTCAGCTGTAATTCTGTTGCTCGTACGGTAGTGAAATTGTCATTCAAGTCCCGCCCACAACAAACATGGCCGTCTATTACATCGTGTTAAATTCGTGAGTAATTGTCTGTGATAAATGAATCGGTTTTGATGATAAACAAATTAAATAATACCTGTAGGAATAATATATCATGATCAGCTACTCACAACTTAAATCCTGACTACCGGTAAAAGAGAAACAACAATTCCAGTTTGCTCCAAGTTATGCAAACAACTGACAATCAAACGATAGCGTCTGTTGTCCCGCCCACTCCACGCGTCATGACAATACCCAGATTGTAGCCATTTAGATCTATCAGTAAAATAATACAATAGCATTTTTAATACCAATCAAAAAAACAATGATTTTGTCAACTACAAACAACTTCATAAAGAAAACGGTAACAACTCACTGGTAGATAATTAACTATACCGGTAAAATAATACAATAGCATTTTTAATACCAATCAAAGAAACAATGATTTTGTCAACTACAAACGACTTCATAAAGAAAACGATAACAACTCACTGGTAGATAATTAACTATACCGGTAAATTATAACAATGGGCCAATCACTGAATCCATGTTGAATGAAAACCGTCGGTAACTTAAAATGGTTACTAAAAGACAGTCTTGCTCAAAGAAAACACCCCGATGTATATAAAACACGAGTGAACACTCCATCATTCTTAAAAATTATTTATTCAGAATGGCTACGAGACGAACCGCTTATACCGCTAAGGAGAAGTTGAGGGTAATTAGTTACGCTGAAGCACATGGTAATAGGGCCGCAGGTCATGAATTTAGTTTGGGGGAGTCAAACGTGAGACGTTGGAGGGCGATGAAGGGGAAACTTACCGACATGAAACCTAGTAAAGAAGCGAATAGGTGGAGCGCCGCACGTTATCCTCAAATTGAGAGAGAATTGGTAGACTATGTGAATGAGAGGCGTCAAGAAGGTTTGCCCGTTTCGACAACAGAAGTCAGACTAAAGGCACTATTGTTGGCAAAGGGCAAAGCCGAATATGCAAGTTTCAAGGCAACATCAAGTTGGGTGTACAGATTTCTGAACCGACACGACCTATCAATTCGTAGAAGAACACATATATCACAGAAACTACCACAAGATTTTGACGACAAACTAACCAGTTTTCAAAAATTCATCATTAATCTAAGATCCAAGCATGATTACACCCTGGATCAGATAGGAAATGCAGACCAGACCCCACTGACATTTGATTTACCAAGTAACACAACAATCCACAAAACAGGAGAGAAGACAGTCAACATTAAAACAACCGGCAACGAAAAGAACAGATTCACAGTGATGTTGGCCTGTACAGCAGATGGCGGAAAATTACCACCTTACGTCATATTTAAAAGAAAGACCCTACCTAAGAGCATATTTCCAAAGGGCATTATAGTAAAGACTACACAGACGAAAAAGTACCAGGACTTGAAGACGCCGACATTCTTCGTATTTTTGAGGAAGAGGACGAAGAAGAAGAATTTAATGGTTTTACCAAAGCAGATATCAATATAAAATAACTTTAAAATAAAACAAAAAGTGATATCTCAAATCTATACCGTGTCTAAAACTGTGCCGTGCTATAAACCGAAGAAGCTGTATGTTTTGTTTTTCTTATATCCATATTTTATTATATCTATACTGTGCCTATAACTATGCTGTGCTATACTGGTGAACCTGTTTGTTTTTATTATATGTTTTTATTATACTTGTGTTATTTTTTTGTGTCATTAAAATATATTTTAGTCGATGGTTTAAATTTGTTCTGTTCTTCGATATATTCTGCCAGTTTAACTGTAATCCCGCCCATTAACGCTGTCATTGTAACAGACAATACCCATAGCCTATGGTATAATGAGCGTGTGCTCAATGGAAATTTCCCTTCTAATAGCCAATGAAAACTCTTTGTCTGTCGTAAGCCCCGCCTTTTCGTCAACTTGACTGATATCACCGTTGACGACACACTGTTTGGATTCCCGACAGTGGCTAACTGGTGGCTAACTGAACCGGTAAACGGATTAGCAGAAATATATGTCATCAAATACGCAGGAATAATAGAAATATTAAAGAGAATTTTGCAGATATTGTTAGCACTGTCGTTTATGACTAACGGTATACGGAAAAGCCGGAATAATAGAAATATGACTAACGGTATACGGAAAAGCCGATACCGTATCTTAAATGGCCGCCATATTTATTGCACGAAAAATGACGACATCGGAATGTCGGAATAGCAGAAAAATATGTCATCTAATTATTTACGATATCTTTGCAGATATTTTAATAACACTAAACCGCTATTGACCCATATTGTTGCCACTCTCGTCTATGACTAACGGTATACGGGATATCGGTATGGGAAATGGCCGCCATCTTTATTGCTGTTGTCGATATGATCAACTTCAGACCTCGATGTTGACACACAGAAAAGCCAAGATTTGCTTAATACTATGTATTAGGCGCACCCCTTCTAGAAAATAAAATACCTGGTAAAAAAAGTGCGCCTTATACACCGAAAAATACGGTAATAGGAGTATGACCTAATGTAAAGATTCCTTAATCCCTAAAATGGTGATCAGAGACTTTGAGGGGAATTTTGCACGGAAAACGGCACTACTATCTACTCTTATATCCAACAGATTTTTATAACAAAATATATTTACTAAAACATTCAGTAACAAATTGATAAATCTGTATTTGTATCAAGTATAACTGAGTATTTAAATATAAAACTGTATTTATATATTATAACAAGTGATTGATAATGTTAATCAGGGTTGTCTTTTGCATGGGCAGTTACCCTGGGGGCCTCCCAACAAGCATAGGGGCATCATGCTTATCTATATGTACCGGTACATCATGTTTTTTAATGTTTAAACACTGATTTTGATGGAAGTACCAATACAATAAATATGTTTAATTTTACAAACCATTTACATTTTTATTTCTGTGAGTGGTTGTGTTGGTAGGGGTCCCAGAGCACAACTTTGCCTGGGTGCCTATAATGCTCTTAAGACAAACCTGATGTCAATACTTTAACCTAATAATATTTATAACATGCAATGTATATTGGATCACTCCGCAAACATATTTCATGCATGTACATTCATATCAACAATACATCTCGCTTTATGACTCAAGTCAAAAACAAATTTTTGATCTGTGTTCTATCAATTTCTTTATCATATATCCATAAAATAGTTTGTGTTAACCCTATGCAACGTTAATGACTGGATGTGGTTTATATAAACAAATAACAATATTACTGCTTTCATAGACGAGAAATAGACTAAAGTATCCATAATATAGTTTAACTCTATGCTACAGCTGGATGTGGTTTTTATAAATTAATAATATTACCTTTTTAATAGACGAGAAATCAATTATACATATGGTATCTATAATATAGTTTGTTTATAACTCTATGCAACAACTGGATGTGGTTTTTATAAATTAATAATAATATTACTACTTTAATGGACGAGAAATCAATTATACATGTGGTAACCATAATATAGTTTGTTTAACTCGATGCAACAACTGGATGTGGTTTTTATAAATTAATAATAATATTACTACATGTACTTTCATAGACGAGAAATCAATTATACAAGTATCCACAATATAGTTTGTTTAACTCTATGCAACAACTGGATGTGTTGTTTTGTATAAATTAATAATAATATTACTACATGTACTTTCATAGACGAGAAATCAATTATAGTATACATATCAATAATAACAGTGTCGCTACTTTAAAGGGCTCTTAGTCAAATTATAGAAAGCAGATTTTGAGGTCCTCCACAATTCTATATATATGCCTAAGGCCACTTCCACTCCACGACCTCTGATTATTTTAAACTCAGGTACACCTTTACACATGGCATTTGTTATAACTCTAACCACAAACTACCATCTTTCATTCCATTCCGGTTTCTTCTTAGCACTGGAAGGACGTGACCTGTGTGTCGATTGTGCAGACGTTACTGTAGAGGCAGATGCCAGACTGTTTAAACTGCGCGTTCTCGAACCCATCCTAGAACTATTGGAGAGTTCGTCCCAGGGTGTAGTTGCCCTAGATTTAGGTCGTGACGAGTGTAGAGTGGAGACGGGTACACCATATAACATGGTCTTCTTGTATTGCTGATCTTGTTCAGCTTTAGACATTCCACGAGTCGGTTTCGCTTTCTGTAATCGTCGTAATAATGCCTGAAAATATACGAATAAAAAATATAATTTATAAAATTATTATAAATATGATACATGTACTAGGGTTTTGTTTAGCTGGCGATGACAGGTATAGCCGATTCTGCACACAGAGAACTGTCTACCCTACTTCAATAATAGATTTGTAATGCGGTCCTACTCCGGTTCACATCTGTTAGATACAAAAAGAGTAATAACCTTTTCAATTTTATTAAACGAAAGCAGAATTTATACTTCTCAAAATTCTCGAAATATACTTTGTGTTTTCAACTAAAACCGTTGACTTGAAATGTCGGTCGACTAGCTTAGTGTCTGATCTCCAGTGGAGCTAATTGTAGACAGGCAGCATAAGTTTAGTATGGGGGTATAGCCATAACGGAAAGCAATATCCCTGGAACAGGAAATGGTAGTTCAACGCCACCAGACTTACAGGTACTTGTACATGTATGTCACTCCTTGGCTCAAGCTGCAATTATTTATACCCAAAATTTCAGACTCGAGACCGCTAACCCTGAACAATCAAACAGACGAACGAGAGTCACAAATATAGTCACATGTATATTATTATTATACATGTAGATTTGTCGTCTGCTAGTTTGAGGACTACAGAAAAACATATACCAATTTTGCTTCCCTTTTCTTTGGAAATCAAGAACATAATATACTTGGCTGCTCTTTTCAAAAGCTTTCAGATCTAAATCTGTAAGTCTTAACATTTTTAATAAAACATCAAGGCTATTTATTTATCAAGCGCCTGAAGAATTGTAAATCAATTTGGTTTAGGAAGGTTGCATCAAGACTATACATGTACATGTATCATGTCATGTAGAACAAAATTAGAACTGCAATTTCAAATCACAATAACATGTTAATACATGTATGTACATACGTGACTAAAGAATATTGGACTAAAGTTTGGCAGCATGTGAATGGATGATCAAGTCTGGCTGTCAGGTAATAATCCGATCATTGTCATGTTAAAATCAATAATGTACACCAAGTCCTAATTAAAATTTAAACCCTGATCAGGTGATAATTAGCAGACAACAATAATAATAGTTGTAACTTGTTAATTAAATAATCAGGCATTAGATTTAACAACCAGATAACTATCTTCAATTCACTATAACCCAGGGACGGACAACCTCTGTAGATACATGTTCTTGTAGAAACATGGTGGCTCAGTGAGTAAGGCTCTGGCTCACTAAACAAGATTGTTAGGGGTTTGATTCTGGTGTTGGTTGATAAAGTTTCCCGGGATTTCCCCGGGGTCAGTGGTACAGGACGGATCTCTATAGTGCAAAATTTCCCTCATAGACTCATAGCAGAGTATAGTGTACGACACACCCATCTTCATAAGCCCACTCAGTGCAGAAGAAGAATAGGATGCTAACCCCATTTCATTTTATTTGTGTTTAATTCACTAAAATCCAAGGAATGCCAACCTTCCGGGGCATGTGCTAAATGTAGTGCTTTGGATGATTACAAATGGCACATTGCAAGTCTGTGATAATAAAGTAAGGCAGTAAGCCTACTCATTATTTTTAGTGATTTTATTATTTTGTGCACATCCTCATTAGCGAATGTTATTTTCTTTAACATTAATCAGTTTCAGATAAAGAATACATGCTGTATGCTTAATGAATCAGAATAGGAAAGATGGACTTTTTTCATTAAAGATGCATTATGTACGAGCTAAATTTGCCGATTCGTATTGCAAGTTTTTATTTAGACATTTATTCACATGGCAAGCCCAGATTGTATGATCAACTCTCTGGAATATTGGATGGCCGAGATTTAAATGGATTAGAACGTCCTTGTGATTTAGAAATTTAATGATAAAATGGATAATCAAGACTTAGTCTCAATTGTCAAGTATCATTGCAACAATAATAAACAATCTACACTACATCTTGTCAAAACTTGAACACTGATAACTTCACTCAATCTATTCATTATAATAATACAAATCTGTGTCGGATAAAATGACAGGCACCAATTAGACCATGTCCGACAATGTCTGTGACAGGGCTCTCGGACAATTCATCCCAGCACAACTAGTCCCAGAGGATAATTCTCTGGGGTTGAATATTCCCAAGGATGAATTCTCTGGGGTCAAATAATGCTAGGAGACGAATGCTCTAGGGACGAATAGTTCCAGGGGACTAATTCAAACAATTGTCCTGTATCCCGTACCCTGGTGACAGCGCGACAGGTGCCGTATATCCAGACTTGATTGACTGACTTTAAAAAATACTTGCATGTATTGATGGATCATCAAATTAACGAGGATTCCTTACATTGATTAACAAACATTGATTTATATCATCATTATCTTAAAATGTATGTTTCCATAGTAATCAGTATAAAAAAAAATATTAATATTCTATATAAGCATAGATACATGTAGACAGTATGTACAAAATAATCTAATTATTGGCTTAATTAACAAATTCTTCTTACTACATGTATGGGTAATTACATACATGTACATACATTGTATGCAGCTATAGAATAGATATTTTTAGGTTCAAAGATTTTAAAATGAATAAATGTTAGTAAATGGGGGGGGGGGGCAGAGAAACAGAGTTTAAGGTCAACTGGACACAAACTAGGTTATTTCTGGACTAATAACATGTACCGGTATATGCATGGATCAATTTTATTTCAATAATTCACTTGTGCGTAGGGAACTTTAACAGTGAAAGGAAACCAGGGTGAGCTGGAGTAAACTGATACAGTTAGACAAAAGACCCTAAATTTTGGTAAACTTTTAGGATGTCATTCAGTACCCCAAACACTACTGGAAACCATAAAAAAAAAAAACTCTTCTTGGGACTTTATGGGGTTGATCCCTTTTTTTCATAAATTGACTGGTATAAAAAAATGTTACCTGTACTGTACTTCATTCGCGACAGGAGAATAACTTTATATAAATCATCTGAACTATGTTATTGTTATTTTGTTAATAACTGAGTGAAAGTAGTAGTAAAGATGTCACCATGTGAATAGTAATATTGATCTACATGTACCTGGCTACACAGGTAATCTTTATAAAGTCTCATATTTGCAGTTTTTGCTATAAAGCCTACTCCGTCAGATTGATTTATTAATTAACATTTAACTAAAGATACTTTCCTGCATACAATCTGTGTGATTTGATGATATTTGGACTAAAAACATATTCAAACTAATTCATCTATCAAAAATTTGCTTCTAATCCCTCTCAAAACTTTGTATTTGCTACTCTAGTCTCCATAGGTTTTTATATCCAGACATTCAACAAGTACACTATTATGCCAATAAAAAGACTGTCCTCATAAGTTTACTATGCGCCTTGATTAGCTGTCTGTTAGCTAACGATTGTGCCATGGCTTTTTGGTAGTAAGTAATAGTAAGTTACATGTAGTTTGTAAATATGTGTAAATCATAAATAGTGAACTAAACTATTTTAATATGCAGATATGAATATTAAAATTCATTAAAACATATTTCCTTTTATTTCATTCATAACCTTTAAGTTCATAGCAGTGAGCCTTCTATACGTGGCTATTCTGAGACAACCCCTCATTTGCCGCAATGGAAACCATAATGCACATTTCATATTACAAGACTTTGGATTGGCTAGTAGTGCACGATAAATTGTTTACATTCAACCAATCAAACAGTTTGCTCATTACTTCCTGTCGAAGTGAAAGATTGAAATGAATGTGCTGTCAACTATAGATATGCCATCAACCTCTACTCTTCATTAGACTAAGTACAGTAAACATGTACATGTAGGCCTATTAATAAAATAAGAACTTTAAAATAGAGTTGGTCACACAACGATTTTACTTGCTCCTATTGAGTATTTTGAGTCTCCAAGTCACGCATATGTAGCGGGCAAAAACGCAAAATTTTGGAATGTCTGCATATTTTTACGCAACTCGAAATTGATCACCTGCAGCCACTAGATGCGTGAATGTCTATTATGAGCGAATGTTTGCTGCCTTCACTGCACGTGCAACCCTGTGACTGAACTTTTTCCATTTAATTTGTGGTGATTATAAAACAGGCTGATTTAAGAACGTCCGTCTTACTCTTAGAAGTACAAATATTTAAGAACTGTGAACCACCCTACCAAGGGCAAAAAAATCAGTCTGTGGCATGATTTTCACAACCGACATCTCAAATATATCACTCATTGACTGTCCTGTTCATTTAAATGTGTAAAAAGACTGCATATTTTTTTCGTTAGCAACACAAAAGGGGGCTTGTTTTCTTCGATTGATAATACAAAATCAACTAATAACATTGTACGCCATGGGTGGGTCATCTTGACGTACATACATTGTACTTACCAAATTCTCTGCTTCTATTTTACGTTGTTGTCTCTCCCTGTTAATAGCAGACGGTGTCATGCGGCGTATTACTGGTGCATATTGTGAACGAGTGACAGGTCGATCTCTATTATCCACACTGTGTAAAATCTCATTTAGTAGTCTCTGATTCTCCTTTTCTATTAACTTTGCTCGTTCTTTACTGTAAGAATAATTATTTTCTCGTGACTGTCTTTCATGTGGCGCAAACATAACACGACGTGTGTTCGCTTTTATACGTTTGTCTTTATCTAGTTCAGAGACAGCGTCCATTAAAACATTGAGATCTAGATTTTCACACTGATTCAGATTTTCTGTGTTCTGGTCTCTACCAATTTGGTCTCTTTCATCATGATCACGATGTTTTCGGTTCTTCTTCTTGCGTCTGGGACTATTCTGAGCAGATGATAAAGGCGACACATCTGTGATTTCACTTTCCGAGTCAGATGCTGGTTTTCTTCCTTTCTTCGTCCGCATTTGTTTTTGTTTATTCTTATCGCTGTTTCTATCCGTGTCTTTTTTCGTGCTGTTTGACCAGGCTTCTTCTTTAACATTTGCGCCTTTATCTCGGGAACGAGACTGAGATGTTGTGGGCTTATTTTTTGACTTCACTGATACAGCTCTCGATTCCGTTTCTGAATCTGATAAATCCGAGGCACTACTACTACTAGAGGTATAGGATGTGTAACTATCACTATCTGATTCGACACTATCATTGTCTTTTTTCTTCGATTTAACTGGCAAGGGACTCACTCGTGATAAACTCTCAGTTTCACTCTCCGATTGAGATGTCTCTGATGCACTCGATGATGTAACACTTTGTGTGTTTTTTATCTCTTTTCTGTCATTTTTACGATCAACACTCTGCTGATGTTTAGGAATTTCATTTTTTCCCGAAAGGCCATTAGAAATATTTTTTCCTGAATAATTGCCATTGACATTAGACTCATTAGAAATATTTTTTCCTGAATTATTGTGCGAATTCTGATCTATTTCACTCTCAGTATCTGTAACCGAGTCACTCGAATAACTGTCATCACTTGAACTGTAATCATCTTTGTCTTGTTTGTTGTTTTTAATTGCAACAACCGGCGATGGCTTCCTATTTTCATTCACAGGAGACGGTGGTTTAGGCGACTTCGGAGGTTTTCTAGAAATGTCGTCTTTTTGAGGAATATCGGAACCTACAGGGTCGTCATCGTCGAAAAAATCAAAGTCTACTTCGCCTTTATATTCGTCTAATTCTGATCGCCTATCATTCATTTTAAAAAGTAAAGCGAATCAAGTTTTTTTCATAAATTCGGTCCCAAACCTTCATTGCGTCTTGCCAACTTCAGTGTTTAGTAGCAACTAATGCAACATGGACGTCATGATCTCGTTAACAACGAGACATGACGAGAAGAGAATTTGCGTCATCTGCTAGAGTAGAAGAGATGATTGGTATTTTTTATTTAATTAGCGCCTTTTGTTTCAGTTGTCAGTAGAAACCACTTAAAATAAATAGATATAATTTAGAACTCCAGAAAGTAATTAGATCTGATTAAGTTATCTGCAATGACTTTCAAAGTGCCAATAAATGATTTGGCGCGCTTGTTTTTGTAACTTAAATTGAGTTCAGCAGATGCATAATTTCCACAGAATCCGTGACAATAACTAATAATAGTATTAATACTATGGTCTCTGTACTAGAACTAATGCCAACTTTAAAAGTTGTGAATTCACAAGTTTTAGTGAAATATTTGGAATCTTGTTGGAATAAACTGATTTAAACTCAATAGATTTGTTATGTAATAGCCTAATGATTTTCTGTAGGAGACTTGACAAATTCAATCTTTAGAAATTATAAAAAATTGTAGCCTACCCCGCAATTTGGCCGAAAATATTTTTAGCCAACCCGGTATTTTTTTATTTTGTGTCACCCAGGGGCACATCCATTAACTTTTACAGGAGTGGGTTTTCCAAGTTCCTAAGACAATGTATCAGGGCTTTTTTGTGGGGTGGCCAGTGGGGGGTGGGGGTCTCTCCCCTGCCTTGAAAGTTTTTGAGAAATGCATGGTCTTAATCGTCATTTTGGCATAGGGTAACATTCTTTTCTGCACCAAATGTGCTAATGAAGGCGGATGTTTACAATTTGTTTTATCTAGCTGAGCAGGGAGGGGTTTGTATAACCATATACCCCCTCCCCCCGGATTCGCCCGGCCACCAGTACATCTTGGTAGCTGTACCTAAGTTGTTGATCAGATACTGTTTCTAAAGGAACTACACAAGTGTATCTTTGGTCTGAAAACATTAATATTTATTAATTGTATTGAATGTAGTTCATAAGCAGATTGTGATTAGTCGATTCCATATCCATAGCTAATCTGAATCAAAACGTGTTGTTAAGAAAATTCTGCTAAAAATTTCAGAAATTTTGTCCAATATCATACATCATAAAACATACAATCCCACCCCCAATAAAATATTAGATCGAATTCAAGGCCTAAATCTGCATGTGATCTAAATCTATCATTCTATGAATTAAATTATTTTGAATGTTTCAGATTAAATATTATTTGATAGGCAAAGTTAGCTAATTCAACACCCTGATAATGAAAACACCAGAGAAGGCCTACATTACTCTTCATGTTCCGAGTTTCACTGTTTATTATCAGGACCAGCGAGGGAGATTATCATCTAAATATCCTTTCCTTTCGGCTGATCAGATCAACTGTAAAATAAGAGACCAATGGAAGGTCATGAAAAATCAGGACAAAAAAAGTTACACCATCCCCAAACTATGTTCCACACCTTCCAGAAAATCTAGCGTTGAGAAAAAGACAGCGAATTCTAGATCAAAATCTGAAGAAAGAAGGAAATCTTCGTCCAAAAATAAATTATTTACAGAAATCGGATCAGGAAAAAAGCCTGATAGGCCTTTAGCACCAGCCCCTACAAAGATTTTTAAGCAGATATCTGTAGAAGATTGGTTAAAACGTGATGGTCGAAAAAATGGATCGAAGACGAAACCCCAGACGTATTCCAGTTCCATATATGGTAAATCATGTGATGTACCAGAAATACTTGATAGAACACCACATGTTAAAAATGGAATTTTGAAAAACACAGAGAGGTGAGTTAAAATTCAGTTAAATGTGATATGAATGAATTATTCCCCTTTTTGTCTTCAACACAATCTATATTGTTTACATCTGCAGGCAATGTTAACCTATTCCCTGAGCTGGAAATTAAAAACTTTATTATTCTGTGGAATAGATTACCTTTTTTTTTGATACGTTTTTAGAATGACTAATATTTAATTACTGGTAAAGTTCCACCAGCTCTATGTTTGTATTATCTCCCTTTAGTCTTTATTGAAGATCTCAGTTTGGGCATCTCTGATATCGCCAGTGGTCTCATTCCTTCTACTCCACTTTACCCTGGGTTCATCCATGGGGTATTCACATATTCAAATTATTTGGCCTTGATCGTAGCTTGATTCTACAAACCAATCAAGAAGCAATTTACAAACCAGTCTTGACCTCATTGCTTGTTGACTTGTTTGTTGCAACAAGATGAGAGTTACTTTCCTTTGCCAACTTCCTTTGTATTTAACAATTTTTTTTATTTGTCAATAAAAATAGCACAGTCATGAAGGGCAGATAATTTAAATGTGTCTCCTCAATAAATGAACCCAGGGGTTAGTGGAGTGGAACGGAATGAGACCACTGGGGATACTGAGAATGAGATTGGGAATGCTCGATTGTCAGTCCGGATTCCTGAATTGACAGAATTCCAATGGTGTGAAATGGAATTCAGTCGTATCACAGTTCTATCAGTTCTGATAAGTCAAGGAAGGTGGTGTGAAGTAATTAAAGACAACAAATCCTTGTTGGTTGAATGAGATAATTTCTTATGCAGTTGCCTGCATGTGTTGTAGCCAGAAATCAACCTTTTCACTCGATTGTCACTATTTTAGGGATTGAGAGAATTCAATTCCGAAACGTTCAATTGAATATCCGCAAGATGTAAGACTTCTCAGTATAGAACTTTTCCATGCTTTTGGCATCTGTTTGCATTGATCAGAAGTTATTAATTTCAAGGACTATATTATTATTAGTCCATACTTTGTCTGTTTGTTCAGAAGGAAGGGAACACAGAGGTCGACCAGTGTACTGTACAGGTTGGACTTCATTAAAATACCCCTTGACAATTTTAATTCAAGTAGGCGGAAGCATTGCTGCCCAGGCAAAATTCTCCATTGCACACGACTATAAAAGAACATGTTAGTCTCAAAATGTCTGAATTTTGTGTTGATGAGAAGTTAATTTCCATTCCTATTGTATAAAATAAAGAAGATGGAGTCGAGTGGCATGGTTTCCATTCCATTCATGCTTGTATGTAACAAGGAGTAGGGTTACCTGTCCAATCTTGTGGGTTTTCTCTGGTTTACTTCAACTGCTAAAGAACCCTACGCGCAAGCAATTTATTGAAATAAAATGGAACCATGTGTTAGTCCAGAAATGACCTATTTCTGGCTGAGTGGACATTAAACCTCTCTCTGTCTCTCCCCCCTCTCTCCCCTCTCTCTCTCTCTCTCTCCCCCCTCTCTCCCCCCTCTCTCTCTCTCTTTATGGGTTTTCTCCAGTTTACTCTGACTGCTAACTGCTAAAAATAAAATGGAACCATGTGTTTGTCACGAAATGGCCTATTTCTGGCGAGTGGACATTAAACCCCATTTCTCTCTGGTCAGTGGACATCAAACTCTCTCTCTCTCTCTCTCTCTCTCTCTCTCCTTTTCTCTCTCTCTCTAAAATATTTAGTGGTTTTAATGATTATATTTTACAGATCCCTATCTCTAGAAAAACAAAAACAGGATTACAGAACACCAGCCAAGGTGACATTTTCGGGAAAAAAGAATAAATGTCTATTAAATGGTTTACCCGAGCCAAGAAAACTTTGTTACAGCTCAGATTTTGACATGGCAGCGGATGATGAGATGAAGAATGAAAATGTTAAAACAACTGATGTGTTGACACCGAATGATGTTGAAGACGGAATCTTAGATCGTGAAATCTACAGTGATAGCGATGACGACAACCTTCTACACTATTGTCAGGTTGATGATGATGAGGAGGATGAAACTCAAGAATCGGCACCAAAAACTCCACAGATTCCTGATGACACACAGAAAGATTCTGAGGAACAGTTAGTTCCAAATTCCCAGACTAAAAACACGAAATCTACCGAGACTGAAAATGTAGTATGCTCTGCCACCACACCAAATAAAACAAACTTACAAAAACCTCTAAAAAGTGTTTTCGCCATTCCAAGAGAACCAACCCGCAATCTGAGACCCCGAAAACGCACCAACTACGATGAAAATACAGTAGAAATCCCAAGTTTCAAAAGTGGGATTAGTCCCAAGATGTTTGGTCTTTTAAAAAACAGATCCACCCAAAATAAAAATAGAACAGCGCTGAAGGATTCGAGAAACGTAACGAGACATGAAATGGAAGGACAGAACGAATTGGAAATCGCAGCCAATAAGAAACCTGCTTCTAAAAAAACACCTAAGATTAAAACCATGCCTGGTTTATTTGACGAATATGAAATCGAAATGACGTCTGAGAGTGAATCCAAGAAAGTCCATGACAAACTGGTCGATGAATTTTTGAAATTTGAGAAATCCAACAGATCGAATGATACTGAAAATAAGGAAAAGAAGAATAAATTGAGAGAAAATTTAGCTGATGAACTTGAAGATAATGGAAAGCCAGCTGGTTCTCTAGATACAGAATCAAGATCTACTGGTAGAAATATTGAAACTCATTTAGAAAAGAAGGAATCAAAAAATAGGGGAGGTAATCCAGTGGATTTAAAGCATATTAACGAAAAAAAGAAGAGAGATAATCCATTAGATGATACAAACGAGCAAAAGAAGGGAAATAATCAAGTTGATGTTAAACATATGAACAAAGAAAAGTCGTTAGAAATATCCGGTCAAAATCTGGAGGGCGGAAAAAGGCCTCTGAAGAAAAAGAAAAGAGATAAAATAATTCCATCTGCCGTTGTTAAATTATCACGAAATCCAATATCAAAGAATGATGAAATTCCTGATTTAACAAATTTGAGTGATGAAGAAAATTTGAATGAAGAGCACATGAATATTCATGTCATTAATGATATTCAAGATGAGGATATGAATATTAATGAGCATATTGATGAAGAAGAAGATATGAATATCAATGAGCATATTGATGAAGATATGAATATTCATGTTTTAGATACACTCTCACGGAAATTTAAAATGCCATCATTCTTACAGCCAGAGACTCTGTCGTCCAGTTATAATGATGATGATAATTCTGTACCGGGTAACAATATGACTGGTAATACAACTCTAGAGAAAGTACTACTCAAACTACGGCAGATTGGTTCCCAGTCTAGCCCCGAAATACCAGCAGATGACGAGGAGGGGGAATCCCCTAGATTATTATCTCCTACTCTATCTGGAGTTTCAGAGGTACGTATGTAATTCTGTTTTATATCAGATTTCTGGGTGTCGGGTGTGAAAAATATCTTCGGGAACACCCGTAAACATTTTACTTCTTATTTCTTTGGTAAAAAGACTAAGTTTAATACAAAAGGCACTTGATTGCACCATTCAAAAGCTTTTAGTTCAAAAAAGTTTTTGAATTTAAAACAAGGCATCTTTCATGCAATTCAAATGGCTATTTATTTATTAAGACCCAGATGAAAAGAAAATTAAATTGGTTTGCCCTTACAGACACGGCTCTCATCATATCAGTCATGAATGGCGGTGAAATAGACTGACTAATTGTGAAATTGACTAACCAGTAGGCATAAGTTTTTTGTTGACTGGCAATACGTGTTTTAACACAATGTGTAATCTATTTTTTCAATACTAGTTATTTATTTTTAGTTGTCAAGTTTATCAGAAGCTGAATTTAAAAATGTGGATCAGAAGAGTAATAAAACTGACGAGAAAATGGTGAAGCCTGTTAAAAAAGTGAAAGCCAATTCTGCACAAAAGGTAAACAAAGCTTTTTACAGAGTAACAAATAATTTACTGTAGCCAACAAAATATTCTGGTTCTCAGATAGTCCCATGTCACATAAAAAGAGACTTGTCTCCAGTTCGAAAAAATAATAACAGTCTCATAGGTTATTAGGGTTGCAGCAAGTAACTCTACCGAGCCTGGAAATGCACCATAGATACAATTATCAAATTTGCAACCCTAATAAATGTTGTTGAGAATCATAAATGATACTGGATAAATCATACAATCAACAACATGAAGAGATAAACGAGTGCCTTGAAACTTAATGTTTATGACGAGACATTTTGCCTACCAGTTATCCTTTGGCAAGATAAAAGCTCAAAAACAAAGTATACGCGAATTGTGAAAAAGTGAATCTTGATACATCAATTCAAATATATATATATGGCAGCACTACCTCTCGCATCTTTTACATGCAGTCTGACGTGTACACAGGACCTTGTTTTTCATTCCATCTGAATAGCATCTAGCAATAAACTTACTAGGGGAGACAACTCAGATACACAGTCATTAGCACAATATTATCTCCCCTTAGACCACAGATTGAAATGTGCCAACAAAAACCTTGAACCAGTTATTTACTGACTGCAGAAATGATACACTTATTAAGTATTGACTATATATAATTACTTTAAGTTAAAGAATCAGCTTTCAATTTTGTTTAAAATTTGATACCTTTTCTCATTATTTGTACATCACGTACCTAACTTCATATAGGTTTTCTTTTGTTCCTTAGGTTTCCTATCACTTCTAATGATACCTATATAAACGAATTACATGTATTGAAATAAAATTGAACCACATGTTAGTCTCAAGGGAACATTAATCCAGATTTATCTCTCTTGTTCTGATACAGATCACTTTAATAATAAACAAGATATAGATTAATGTTTATACATGTTTTAAGATTTATTATTACATTTACAGAGGAAAACTGTTGTTATGGACATGTTCCAGGAAATAACCCCACCAGATAAAAAACACACAGCTAAACAACGACGGTAATATATATTATTATTATAAATATCAGAAACGAGAGGGATAATGGCAACAGGCCAATAGCTGTAGATCTGTGTAGCTGCTGGATCAAATGATGATGCCAGCGGAGAGAGCAGACATATAAAAATGCCCACTCATTATAAATATTATCAAGTGTTTCATAAACCTGAGCAAATGTCATGTGGATAAAGAGGGCTGGGGTCTTTTAGAGCTTGTATGCGATATCTCCCTTAGTTGAAGCAGATGTTAAGCCCTGTGAATGAACAAATAATGCTTTTAGCCCTGGTGTTATCTTCAGATTTTGAAATCAATTTAGCTGCGGGACCACAATGGCGGAAGCGTCACTGACCAGGAGATCCTTGCTTTGGTCTTGGTGTTGACTGAGAAAGTTCCTCTAGATTTTCAAACTTACTTTAGATTTCTCAGAGGACCTGGCAAGTTAAAGTGTCTAAGCGTTTGTATGTCTTGTGTATACAGTTGAAATTGAAATAAGTGGTCTATAGCACATTGCATGGCGCAGGCCTGTCTTTATTAGCCTGTAATGAATTCCTATACACAAAAAAATTTTGTTAACTATTTCAGTCTTGCAGCCAGTAATAAAAGCTCAAGTGCCAGTAATTTTGGAATTTTATTTTATGAAGAAGATATTTTCCTATGATTTATAACCAGTCTAAATCAACCAGTCCGTCCAATTTAATTTGATTAATCCAGTGGATCTACATACAAACATTTTGATTTCGTTTGAAATATAGTGCTGAATTGGGTTTGATCGGGTATTTTATTGTGATCAGTAATGCTGTATTCTTCCATTGATTAGGCACATATTTTTTTTTACCATTTATGTATGATGTTAAGCAAATCTTAGTTTTTCTGCATCAACATCGATGTCTGAAGATGAGGTCACTGCTTGAGAATCAATTTGTGTCGACTATGTGACGCTACATCACAATAAGCCTATATAATTTATAATTCTGGTGGCAAAATTAAATACAATTCTGTTCTCTTTCATGTCCAAAATCTAAACAATTAAATATTGATAGGAAATCGGTATGTTTTTTATTTTAGTTTCATTTTTAGCTTGAACTGTAAACATTGGAACATAAAATTATTTATATCTTATGTTTTATGTTTCTTGTAGTATTTTAATCTAGTCAATTGATGAATGAATCTCCTTTAATTTTTTCTGTCGATCAATTACACAGCCTGTTGGGAAAACAGCTTCTAGGGTAATAGACCTTTCTATTGCTAAAGTAAAGCTACATGTTCATTTTTTTGTTTTCTGCTGTACTGGTACGTACTTTATAAACTACAGACCAATTAGTAGAAACTTTTTTCCCTCTTACACAAGCGTCAAAATGAATCTACTAACATTATTCTTGTGTTACTAGTCAATTATATATGGTTCTTATCAATAAATTATGGTTTCATCAGTTATTTATGATGTCATCAATTATTTAGGATGTCATCAATTATTTAGGATGCCGTCAATCAATAATGGTGTTATCAATTAATTATGGTGCAGTCGTTAATTATGGTGCCATCAATTAATTGTGGTACTGTCAATATCAATTATGGTGCTTTCTTTTAATTATTGTACTGTCAATTAAAGAAGCTTTCAACAATTATCATTTCAACAATTAATTATGATGCCATCAATTAATTATGGTGCTATCAATTAATTATGATGCTATTAATTAAATTATGGATGTAAATGTGAAAATACACAAGTTTTTATTGTTATGTTAAGTTGTGTGAATCAAGATATATTTTAATTCTTATTTAATCATGTTAATTGTTATTGCTAATTAAACTGTTTCCAAAAATTATTCAATTTTTTAACTTTTAAACTACAACAAACTTGAAACATCTCCATCTCTGGTTTGTCCCACATACAGATATGCCTGTTCTCTATATGGCCAAATGTATAATGCTAGGGAGAAAAATTGTGCCCCTGCACTGGCTCACCAACCAGGATTTTGCTGGTTCAATCATGTCCTATTGTCACTTTACTTGTCAGCTCTTGCAAGTGGCAATGAGCTTGCAGAATCCCGAGATTCGAATTTGGTACATTCTTGTTGAGAGGTCTGGCAAGGAACAGTGGTGTCTAGTAGTTCAGATGGGACAAAAAAAAAAAGGTCTACCGGTGTACTTAATGAGATGCATTCAAATGAACCCTTGGAATTTGAAGAAGGGTAGCCAGAATCACTGTATGCTTGTTATCATTAGCCAAGTCCTTGCCTTTATCGCTCACTGACCAAGAATTTAAAGGCAAGGTTAATAAAAACATTTATTACCATTTTGTTTAAATTCTCATTGAGAATAACATACAAGGGGTCTAATTCATGGAAAACCTAAACTAAAATGTTTTAAATTTAAGGATTCAAATATTTATTTATTTGGTTGAGATCAGTGCCAATTTTAGAAGAAGAGAGGCTCAAGCTATTCCACTTATGAGAAAAGCCAATGATGATGACATGTAAGAAAAGCTTATGATTGTGCCCAAAATATTACAGTATATACACTTTGCCCAGAGTCCCCTAGATTTTGACGCCCTGTCATTTGGGCCGGAACAAATTATATTCTTATTTTTAATACGTCTTTTGGCCCGAGTTCCCTTAAATTTGGCGTCCTGTCATTTGGGCCGGAACAAATTATATTCTTATTTTTAATACATGCTTGACACAAGCTTAAAAATGTCCGTTACATCTTTAATATCAGAAGCAACAAAATTTGATTTCACATTCCTGTATTGTTTGTTTTTTCCTTGTTTTTTTGCACAGTTATCCTACACTGTCTCTTGTCCTGAGCACAAACCAGTCAAAACTATTTTTAGTCTGTCTAAATTACATACAAGACATCCTTCACAATAAAACAAATTCTAGTCTTTCAAAATTACAATCAAAACTTCTTCCACTATCATTTTTTGGAACCACCAAATCCTGAGAACCCCATCAAGGCAGCCATATCATCATCACCATCATCTAAATCAGTGTCTGCTTTACGCTTTCGTTCTTTCCTCTTCTCTTTCTTGTAGGCTTTTTGTTTCTCCTCCTGTACAGAAAAACAGATTTATAAATAAATATTTAAAGGACAATTTTTACATGTGGAATGTGTTTAACCAGTTCTATCACATATGTGATAATAATGACTGACACCAATATTGTCCTTTAATTTAGACAATAATAAAAAAAATTCTTGTTTTCAGATACCACTGCAAGAATGGAGTTTCAAAAATATGCTTATTTTATGGCATGTAAATTGACTGCTGATGGTTCCTGATCAATTTTGATCAATTTTTAACACAAGTGGTCAAGACCAGCATATATGACCAAGTTGCAACCAATAAACTTGGTCCGTTTCTATTTTGAAAAAGTAAAAACATTCTCGTTAACATTTGTTCATATTTCCTATGGTAGAGGGAAGTAACTATAAAGGATTTCTGGTTGAGTGCACAGTAGGCTCAAACATGATGAAATTGACAATCATACTGATGCATTTTTTTCAAGAAATGACAACCATCTGTTCATCGGCGTCAAGTGAAAATAGTGATAATGTACATTGAGTCATTTGAAAATAGTGTTCATATACATGGAATCAATTGAAAATAGTGATTATGTACATGAAGTCATTTGAAAATAGTGATCATGTACATTGAGTCATTTGAAAATAATGATCATATACATTGGGTCATTTGGAAATAGTGATCATGAACATGGAGTCATTTGAAAATAGTGATCATGTACATGGAGTCATTCGAAATTAGTGTACATGGAGTCATAAGATAGTGATGATGTGTATGAAGTCAAATGAAAATAGCGATCATGTACAGGGAGTCAATTGAAAATAGTGATTACGTAAATGTAGTCATTTGAAAATAGTGATGATGTACAGGGAGTCAATAGAAAATACAGGGAGTCATTTGAAAATAACCCACCTCTTCTTTTAATTCTTTCATTCGTTCATCAAAATCATATTCTTTCTTCTTTTCTTCCTTTTTCTTTTTATTCATTTCAAATCTTTTTTTAACCTGATCTAATGTTGATCTTTCTATTTTCATGGACATACCAAGATTTCTCTGATCTGAAAGATAAAGCAGGGGATGATTCTAAATATACTGGGTTTTTTTGTTCTGTGCAAGCCTGGAATTACGGAAATGAGTTTAATATAAATGAAATATGGTTTAAAAACATGTTTTCGGCATCAAACATACTTTTTGGCTAATGAAGACGCACATCATCCATACAGTGTGCTATCAATAAAACCTGTAAACAGGACCTTACAATCACATGCTGTGTTCCAACTGACAATGGAAGACACATTGTAAAATAAAAAGAAATGTGGTTTAACGTTCTACTCTTCTGCACTGACTGGACTAATGAAGACAGACATATGCCACACAGTGTGCTATGAGGAAATTTTGCCCGGTTCCAGCACAAAGTTAAAAAATCTCAGCATGGTGCCTGTCATTTTGTCAGAGAGGGGAATAAATAGGAGCGTAACTTACGTTTTTTGCCATTAATGTGATCAAGGAAATTGATACTATCTTTTACAACACAATCACAAACATTACAAAAATATCTGGAAAAGTACAAAATAAATATACAGAAGTACAATAAAAAGATTATTTCTTCACTTTGGGTATCCCAGCTTTTCTTGTGCCCTTGCGACTGCTTAATACATGAAACCCTGGACTTAACTCCTTTTTTTTTTCACTAAAGTTAAATATTTTAAAGGAGAAAAATACAAATTTTTGAGCACCAATAGGGCTAATGAAGACAGATACATACATACTAATAGTTCATTACCTGTACTTGCATGCCAATGAGTATATGGCTTGACCTTCCATCCTAATGAATACTGGCAGACACTTTTCCTTGTCAGGTGTCTTAAGCAGTGGGAGGGAACCAGAGGACCCGGAGAACACCCACAAGGTTAGGCAGGCTACCCTACTCGTACAAGTAGGGAATCGAAAATACAGCATTTGACTTACTGACAGACCTTATCATCTAAAGTGACTGGCCACCCAAACCCAAGATATCAGAAATAAACAATACATGTGGTAAAATAGCCATACTTCACACAACATTTGTTTTAAAAATTCAAGTGAATCTTGGTCAAGGAGTCAGACTTACCCTCCTTGTTGAAAAGCTGGAGTTGTTTTTGTTATCACCTGAGATCTACCTAACTTAGAATCTAAATCAACCTAAAAGTTAAAACAAATATTTAAAATCAATTCAATGGCCACAGACAGAGGAGAGGGAAATCAAATGAAATGGGGCTTAACGTTCTACTGTCCTGTACAAACTGGGATAATGGAGATGTGCACATGCCATGCAATATGTTATGATGGAAATACTCCGAATTGCCACTGTAATTGTAAAGGGATCTCTTATGTGCACTACCTACTGGTATACAGGAACCCCAGTTTTGTATCCTATCCAAATGACTAGACACTATTTCTTGTCGTTCTCAGCCAACACCAGGATCAAATCCAGGTTAGTAAGCTAGGCTTTACTTACTTCATTCTTGATTTAGTCTTTTTATCATTGTGAAATCATAACTTAGGCCTGTTCATTCTTGATTTACTTTTTTTTTATCATTGTGAAATTATAAATCAGGCCTGTGCATTCTTGAACAAAAAAATCTTTTGAAATAAATTGATTACCTTATAATCTCTAGGTTGAAGAAGTTCCCTTTTAATAGGAATTTCTCGTTCGTTTGACCCACTCTCCTTGGCCAGCTCCTCCTCCAATCTTTCTTTAGCAAGTTTCTCATATTCATCGGCATCCCACTTTCTTCTGTGGTCACCAGGGGTTTTCTAATTAAAACATAAAATATATTTTTAAAGAAAAAGATATTGTCATGTAGGTCATTTGAAGTGGAGATAGAGATAAGCTTACATGTACATAGAGTTTAACATTCACTCAAAATGAAATGAAATGGGGTTTAACGTCCTACTGTTCTGCTCTGACTGGGCTAATGAAGACGGGCATACGCTATATACTGTGCTATGAGTGAATTTTTGCCAGGAAAGTGGTGCTAAAGCCTATTCTTATATCAAATTCCAACTGTTAAGGGATCTTTAATGTACATGCCAATGTGTATACAGGACCAAGGTATATGTCCCATCCAAATGACTATACATTGCCCCTTGCCAGGCCCTCGGTCCTGCACCACTAACTAAGAGGAACCACTCCAGAAAATCCTGATGAACTTTCTCCACTGAGCCACCATGGCTCCCCGTTCACTTAAAACAAATCAGGTTATTTAGGGACTACCATTACAATTTTATTTCAATATCAATAATTCACTTGCATATAGCCATATATCAGTATGGTTGGAGAAAACCAGAGGACTCAAAGAAAAACCATACAGTTCAGCATGTCAGTCTACTCCTTTACATGTACAAGCTTGGGATCAAAATTACGGTACTCAAAGTAGCTAAGTCTTTAAATCAATATCATCTAAAATCTTCGACATTGAAAACACGAATTATTTGTCAGTTTAAATCAACATTGATATTGTGATCTTACCGGGAAAAGATGGGCTTCTGATATTCAATATTAAAGACAAAATAACCATTTTACCATTGGTACACGAATCGTGTACCATAATGCATTTCAGCGCCATTTGTAACAAGGGCTTCGAAGAACGAGGATAGACATATTCCACGAGTCATGTCAAACGGTGATGCCATATCTTATCTGGAGAGCATGCGCAATAAATACTATCTGCGTGGACTAGAATAACCAGACGCTAGAGATTGCCATTCGATTGAGACTTCTGGCGTATTTCGCCAAACGTAACTGATTTGAAATTGGAGTAAAAATGGAAACGACTGACTTTAAATCAGTTCATATTACATTATTATTATATTATATGCATTGCGAGTTGCGACCCATTTCTAGGTCCCAAATATTAGTTAGTGATTTAGCTCCTTTCTACTGAAAAGAATAACCTGTGTTTGGAATACGAAATGGATATTTAACCGTATACGGCAAAGTATCTACTTCCGCTATTTTACCATACATCGTTTCGGCACAGAAGCACGATTTTACGGGAAAAACATAAACCACTGATAGTCTTAGTACTTAAATTAAAACCAAAATCTGCAGAAATGCGCCCTTAACCAAAGTAGAATAATATTCTAAATGCTTTTCTACAATTTAAATTTATTATCTTATTTTCTTTTAAAAATAATTCTCCAGTTTCTACCATAGAAATTCAAGTATGGCTATTTCGTTCCTTTATAAGAAACGGAAAAAGAAGCTCTGTTAGACAAAGAACGAATAGAACTGCTGGGTTAGGTTTTAGGTTAGGGTTTGGGTTATGGGTTAATGTCAGACACCAAAGTGAAAACTGCTAAGTCCAGGTATCAGAGAACTGCGCATGTTAAACGGAAGCCTACGGCTAACTCTATATTTGTGACTGTCGTTTGTCTGTCTGTTCGGGGTTGGCGGCTACACTAGGTCTGCCCCGAGTCTGAAATTTGGGGTATTGGGGTAGCTCGGACCGGGGAGTAACATAGGCCAGGTGGCGTTAGTCTACCACTTCCGGTTTCGGAGTTATAACCCCCGAGCGAAGCCGGTCTGTTCGGGGTTGGCGGCTACACTAGGTCTGCCCCGAGTCTGAAATTTGGGGTATAGGGGTAGCTCGGACCGGGGAGTAACATAGGCCAGGTGGCGTTAGTCTATCAAATCCGGTTTCGGAGTTATGACCCCCGAGCGAAGCCAGGTATCCTGCTAGTAGTAAAAAAAGTAAAGTGCCGTAAACGGTTAAATATCCACTGCCTTATTCTGAATTGAACATGATACATAAAATTAATTACTTGTTGATAAAGCTAAATAGTAAAGGACCAAACAACCAATTATTGGTATAAATATCCTGACAAGAAGACCATAATGACATAATGTAAGTTTAGTAAAAATATGAAGATGAAGCGACTTTTATTTAAAAATTTGGCCACATCTCTTCATACGCTGAATAAAGTGGATTTGGTATGTGTAAATATTTATTTCAAATAATAACCAAGGTCATTTTTAAGACCGGACAGGTAAAGTTTATTTAAATTAGAAAATATCTAAAAAAATATAATTCACCTCGTACGCCATTTTGAAATGTTTGACTGTTTTCGGCGACAGCATAAAATACTCTTAAAAACATTTCACATTCATTTGTAGAAAAATCTTTTTCTAATAAAAATCAAATGAACTAAACATAAAATACATATTATCCGACGCCAGGGAAACAACTGAAAGTTATATTTAGATAGGTTTGCATTTAAATGCATTCATGTAGGACTAAAGTGATTGTCTATATTTATTATGTTGCAAAGTACAACCTTTACAGCACGCATGTGCGAGAAATGTCAACATAAACACATTTCAGCAGTCGACGTGGCTTTCTAATATTTTTGATTGAATTCGGCGTTAATAACGAAATAATTTCAGTTTTTGGAATTGGATTTGTAAGTATAACTAATATTATATCTAGAAGACGCAATTTATTTATTTCTAGAGACTCTAACTTATGAATAGTGAGGATGTTATTGACAATGTTTACTTTTTTGGCCAGCTGCCAACTTTATATTTATAGTTTTCTGGTTAAATTAATTAATGAATTATGAATGATGGTTATAACCTGTGTGCCTAAAGGAATGAATTGCAGGTGTCAGCATATAATTTCTTGTCACGTGTACAGTGATTTTCTTCAGGGAGCCACTGTGGCTTTAAGCCACTGCAGCACTTGCTCACTAAGCAAGAGGTCATGGACTCTGGCACTGTGTCTGTCATCATTCGGTGGTTGGGGGGGGGGGGGGCGTGCACACCAGTGTGGGTTTTTTTTTTGTATGATCCAAATGACTAGACACAGGTGACACAGGGAAATTGTGCCAGAAAATCCCGAAGGAACTTCAGTGGCCAACACTGTGAGCAAACCAGAGACATTCTGGTTAACAAGTCAGCGTCATACTCAAACCTGAATTATACATATAATTTGATATTGGATTTCTAAAATTGGATTAAATTAAATTAACCATTTCTTTTCCTTCAGGAAATTTAAATTACAAGCGAGTTTCCAATTTTTCGGTAAACATGTCGGATTCAGATGACGATGCTGCTTTTGCAAGTGCTGATGAAGGTGAAATTAATGAACCATCAGCAGGTGGTGCCATGGCAACACAGAAAATAAAAGAGAAGAAACAAAATGTTGAAGAGACGACAAAACAGGAACCACAGAAGCAAGCAAGTGGTCGGAATGAAGGCAAAGGTAAAAATAAAAAGAAAAAAAGGGGAAAGAATGGAGGAAAAGAAACAGGCAAAACTTCGACAGATGAAAAATTATCAGCAAAAAAATTAACAGAAGAAAAAGTAGTACAATCTGAGGAAAGAAAGACAGTGAAACCTGACGAAATACAATCAGAAACAGATGCACAAAAAACTCAAGCAATAACAAAAACATCAACACTAGTTGATGATAAAAAGTCACAGGATAGCTCTGATAAACAATCACAGGATAGCTCAGATAAACAATCAGACATTAACTTGAATAAACAATCCAAGATTAGTTTGGTTAAACAACCACAGGATAGCTCAGATAAACAATCACAGATTAACTCGGATAAACAATCAATCAGTCAAGATAAACATAAGACTGTTGTGAGTGAAGAGAATTCTTCTAAAACTGATCAGAAAGATAGTGTCACAAAAACACCTGTAAAAACTGACAACGTCTCGAATAACAACATAGTCACAGAATCTCCTCAATCTGTGACAATCCCACGAGAACGAGACCATACCCCGGAGCAGGAAGAGGTACTGGAAAATCTTACCACTGCTGCAGAAGAACAGGTAGATATTTATTTTTTGGAAAGTCCAGGCCGCTTATTCAGGTCAATTGTGCCAGTCTAATTCGTCGTAGAAAGAAATGCTACTGTCTGAGCAAAATGTCCCTTATAGCACACCACATGGCATATGCCGTCTTCATTATTAGCCAGGTTGATCAAAAAAGTAGGATGTTAAACCCAATTTCAGTTATTTCTGAAACAATCATTCCTTTATACACTGTTCTGTCTGGTAGACAGTCAGAATTCTAGCTGCCACCAAAAGGTGACAAGTTTAAAATCTATGAAATTGTCTGCAAATTGTTATTACAATTAAGTTATTTAGTACACTAAATAAGTTATCTCCCTTTAGTCTTCAGGTGCATGGGGCTGGGGTTGGGGATCATCATTATTAAAAACAGCCACCAGCTCAGTTTCTACCTTTACACATCAAGTTGGTGAGTATTAACATTTTAAAGTAAGAATCTACCCATGTAATGTTTATGTTTTGAGTTTTTGTGCAATGAAATTGTACCATATGTTGTCCCAAAATTACATAGTTTGTGTCACATGGACATTATTGAACTCTCTCTCTCTCTCTCTCTCTTCTAAAGATATTGAACTCTCTCTCTCTCTGCCTCCCCCCCCCCCTCAAATTTCATTAGAATGAAATGATCTTTAATCTGTTTTTCTTTTGTTTTATATTCCATATCTTATGCCCTATCACACTCAGTTTTACTGTCCATCTGTTATGTTCTCAGATGATGTTATCTGCCTTGAATGGCAGATGTTTCTTAGATCCTTCACATCCCATAAAGAAAATAAAAACAGTCTTTCTAATTCCCACGCATCTATATTTTCTCCTGGAAACAAGAAGTAACTTAATGAAACGGATTAAAACAAAGTGTATCATAGGCTCAATTATCAAGTACATTAATGTTATTGACAATCATAAATTGGTAAATGGAACTCTACATGTATGTTAGTTTGTGTCGAGTGGACATTACTCCAAACCCCATCCCCTTTCTCTCTCCCTCCCTCTCTCTGTAAATAATACATATATGGGTTTGTGGCTTTGATGATCAATTAATTTTAAATGCTATGTTATAGGCGATGGGTTTACAACTTTAATGGATACAGTAGAAACATCATTAGGTGCTCCCCCTCCTGAGGAAATGGCTAAAGATAAAACAATAAGTGATACAGAGAAAGATGGTATGTCTTTATTTATGTTTAATATTTATTACAAATGTTTTATTGTCTTCCTGTTGAACTATTTTTTGTTGAATTATTCACTTTAAGGAGGCAAGTCACTAACTCAATATCGTCCACCATCTTCAGCATTGCAAACACAGCTTATTGGTCAATTTAGATCAACATTGATGTTGATATCTTACCAAGAAAAGATGGGCTTTTGATATCCAATATTTTTAAGGCAAAATGAAAATTTTAAAATTGGCACACGAATTGCATGCCAGAAAACTATCAAGCTCCATCTACTGGTGTAGACTGGAATAACCAGGCGCCAAAGACTGCCATCCCGTATTTTGCTGAGCATAACTAATTAGAAATTACTGTAAAAACAGAAACAATTGAATTTAAATCAGTATAAATTCATATTACATTATTATATGTGTTGCGACCTATTTGTGTCCACTTTTAAAATCCTCTTTATTTCAGAAATAAAGGAGAAAAGAGAAACAGATAAACCTGAATCACAGCCTAAAACTGATGCACAAACAAAAACATTGGACGAGAAAACAAACCCTCCTACAGCTGAAGGGGCTGACGGAGGTGGGTGGTTTTCCAACATTAGTAGTCTCGTTCAAAATACCGTAAGTGACCAATATTTTATCTTCTGATTTACATTAAACCCTATTTTCATTTCAAAATCTAACTATTTCCCCAATATCACAGTCATCAACATCAACACAATAAAAAAAAGTGGCTTCATCTTCACCCCACATGGTAATTAGGTCTTAACAAGAGCTCAAAATCTCTATAATGTCTGTGTGCAAGCCATTGACATTTACTCTAATTTCACCTAGATACTGAATGTCATAGAAATAAAATGGGGCAATTATTGTTCCCCACGTATAATAACACAGAATTCCGCCTCACCCCGGGATCGTGTTATACATGGGCATGTGTTATACATGGGCACATGTTATACATGCACATTTACGGTACTCTTCAAAACGTCGCTCAAATAGATTAGTAATTGTTCTTCAACGAGTATGGAAGCCATGGTGGCCAAGTAAGTAAGACACTGGCTTGCTAGCCAGGGGGTCAGCTTTCTAGCCTTTCGAATGGGACAAAAAAAAACCCCATGGTCTTGTGTACATATTGGCGTGCACGTAAAAAATTTGATATAAGAGTAGGCTGTAGTGCTGCTGTCCAAGAAAAATTACCCTCATAGCACTGTATGACATATGCCCGTCTTCATTAGCCCAGTCGAGCAGAAAAGTAGGACGTTAAACCCCTTTCCATATTATTTTTTCCGTGAGTATGTTATACGTTATTGATATTCATTACCGTATGTATGGACTGAAAGTTTGTATTTGACTTTAAAGGCGTTACGCTTTTAGTGTGGAATATCGTGACTTCATACAAAATTCCGATGCTGGCTTGTACAGGAGACTGTTATCTTAGTAGTGTTTCTTGATTGTAGACAAAATGGATTTAAAAAATATTTGATTAAAACACCACCAATAAGATTTTCACATAAACAGTTGAAAATTTCTCAGGAAATATGGTATTTGTTTTATTTGAAAGGTTTCTGAAAGTATCGGTGTTTTGGAGACAATTGGTACAGGAAGTTTGGACGTGATGGAAAAGATTGGTAAAAAGACGTACTCCGTTATCACCGACCACGATCCAGGGTTCCGCAAGGCCAGACAATTTCTGGGAAACAAAGGAGATAAACAGAATTTATCCTCACTTTTACGAGATGCAAAAGATGAAACCGATCAGAAGATTGAAATGGAGAAAGAATCAGAAGAAGCAAGAAAATGTCATTTTGGTTGTTTATTTGATGATTATCAAGGTAAAATGGGATTTACAAGTATAAGCGATTGGGTGACCTAATGGGTTAACACATGCGCTTTAGAAAAAGGTCTGTCATTGAGTCAAGTGGCATGGTTTCGATTCCCCACTTGTACGGGACAAGGAATAGGGTCGCTTGTCCAACCTCGAGGGGTTTTCTCCCACTGCTAAAGATCTCTACGTGCAAACTAATTATTTAAATAAAATTTAACAATATGATATTTCCAAAATTATCTACCTTTTGTTCAGTGGACATTAAACTCTCTCTCTCAAGGTGTGGAATTTGTTTATTTTTTGAATATGTTTGTCTGATTGCAGGATTGGCTCATTTAGAAGCTCTCGAGATATTATCCAATCAGAGCGAGAAGCGTGTTCAGACGTTATTACACGCCATGTCAGAAGAAACTATAGCAGAGATTAAACCAGAATTGTTACAAATAAAAGATATTTTTGAAATAGATGAGAATGATGATGGTAAGTATGTCAAATGTTTTTTCAGCATATGAACTAATGCTCTTAACCGGGGCCAAGGAAAGGGGGCGTACTGATTATGGTGAATGATTAAAAGTATAAATTACTGAGGTTAGTAATTGAAAGTATAAATTATTGAGTAATTGAAAGTATAAATTATTGAGTAATTGAGAGTATAAATTATTGAGGTCAGTAATTGAGGTGAGTGATTGAAAGTATAAATTATTATGGTTAATAATTGAAAGTATAAATGTTAAGGTGAGTGATTGAAAATATAAATTATTATGGTCAGTAATTGAAAGTATACATTATTAAGGTCAGTGATTGAAATTATAAATTATTGTCGTGAGTGATTGAACGTATTAATTATTGAGTAATTGAAAGTGTAAATTATTGGCATATTTTGTAGAAGAAACAGAGCATGATTTTGTAAAGCTGGTAACAGATCAACTGACAGAATTACATCTTGGTACAACTCCCGATAAACTAAACAAAGTCCAGGAAAAAACACGAAAATGGCTGGTTGATTTCCACTCTGAAAGTGGAGATGATAAAACGACAACCATTTCACGTGATCCAAAGGTTAAATTTTATATATTGTATTTAATTACTTGTGGATACTCCAGAGTCTTATGTGTCATGTTTGCAAATGCTGATTGATTAAACAATGAACTGGCCACTATGGTATCGTAAATCACTCTACTTTCGGCTAATTGCAACAGGTTAATTATTACTTGTTGATTAAGAAGTCAATGAACTGTGATCTCCCGATTAACTTGAAATACATACAAAGCCGCATGACTTGATTTTATTTGAAGAAATTTAAATTGTATGGTGATCTATTGTCGTCACCGCTGTCTTTCCACAATGGATGTCGATGAGTAGCCATATTAGTCAACTTTTAAAAAGTGTTTATTGGTTTTACAGGAAATACACCGACTTGCCATTCAGTCGTTAGCAGAACTAACGTCTAAAAGTGTTGAACAGTTCCATAAAGCAGGGGAGTTAATTCTATTACAGAAAGATGGAGAGAAATCATATCTGGACCGATCTAAAGCTCTAGCTGGGTATGTTATTTTTACTGGTTAATAATACGATGAATGCAGATGGATCGTAAACCTTTCATAGCTGGGGGCTAATGTAAGCTTCCGCCCAAAGGAATGAAGTGTGTACTATACCCCCACCATTTATACAGTGTTTTATCTCCAATTTATCCTTCTGAAAGCCCAGCATACTAGTATATGTATAAGGAGTAGAGTATAAAAGACCCAACAATCCCTTTAACTCACTTGGTAGAGGTGTATAGATTCATGATTTTTTCAGTCATTAGTAGACATGACCCAATGTGTCTTTTTTCTCTCTTGTAATGTAGATATCATTTTATTTTTTAGCTTGACCCAGGTTTTATGTACAGAAGTTGGAATTTTATCAACTAAATTTTCACATTGTCTTAATACGGTTGGGGTAAGTTCTAAAATTAAATACATTCAAGTCATATTTGGGTTTTGTTTTTTAAAGATGCCTTCCCATTACAAGCTTTGTGATTTGATGATATATTTGGACTAAAAACTTATTCAAACTAATTTGTCTATCAAAAGTTTGCTTCAAATCCCTCTCAAAACATTTTAATTGGAAGAAAACTACCACAAGCTGTAAAATTCTATTTCAAGTACATGTAGTCTTGTTTGCCATGTGACTTGATTGAGGGGAGGGTTCATTTTCAGCTTGTTACTAGCTGTCCAGTTACCGTAAATATCAAAGCCAAAAGCGGAACACAGACCATGGAACATTTTAGCCAAACATTCATGAAACATTGTTCCTATAAATTTGTTCATCGTCTGCGGGTTAAAAAACATGAAAAAATGTTTGTGAAATCAAACATGTTAGATATTTGGAACTCTGTTCGTTGTCTGCGTCGAAACCGAACATTCACGGAACAGCTTTTTCAACACAGTACCAATCTGCGATTACATACATATGCCATTTTGAAATTGCATGATTTTGTGTGGCGGTAAGAATGACGTATGTTAATATGTATACGTCATTAGGTGGTAGTGTATTGTTCGAGCTAAAACATTTGTTCATCTGTGGTGATTTTATGTGTATTGTTCAACCTTAAACATTTGTTCGTCTGCAGGACCGTGTTCAGTGTTTTTGTTCATTCAATTGTCTGTGCTAGTCCTAAGTAAATACTTGGATTATCCTCGACTAACTTAATTTCTCGGCTGTTTAATCGTGAAATTTGCAGTACATTTAAGTTCATTCAACATAAAAAACCATGAGATCTTTAAGTCATTCATGCAGACATGCTGCCAGTTAGTGATCCCCTTACATTTTTGTCCTGTGGGAAGTCCTATCGGTGTTTTTCAGGGAATCCAGTATTTTTCTAACAGTAACATGTATAATTCTATTGTTTTAGGAATCTGAGGAAGCATCTGAGGTTGTGAATCCATTAGTTACTAATATTTATCTTGAGGTAAAAACATTTTGTTTGTAATCATTCTTAGTTATTTTATTATTGTGTCCACAAAGTAATAAATGCATAAAAAACACTTCAAATTAAGTAGAAAGAAAGAGAGAAATGAGGCTTAACATCCACTCAACACAAACTAGGTCATTTCGGGACTATCACATGATTCAGTGTTATTTCATTAAGTTGCTTGCATATAGGGGTCTTTATAGAAGTGGTAGGAAGCCGGAGGACCCTGACAAAACCCACAAGGTTGGACAAGCAAATTTACTCCATGTTACGTACAAGCGGGGCATCGACATCACGCCACTTGACTCAGTGGCAGACCTTGTGATGCAGCACGCTGTGTTAACCATCCCCCCCCCTCCACACACACACACCCCTTTCGACTTAAATAAACAGAAATCAATAATGCAAACACAAGGACAATGTAAGCAATAAATGATTTCAATTGAATGGATCAGCCTTAAGTGTCCACCGTGCAAACAAACTGACTTTAGAGACTTAGCAAAACTTTCTAAGAAATAGAATAACCAAAATATTGTGATGTTAAAATCTATTTTATTTTTGTTTAATTTTTACATATCGTTTGTAAGCATCTGATTTAATTTCCTGCACTGAATGGACTCTTTCCGTTCCTGTTTTGTTTCAGCAGCATATCTTAATAACCATTTAAGATATAGTAGTCATGCCTTTCGTACATTCAGGGCATTTGGATGGTCGAATGGTTAGCACGTGTCATTAAGTGAACTGGCGTGGTTTTGATTCCCTGGTTGTATGTGACAAGGAGTAGGCTCGCCTGTCCAACCTCGTAGGTTTTCTTCGGGTCCTCCGGTTTCCAGCCACTGCTAAAGACCCCTAAGCGCAAGCTAATTATTGAAATAAAAATTGAACTATGTGTTAGTCCGGAAATGACCTAGTTTGTGTCGAGTCGATGTTAAACCCCAATTCTCTCTCTTATATTTAGGTATGCAAGGGCATAGGATATATATGACTTTGATGTCGATCGCAAGCTTGTATATTTTTATTATGTTTTTCAGGCCACCAACAGTAGTACATATATTCAGGATGCATTTGAACTTCTATTGCCCGTTTTACAGAATGCAGTTATACAAAACTCAGATGTTTTACAGTGAGCTTCATTTGTCTCAATCATCCAGTGAGATTCAAATCATGCAGATACTCTTCAACTCGATCATCCAGTGAATTTCTAATTCAGATTTTTTATATCAGGAAGTGATTCCATACTATCTTCTTAAGGCGATGCTCTTCAAAATAAAAATAAAACACGACACCTAAGGCTTTGAGGCTCTGGCAATTTGAGGATAATGGGCATTAAACTTTGTTCTTCGGAGAACTGTGCATTGATTAACTGACTTCATTTTTCCGAAATGATATCATAATTCCAAGATGACTGCCATGACGTCAATTGGTACTCTTGTACTTGTTTTTATTGATTCAAGGGAATCAAGCAGACTGTAAATTTTCTGATTTGTTTGATTTAATTACATGTTAAATTCTCTCACATGTAGATTACATCTAGTGCTATGTTTTAAAATGTGTCAAAGACTATTATATAGTCATCACCATGTCTCGGTCCGTTTGTCAACCATTGGCCTGTGAACGCGGTAGAGTCCACAGTTTCTGTTAGATCTGTTTTCAATTAGGTGTGAAGCATTGTGATCATAAGAGGACGAACCCTATCGATATTCAGTGCTGTGTGAGTTGTCCCCCAGTTTAGAGGCTATAGTTTCAAACAGATTCGTTTGAGATCTGGAGAGAAACATTATTTCAAGTTATTTAAGGTATTTTGGAATTGCAATATCAACCCTAAAATGGCTTTATTTTATTCCCACCAGTATTTGCAAAGATATAAAAAAGATTTGGTTTTTCTTGTCTTAATTAAATGTTTTAAAATGTCTCTGAGTTTTTTTTTAAGCCATTGAAGACTACATGAACTGAGATGGATTTACTAATCATTTCATTGTACCCCTCAAGGGTCTAGGTAATGCGTAGTGTCACACCATAAATATTGCATTACCTTGATTAAAATTTCTTTCAACATTTATCTTTTTTTTTAAAATAAAGAAAAATTAATATTTTAAAATCAATTTCTTTTTTGTCAAGCGTTACATGTTTGAAATATTAATAGGTCGTCTTGCATGCTAAAATTCATATGCAGGTTATGATGATAGAATTTTGACCAGTCAGATTGCAGGCAAATATATTGTTACTGACAGCGGGGCTCAGGTCGTCTTATCTTTTTGAACTCCATAGATTCCTACATTACAGCGGTGCTACGTCTTTCTCTCATTTCCAATTCTGTAGTTTCATATGGGCCACCAACTTCTCAGAAGAAAAGGATGAATTATAATTTGAGAAGCACTACTTGCATTTTTTCCTGAACCTGGTTACATGTGATTATGCTACTTAGTTATATCACATCAAGATTTTCTAATGACCGCATAAGCAAGAGGCGCCCAATTTTAAGCATCACTAAGACCCTGACTTCTATATGGTCTGCTGGTGACTTGAACCCGCTTAGCCAGTTGACCCTCCTTCTGTACAGAAAAAGCCCTTCATGAAAAATTACCCCTCCTTCAAATGACACGTTCCTGGAGACACCCCCTCTAACGATATTGGGATTTTTGTGCCCATTCAGAATCTTGTTCCTTGGTGATCCCTATGTTCCTACTATCCATCAAGGGAAGACAACTTATTTTCCATACATTTAGTTGGAGAAATGGGGTTCAATGTCCACTCAACACAAACTAGGTAATTTTGGGACTAACATGTGGTTCAATTTTATTTCGATAATTTGCTTGCGCATATGGGTTTTTAGCAGTGGGATGAAACCGGAGAATGTGAATAAACCCCACACAGTTCACATGGTTCTTAAAAGTGAAACAATGCCCAATTATTGGAATGACCTTCAAACACTGTGCATCAAGTTCAAGGCAATCGATAACATTAGCCCCTGTAGTGACACAAGCTTGTGGATGACACATAGGATAGGGTTACAATGAGATGGTACAACAACAACCAGAGCGGATATATAATAGGGTTTAACGTCCATTTTTGCATCAACAGGGTTAACACAGTGTGTTATGATGATAATTATGTACATTAACATTGGGAAACCATACGGATAATCCAGAGGAACTTTCTCGGTCAACACCGAGAGCGAACCCGAGACCTCCAAGCTAGCAAGCCAACATTGTACTCACTGAGCATTGGGCTCCTTTTGAAAAGAAATGCACACCAATGTGCACACACGTGGACTTTGAGGTTTTTTTTGTTGTATTTCAGTGAGGTGAACTCTCCGTGTCAGTATTGAAGATGCTACCCATGACATTGGGGAACCGAGCATGACAGAAAAAAATAAATAACGACAAAGATTCATATTAAGTTATGAAATATGATTTAATACGTACAATATGTGAATTTTGACTCAAATCATACAAAAAAATATTCGGTATATAAATGAAACAAAATGAAATGGGGTTTAACGTCCTACTTTCTGCACTGATTGGGCTAATAAAAACGTGTGTACGCAATAGTGTGTAATCAATGAGGCACTACGGCCTACTCCTATTTCGCGTTCAAGTGTCAACGGTTGTATTTCGTCCCATTTGCATGACTAGACACTGTCCTTGCGTCCTGTACCCACTGACAAGTGGAAACCACGCTGGAAAATTCCGAGGATGTTTCTTGGAAAACTCCTGGATCGACTTCCAAACCTCAAGTGGCTTAAGACATGTTCTTTTATTGCTTTAGAGAAGAGATTAGTATGAATTATGTATAATTTTTCAAGGAATGATATTTGATGATATGTATTCATCGTTTATTGCGTTTACCACCGGGTCCCGGGGGTTTATCTAGGGTAAAGGGTTGATTGGTGCTGGATGAGATATTAAAGGGTGCAACCCCGAGACTAGGGGTAGCCAAGGTTGGTTGTGTGGTGCCGAGTCCAAATCCTGTTGTGGCTGCTGGTGTAGCAGATGTTGAACTTCCAAATAACCCTCCAGTTGAACCTTTTGAGATAAAAAAAACAAGAGAATTATACTTCAATGGACAACTGGTGGAGGTAAAAAAAAACAATAGTTACAATTGAAGTAACAACCAGTGGAGATAAAATGGAGGTAATAATAAAATTACAATTAAAGGTACGACTAGTGGAGATCAAAAAAGCCGAGCTACACTTCAAGGGACAACCGGTGGAGGTAAAAATAATAGAGATGCAATTAAAGAGACAACTGGTGGAGATGAAAAAAAATAAAGTTACAATTAATAACAGAAAATTATAAATTTAAATCCCGTTTTATTTCGAATTACATGAATAATCCACACACTGACCTATCACTGTGACTACAGTGATAACACCACCGATACACTGAAGGAAACATTACTAGTCTTGATACACCAATACAAGTTGAAATTTAAGAATGAATCAATTTCAGACCCTTGTTGTGCTGTTCGAACGGTAGAGCTGGATTATCGAGACAACTTATAGAGAGTAATATTAAAGAACCGTGGCCCACTGAATGACAGTCAAAAAAAAAAAATGTTCTAGATACTTTGCTTATGACAAGAGGAGAATAAAAAACACACTAATATATGCATAAGATAGTATGCTCAATCATAAAACAAGCCCCCATTCATACACTGACCACTAACAGCTTTGTTGTTCTAAAATAATAATCTTATTACCAACATGATCAGCCTGGTAAAAATTCTGTGATAAAACTGTATTATCAATCTTAAAGCCATTGTTACAGGTCTTAGAATGTCCAAACTTCCTTTGGGGAATTCTAAATACCTTGAAATTACGTTCAGTATTTACAAAAAATATGATTGATTTTCAACAGATTTATACACGATTGGTAGTTAATAATCTAATTTAAAAATGGATAATCAAGACTTTGTTTATTATTGTAACAATGGTAGCAATGATAATCGGGACTACACTGTTCTTCAAATGACCATAACGACCTGTAGAGTGTCCACAAGCTAAGAACATGATTTTTCTTAAAATCAGGGGCAAAAAGGATCCAAGAGCTTTGGGAGATAGACCTATATTTCAAGTTACGTCAAAATCAGATAAAAATTGTGACCTGTAGAGTGTCTACAAACAAATTATGGACGGACAGGGGCGTCGGCATAATGCGCCCACATGAAAACGTGGGTGTATAAAACGTAACTCTATCAAGCGTTTCTTGAAAAGAGGAATTAAACACTAGACTCGGCCATCAAGTATGAACATGTAACACTATTGACAATCACGAATGGCAATGTAGTAAAATAAGTATTAAATTTAAAATTTTGTGTTTCTTAAATACGAAAAACTAGCAAGAATTTTGACAAAATAAAAACAAAAAAACCCCCAAAACCACCCTCCTGCATCAACTTTTTTTACTAAGGATTGTCTGTGAACCAGAATATTTTTTTGTGTGGCCTAAACCAACCATCCGTTGATGGGTCTCTTTTAAATCTGTTTGAATCCAATGGGATTATCTACTACTGATATTTTCATTCTGTTTTTATAATTAAATGTTAAATAATCAATCTACTCTAAGTACATAAGCGCGTGGATTAAGCTGTGACAAATTTGATATTTTCCGAAAAATGCAAAGCACGAATAGTTGCATTAATACATGTATTCAGTCTGCATATGAATGATGCAACTTCCTACATCATACCGTATTGAACTCCATCATAGCCTTATGTCTGAAGACAAAACTTAAATTTGGAGACGCAAGACTGACAGGTGACAAATGACGAAAAATGGGAACCACAAATAATTTTGTGGGTGTGTTTGGTGGGAGTTTAGGGCAGGGGGTATAAAAAGGAGTGCTTACCCCCAACTAACCTAAGGGTTTAATAGGCGTAGATGTGAATGTAGAACCGAAAGAAAGGGCTGGTCTAATACTAGGAGTTACAGATGACGACAGGCCTACAAGCAAATAAACAGGTTGTAAGCTTTACAGTAAATATCTATAAATACATGGCAGGCAATATAAACACACGCTCACCAACTTGTCTTGGACATCAATAAGCATAAGTTAATTTACTGTGTTAAACCTATATGAGAGTGCACAGGAACTTGTTCAGAAATATTTAACAAAAAAGTTTCCCAGTGGTAATGCAAAAGCCTTCTTTTAAAGTGAAAAATGCAAATGACGCACAGTTATTGCAGATTTATTATGCAATTTGCTATTGTATCAATTGTACTGTTACGAGTAGCATTTTTTGATTTTGTTTAGTAGAATTTAAATCTCCATAGATCTTGCCCTTGGCACAAACTAGGTCATTTTGGGACTAACTAATAGTGGTGCAATTTTATTTGAACAAATCGCTTATGTGTAGGGGTTTTGGGAAACAAACCGGAGGTCCTGGAGAAAACCCACGATGTGGGACTTGCGACCCTACTCCTTGTCACTTACAAGCGGGGAATTGAAACCAAGCCACTTGACTCAATGGCAGACCTTATGATTTCAAGTGCACACTCAACCACTGGACAGACTGACAGACTAGTTGACAAGACATGATGACAAAATATTTTGTAGGTGTATATAAAAATATAAAAAAAAGATGAGTGTGATAACTAAAATAAAAGATCAAGGCCTATGATATATTTGTGGTTAATAAAATAAATAAGTAAAACTATAAATAGATGAGTATAAACATTCAATATCTACGGTAAATATTAATATACATAAAATATACAAATGTACAGGTTGTTTTAAACTCTAATTCTTGACACAACTATTATACAAAAACAACAATACAAGTACTAAACATCACTCACATGGAAGTCTCTGGCCGCCACACTATCATTTTACCGTAAGTCTGGTTTTGTTGCCATGGAATATCTCATAAACCATTCAAGATATCTTTATAAAACTTTGTACACACAGCAACCCAAACTTGTTATCTAAACTTAGTCTAAGCAGAATATGATGGAACTTAGTCAAGGTCTTGATGAGTTTAATCACAAGTTATCTTGTCCCAAACATAGACCAATCAAATTACTTATCTCTGCTTAGCTTTAGTGGAAAATGTTAATCAGTGAACACAGTAGTGAAGACGTTCACCTAATGAACATCTACGTCGTTCCTTGTCAGGCCCGTTGCTCTGCACCACTGACAAGGGGAAACAGCACTGGAAAATCCTGGGGAACTCTTTCAGCCAACACCTGGATTGAACCACAGACCTCCTAGTAATTGAGCCAGTGCCTTACTGAGCCAACACTTGAGATTTCACGTGCACATATTAAACCACAAGACCACCCTATGACCCAGAATTTGTACAGAGAATCGTGTTTGTTTAGAATTGGATCACTAATTGTTGTAGAACAGTTTTGTCAGGATTTTACACTATTCAAATTATTTCAAACTATCAATTTGAGGTATGTTCAACTTGCAAATTACAAATTCTTTTGATAGACCTCTTTTTATTAACCAATTGAAACCATGCAGGTGATTACTGTTAATAATATATTGATTTGATTTTCTTAACTGATGAAAATAACCGAATGATCGTTGCTTTGTTTATCATCAACTTATGAACTCTGTTTGAAATAATTTGACTGAAAGGCAACTAACGGACTGTTTTTAGTAATGCCTACACCATTAAGTGCTATGAAAGAAAAATATTAATAGCATAAACTTTACCTGAACCACCAAATAAACCTCCTCCACCTCCTAACGTACTGCTACCCAATGTCGACGTACCCAGTGTGGAGCTGCCGAGTCCAAATCCTAGAGAGGATGTATTTAAACCACTGGTTAGACCAACAATGGGTGGGGCCCCTAAAATGATAGACACAATTCAATTTTAAATATACATTATACAAGAGCTAAATCTGCAAATTGCAGGTCTTTCATTAGGCCTTAAATGTTATCTAAATTATTAATTAGACATTAATTAACTCTTCCAGACCATATCCAACTCTCGATGTCATCGCTAGCCTGCGATATATACTGGATTAGAATCTGATCTGCTGCTCAACGCTCATTCATGATTAAATCAAGAAATGGATAATCAAGACTATGTTTTTTTATCGTACAAACTTTAGTAATGATGATCGAGGAAAGACCCAAATTCAATCGCTAAATTCTCGGTTCAGTAAATTTCCTTTACATTATCAAGTTTTTAACTATTATAGTGAGAACTGCCAGCTCTTTGTCTAATCTCCCATAATGTATATTTAATCTATATGTTTAATATTCACTGATTCTCTATCTTTCTTAAACTGATAAATTGGTTCAATGGCATTTAGTAATTTACCTGGAATACACAGGTCACAATTGTCCTATCTTCTATTTGATAACCCTTAAATATCTACTTCAGTCTGGTTAATCACAACTATATATGGAGAATGTAATATTGAGAGCCTAATTGTCAGAATGACTTGTGAGATGGCAGAATAAACATCAAATTAACAATCTATTCTTCGTATTTAAATTAATAAATCTGCACGGCAATTGTAAGATAAAATCTATGGAATACAATTACGGTGGATTACTGAGCGGCATTTCGACTACCCATATCATCCGAATGACTAGCCACCACCAAGGGGAAACCAAGACAGAAAATCCTGAGGAACTTTCTAGTCCAACATCTGGAGCGAATCCAGCAGGTGAGCTGGTTCAAAGTTAATCTGACAGACTGTTACCTGACAAATGAAATTAAAAGAGGTTACTCTTATTTTGAATTCTAACTGTGAAGGACTTTCTTATGTGCATGCCAATGTGCACATGGGATCTTGATTTTTGTCCCATCTAAAGCTCCTCTGTTCTACACCACTGAGAAGGTGGAACCACGGCGGAATATCATGATGTACTTTCATGGCCAATATCGGGATCGAACACGGGACCTCCAGGTTAGCAAGCCAACATCTTACTGAGCCACCACGGCTCTGGTTATTTGACAATCTATTGAATAGAAACGTTACCTGATGGTTGTTGTGAGCGTGTTAAAACTGACGCCATGGCAACAGCTGTTGCATTGGTTAAACCTGTAAAGGGGTTTGGACCTGTCTGCTCTATCGTACGACTAACATGAACTCGTACGGCAGACTTTTGCTGTCTCTCAAAAATATTTTTTGTATCACCATGAAATATCTTGCGATAATTTAAATAATGTTCCTTCTGCGTCTGAAAATATATAAAATCTGGGTTTTATTTAAAACAAATTTTCTCTGAATCTGTAAATGGTGAAAAATTCCTTAGATGAACGGACATGGATCAAAACCTGTCACTAATGCCAGAAATTATATTTTTAATCATGTGGTGCTAACACCATCAGAGGACTAATCACCACTTGCATGCTATTCTCCCTTCTTTCCACTCCCTTATGGAAAATGGAAAACACATAATTTGACATTGAAACGGCATCATAGGTTATTTTTGTGTCTACCACTGTGTGCAGTGGACCTTGGATGAGTGACCAAGCACTGTCCTTACCATACCCTGCCCTGCACCACTGACAAGGGAAACAACACTAGAAAATCCTGGTTAACTTTCTTGGTCAACAACGGGATCGAACCCAGACCCCTGTTAAGTGAGCCATCTCCTTACACATTTAGCCACTGCGACTCCCATGAACAGAAGATGGATGAATTGAATGTTCCTTACCTTGACAGCTTCGTGTACTTGTTGTAACTGGGCAGCTAAAGCTACAAATGTCTCGTGTAATTTACGTAATAAAGCTATTAACTCTGTAATAAAAACAAACAATTTACGTAATTTAAACAAACAATTTACATAATAAAAACAAACAATTTATGTAATATAAACAAACAATTCTGTAATAAAAACATTTTATGTAATAGCATTAATTCTGTAATAAAACAAGTCATTTACTTAATATGGATATCAATTCTGTAATTTACTCTCCAGCAATCTTTCATTGAAAAAATAAACACCAAATAAGCCATTTTATGACAAAGAATGGCTACTAAAGGTTCTGATCGGCATTTGAAGGACTGTTAATACATTGGAAATTAAACTATTATGAAAGAATCTCTAAAAGGAATATTAGCCCAAAACCATGATGTTGAACAGGAAACCGACTCACAGAGACTATAAAAACGATGGCTTAGAAATGAAATGGGGTTTAAGGCCCTACTGTTCTGCTCCAGCTGGGCTAATGACGACAGGCATACGCCATACAGTGTGCTATGATGGAAATTATGCCTGGACAGCACACGCTATGGGCTACTCCAACTGAAAAGGGATCTTTTACTTGCATGCCAATGTGTGCACGGGACCTTGGTTTTTCGTATCATCCGAACGACTAGAGAGTTGTCCTTGTCAGGCCCTCCGTCCTGCACCACTTACAAGTGGAAACGACTTTCTCGGCCAACACCGGGAGCAAACCCGAGACCTCCAGACTGGCGAGCCTGCATCTTACCCACTTAGCCACTGTGGCTCCCTATAAAAACAATGGCTTAGAAGAGCAGTGTAGAGTTTGAAATTACCTGCAGGTGAATGTCTACTAGGTTGATGTAATGATGTCAGATGGTTCTCTAATATTTCTATTTGTTGTCTGTATGTTAACATTCGACTCTCAAAATCTTCAACTAAAATCTGAAAATACCTGGAAAAAAAAACCAAGATAAAAAAAACAGATGAAATATTTGGAAAATATGCTTTGGGCCTGCCACCTTATCATTAATGGGTGAGGGGTTTGGAAGCCGAATGGTTTAACAAGAGGCCTTGATTCGATTCCCACACTTGTATGTAACAAGGAGTAGGGTTGCCTGTTTGACATTGTGGGTTTTCTCTGGGTCTTTCGTTTGCCTCGAACTGCTAATGACCCCTATGCACAAGAAAGTTATTGAAATATATAGAGGATATTTGTCGTTTTGTTGTGAATAACATATTTTGTTTCATCGAGAAGCAAGAAAACTTATATTTTCACGAAGGCGTAGCATGAGTGAAAATATAAACGTTTTCTTGCTTAGAGATGAAATAAAATATGTTATTCACGACAAAACGACAAATGTTCTATTTATTTTATGATTTTACACTCATTTTAGGTAAAAACAACTAGCCAGTGGAATAACACTTTTATTTCACTGATAAAACGCGGTATTCCACTACTGATCATAAAATATAATTAAACAATACCTCTGTCTACAAATGTTTTAACTGCTAATCAAGCTGTAATCTTATCAGAATGTACGATATGATAAGAACTGTATTAATATTTCAATTTATATCCAATAAAAACTAATTCATTAGGTGCTGTATTTTCATACTGAATTATCGAAATAAAATTAAACAATATGTTAGTCCTGATATCACTCTCTACAAATGTTTTAAACTGCTGATTTATATGGAATAAAAACTAACTCATTAGGTGCTGTATTTTCATACTGCAAACCTGGTGGTGTATCTTTTGTTCTATGAGCCATCTCCGCATTCTTTAACTCCTGAAATAATACATAATTACAATCGTGTAAATCGATGTCATAGTTCTGAAAGGCGTTAAGTCTCAAAAATTGTCAGATTTAGTTTTTGAGATATGAGAGTAAAACCTATTCCAATCTTAATAACACAATTAGGATATCAACATTTTTAAAAGCAATTTTTTTGTCGAGGTTACGACCTTACAGTTCTGAAATTTTGCATAGAGAAGCCCCCCCCCCCCCCCCGATGTGATTAGTGATCCTATGTAAAAAAGCTATTTTGGCCAAAGTGGCACTTACAACCTTCCAGAACTATGGCATCGAAATATCAAATTAAATGGGGCTTAACATTCTACTATTGTGCTCCAACTGGTGTAATGAAGACAGGCATACACATTTTGCTGGGACAATGACATTATTGCGGCCTACTCTTTATTTCGAATTCGAACTGTCAAGGGTTCTTTTATGTACACACCAATATGTACACAGGACCTTGGTTTTTCGTAAGACAGCGATGCATCCTTTCCTCGGCCTACACAGGGATCGAACCCGAGACACCCTTGTTAGTGAGTCACCATAGTTACACCCCTTTAAGGAAGGAAACGTTAAATAATCTAACCTGCGTCATTTCTCGTTTAAGTTTTTCTACAGCACAGGTATTTCTCTGTAAGGTATTTGATACGACGGATAGAAGTTGTTTCAGTGCTGCCGTATCTTCCTGCACCTTTACTAACGGTTTAGATGACATCCTCGCTATACCTTCACGTACAACTTTCTCATCTTTTATATATTTACTACAAACAATAAAACATCTTTTATATATCTACTAGAAACAGAAATGAAATGGGGTTTAACATCCTACTTTTCTGCACCGACTGTATGCTATGAGGAAAAATCATATTCTCAGGCTTTAAACCACCTAATGTAGTACCGTAGTTAAATATATATATATATATATATATATAGAGAGAGAGAGAGAGAGAAATGGGGTTTAAAGTTCACTCGACACAAACCAGGTCATTAACATATGGGTTATTAGCAGTTCGAGGAAACTGGAGGACCAGGAGAAAAGCCGCAAGGTTGGACAGATGACCCACCTTGTCACATACAAGCGGTGAATCGAAACCATGCGACTTGACTCAATGACAGACCTTGTGATCCAACACACACGCGTTAACTGTTCAGCCACCCAACCCCATACTCATGATAAAGATTTTCCCTAATTTAATGGATAAAACATGACAGGTATTAACATTAATATACTTACTGAAAACTGTCGACAGACTGGTTTAACATATCAGGTATCATGGTTTCTTTTAAAGCTTTTACATCACTGTTACAAGAGAGAGAAATGTGGTTTAAGTCCACTTAACACAAACAAATTTCATTTTGGGACCAACATATGGTAATATTTTATTTCAATAATTCGCCTTGGTATAGGGTCTTTATTAGAGTGGGGTAACCTGAGCAGGACCCGTAAAAAGCCCACAATGTTAGGCAGGCAGCTTTAATCTGTCATGTACATTGTACAAGCGTTGGATTGAAACTGTGCCACATGTTTTAAAGATAGATGATCTAAAGCACCCACTGCAGACCATTCATCAACCCAGCTCTCCTCACTGTAAAGAAACAACTGTAGTCTCTGTCTACTGTGACAGCTTCTCTACTGATTAGGATGAAGAGTACTATACTATCATTATACTATGAATAACACTATACAACCCAAGTATCTCATTTTATCACCCAATAACACATTCTACAGTAGATATCGCTTGTGTGATAAATTTCATATTCTAGGAAATATCACTTTACATGACGATAAAATCAATACCAAAGAATTTATCTATTTGCGCGTGTAAGAAAGGGTTGGGTGATAATATAATCTTCTCCTCTTCTTATTTGCTACAGTGTATCCAAAAGTATCAACTGTTGTTCATAAAGAAAGAAAAAAACACAGCTTTGTTCTTTTTTATAATATCAACTTGTGTCGATATTTTGTTTTTAACTATCAAAAAAGACAAGTAGAAGATTCTCTATATACTATACCACCCAAGTAACTCATTATTCCATGAGTTTACAATATACCACCCGAGTAACTTATTATACTTTGAATGACAATATACCACCCGAGTAACTCACTAAACAATGAGTAACAATATACCACCCAAGTAACTCATTACACATATTATGACTAAGAGAACTTACCTTGATTTACCATTAGTGGTGCTACCACCTGATGCTGCTGCAGATGTTTTAGTATCGACACCACCTAATCCGATACTAGTAGTAGTAGTGCTGACATTATTAAAAATACTAGGTGCTGTACTAGTTGTTGAATTAAACAATCCACCACCTAATCCTCCAGTAGTAGCTGATGTAGCACCTAAAACATAATATATTCACTTATACAAATATAAGTACTACAGCCTTACTCTTATTTAGATTTACATCTGTCCACTCAACACAAACTAGGTCATTTCGGTACTAACAAATGATATGTAGGAGTCTTCAAAAGAGGGAGGACCTGGAGAAAACACATAAGGTTAGGTAGGCGACCCTACTTCTTGTCATGTACAAGTGTGGGATCAGAACGACGCCACTTGACTTAAACAACATACCTTATGATCTAAAGTGTCTGTGTTAAACTATTTGCCTCCCCCCTCCGCACCCACCAACCATTCATACAATTTAAATTCTACCACACATTTATGTACATCAACTTAAAAAAAATCAATATTATTGTGCAAGGTGTACAAGAAAGGAATGTTACCAGTTTTACCTAATTTGAAGCTGGAGAGACCTGTAGAAGCAGCGGATGACGCAGCAGGAAAAGATAATCCTGGGGTACCAGTTGTGGGAACAGCGAGAGATAAACCAGCTGTATTTAACGTTAATCCTGATGACAGTCCGGGTTTTGTCGCTGCAGCATTGAGAGAAAAACCTAAAACATAAACGAACATAGGTTGCTAGGCAACGAAACAAGGGATGGTAAAAATATACAGTCATGTATCAATGTTGGAAGATAAAAATATTACTTTAGCATCATCAATTTAATGATGCATTACTTTTAGAGAGAAAAAAGATGTGTAACACCCAGTCAACACAAAGGTCATTTTAATAATTTACTTGCTCATAGGAATCTTTAGCTGTGGGAGGAAACTGGAGAAAACACAAAAGGTTGTAAATTATAATTTAGACATTATAATCAAGCCCATTGAATGGCTCCAATATCAAGTTAATGCTAAAATGGGACACCAAGACTTAATTTATTACTATTTTAACAAAAACCAGTTGGTAAATAAATACACTCAGCCCCAACAGCTCCTATTTCAAGAAAAAAAAAACCAGCTGGTAAATAAAATACACTGAGCCACGACGGCTCCTAATTTAACAATAACCAATTGGTAAATAAAGTATATACTGACCTGTGGAAGCTCCGAGTGAAGGGGTTGTACCAGCTGCTGGTAAACCCAGTGAGAAACCAGTTGTTGCACCTGCAGCAGAAGTAGCAACCGTAGATGGTGTAGCTATACCAATAGTCAAGCCTGAAGTTTGTGTTTTTGCTGGCGTTACACCAAATGGTTGTATTCCAGCCGTGGGTACTGTTGACGTAGCTCCAAATGAAATTCCTGTTGATCCTAAAATAATTGACAGAAGTGTAGATAAGATTTTTAGTAGAGGGTAAAAATTCAAAAGAGGATAAAATTGGAAGCTTTCTTATCGCTCAGTGACCTTTAGGAACTATGGTACTGAATCATATTTATCATAAAAAATTGGGGGTCACGGTGGCTAAGTGGTTAAGATGCTGGCTCGCTAGCCGGGAGGTCGGGTGTTCGATCCCAGCATTGGTCGAGAAAATTCATCCAGATTTTCCGGCGAGTTACCCCCTTGTCAGCGTTGCAGGACGGAGGGCCTGACAAGTACAGCTGTCTAGTCATCCGGATGGTACGAAAAACCGAGGTCCCATGTACACATTCGCGTGCACGTAAAGATCCATTGGCAGTTGGAATTTGATATAAGAGTAGGCCGTAGTGCCGCTGTCAAGGCAACATTTCCCTCAGCACACTGTATGGTGTATACCCATCTTCTTTAGCCCAGTTCGGAGCAGAACAGTAGTACGTTAAACCCCATTTCATTTCATAAAAATTTCTTTATATAGGCTCTGGTTTGTTTTAAGATCCCATAATCATATTAATATGTATTGAATAAACAGTATTTATCACACAACACCTAAATTCATGACTTACAGAATCATATACTCAGAATCGGAAGATTAAAAGAAAAGGTAAGAATGTGTACAACTACAATGTGAAATGAAATTGAGCTTTGTGTCCCACTTCTCTTCAGTGTGCTATGAGGTAAATTTTGGTTGGACAGCAGCGTTTTGGTATATTCTTCATAGAATTCCAACTGAACGGAAAGGTTGTACCACCACTGCTCAGACAAAATTCTCATCTCTAGCAATACGCATGTATTTATCAAAGATAAAGGTATTCTCTTCTCAAAATGACAATAAGATATATTGCATTGAAATGAAATGGGGTTTAGTCCAGGGCTAATGAAGATGGGCATACACCATGTAGTTAGGGATATATTACCGGACAGTGGCACTACAGCATTATTAAGAATTCCAACTTTCAAGGGTTCTTTTTGTGCACAGCAATGAGTACACAGGACCTCGATTTTTCGTACTATATGAATGACTATACAGTGTTCCTTGCCAGGCCCTCTGTCTTAAATGACTGACACAGGGGAACTTTTTCAACCAACGCAAGGATCGAACATGCTACCTGCTGGTAAGCAATTCAACATCTTCCTAACTTAGTCACTGTGACTTCTGTATTGTATTGATGAGATGTTAAAGAGGGCCTGTAATGTTAGATTCAAGGGAATTTGAACTATATACCAAAGGATATTTGTATTACCTGCAGTTGTTGTGGCCGCTGGTGTTGCTGCAGTGCCAAAATTAAATCTGAAGAACAAAAATAAAATTGATACCTTTGTATTAAAATAATACAACATTGTCTGGAAAAGCAAAGCTATGAGAACGATACAGGAAACAAATAGGTACACCCAGAATGATTAAGTATAAAAATGGACTCTCTGGAACATGGCCACACAGATTGCATTCTATTCAAGGGGTGAAAAATGCACCCATCTCTATACAGCTATCGAGTAAGCCAAATGCAATTAAAATTATCAAGCCTTCTTTAACCATTACACTGTGGTGTCGATCACATGTGCCTTGTCGGACATAGTAATTTAATACAAACTGGTCCGTGTAGAATTGGTGTCTTTAACTCATTCACATACTATTTAAGTACCCATGTTACTAGCCTATACCGGTAACTTCAAAAATAATTTCTTTTTTAGAATTTCGTTTTCAAAAGTACCGGTATAAATAAAAGTTAAGTAGCTAAGTCTCTACTCAATACTGTCCAAAGTCTTCAACATTGAAAACACAAACTAAGATGGTCTTCTGATATCCAATATTTAAGGCAAAATAAACATTTTACCATTGGTACACGAATCTTACCATAATGCGTTTCAGCCGCTTTTTGTAACAAGGGACTCGAAAGAACGAGGCTAGACATATTCCACAAGTCATGTCTAACAGTGATGCCATTTTCTGATCTGGAGAGCATGCGCAATAAATACTATCGGTGTAGACTGGAATAACCAGACGCTAGAGATTTCCATTCGATTGAGACTTCTGGTGTATTTCTCCAATTAGAAATTCCAGTAAAAACAGTTTTAAACTATTCAAATATACCTTCATATTCCATTATTATATGCGTGGCGATCCATTTGTGTCAATTCCTACGTCTTAAATATCAGCGATTTAGCTCCTTTCATATATTATTATATAAATGAATTAAATAATATATCGAGAGCTAACTTTAACTTGCCCCGATGTCATCCCTATCAGTGATATGGACAATTACTGCTGATCATTTGGGGAATTCATGACTGTAACCAAGTCAGAAGTATAAACCATACATCTCTGGTCTATTATGCTATGGCATAATAAACTCAGATGTAGATACCATTGATTGAGTGATTCTGAAGTGTTTAGCCTATGCCTATTATATTGGGCTTTTTTATTGACTTGCCAAATCGATTTGAATTTAGTGGAGATGTCATGTGACAGTAAGCTTATAGTCGATTTCAAAGTACTTTGGTGGGTTTGTTAAATGCTCCGATTAGCTGTAAACAATTGTTGTGGCTGGACACAGTTGGAAAAAACATGTGATCACCCGATCAAATCGTACCTTGAAGTGATTTGGCGATTTGATGTAATCGCTTTGGAAATCAGTGTCGATAAATTCGTTGATTAGGGTAACCAATTTGAATTAGATGGACGTTAAAGATGAAAATTTGATTGAATGCAAATCACTTTGGCTAATCAGTGGTCGATAAAAACGCCTGTTATTAGGCGTTTTTATCAACGAATTTATCGACACAGATTTCCGAAGCGATTACATCAAATCGCCAAATCACTTTAGGGTGTGATTTCACGATTTGATCGGGTGATCACAGGTTTTTTTCAACTGTGTCCAGCCACAACAATTGTTCACAGCTAATCGGAGCATTTAACGAACTCGCCAAAGTACTTTGAAATCGACTATACTGTCACATGACATCTCCACTAAATTCAAATCGATTTGGCAAGTCTATAAAAAAAAAGCCTATTATTATAGCCTATTAGGATAGGCAGGACTGAACAAAGTTATAAACCAGAAGTAGGGGTTTCAGGTCATGTGACTTTAGCGTGAAATCGGACAGCCAACGGCTGAAATATAGCCCACTTCAATCTACGATTCTGAATTACTATTTTATGTAAATGCATTACTAGCAATTGTATTGCAATAGTTTAATATCAATCTCAATATCTGCAAAGATTCAGGCTAAAAAATTATCGAAATGTAAGCGAAATTACCGTTTGTTTACATGAGACGCTCGCGGGAAAATACTGCTCTGACGTCACGCGGCCTGAGATTTTTATTGCTACGACTCACTTCATTGGTGAATCCGCACCTTAGTTTATAGTTACCGGGGGATTTTGATATAGAACCAATCAAACGATAGATAACATTTTTGTGGTTATTATGGTTGTTGATACCACGTGATCGGACAAGTAGACCCGTAGAAAATGGGATTTATCTGTTTTGATGACTGAAAATTGCCAAATTTCGACTAAATATAAAAAAACTTTCTTGAGGTATCATCCAGATTATAAATATTTGACATATTATCATTCAAATTATTACGATTTTAATAAATTTTAGCTGACAATAACGTGCAGATTTCAGTTTTAAAATTGGTACTAGCGATTCTGAAGGGAAAATACCGCTTATGACGTCACTCAAATATGACTGAAAAGCACTTATTTTGGTGCCATGCCACGCATTGACTGGTATAGAGCATTTTGATTACATTATTGACGTCGATATCGGATTTTAAAATTCCATAACTTTGGATCTAATTAGAATATTTTGATGAAATAAAAAAAATTGGGTAGCATTTTATGTATATTTTCACAAAATATTTTTAAAAAATTTTTTTCTGTCATTTGAAACTTATTTGACCTGAAACCCCTACCAGTGAGAAGTGTCAAGTCCCCAGATTATTTAGCCCTACACCCCCTATTTACATACATGACTGCTACATAATGTAAACGAAGGAAATGACATCGGTCTGAAAAATTGTTTATTAAAAAGATATTTGATGATATACCCTCCAGTTCCTGCTGATGCAGTGTTTCCAAAGGAAAAACCACCTCCACTCGCCATTTCTACTTTCTACCGCTTTTAACGGTTCAAGGTCGAGGTCGTGCAAAACGATATATAAATTTGATGTCCTTACAAACATTATTCCGAAGCGATAAAATAAATATAATATGTCTTATAGATGCAAACTCTATTAACGAGCCAGAATACGTCGATAAAAATTTCGTTTAAAATAGAAATAGCATTGAAACTGACTTCATAGATAAATACAATTTTCCTGTAGTTCATTTCGTTTAGTTTGATTTTATTTTTAATTAGTGAATTTGTATCGAACCAGCACCAGCTATAGCTGGGATTAACCAGTTCTGCTTATGATAAAAATGAGTCGACCCTAAGTCCAAAACAAATAGTCAGTCGAATAAACCGGTCGATGGCTTATTAAAATTTTGGAATCGTTTGTAATCTGTATAAGTTAAAGAAAAAACGCACTAATTCCAATATCTTTTATCATTGTTTTTGTTTATTTTTTACGTCCCCTCATGTTCAAATTTGATTGTTCAAATTAAAACTTTAAGGTGTTATCTTAGTTATTGCCACCGCGGCTTAATAAAGTCATGCTTGACTTTTTCCCTCATCCCCATATGCCCCCATCTTTTAAGTGCACGCCAATGTGTACACGGGACCTCGGTTTTTCGTCCCATCCGAACGACTAGACATCTGTCCTTGTCCACCTCCAAAAGAATAGAGTCCCTATATATGATATGTTGGGTTAGGGGGGCGATGGGGATGAGGTATTTGACATTATCATGTGGCCTCGTCCAGTCGATAAAATCAGTCAGTTAGTTCAGTCGAATAATCCAGTCGAATAAACCAGTCGAATAATTCAGTCGAAAAGTTCAGTCGAATAAACCAGTCGAATAGTTCAGTCGAATAATTCAGTCGAATAAACAAGTCGCTCAATATTAAGCAGCGGTGGCAGTGGGCTAAGATGATATGGTAGCAAATCATGCTCTTAGACATAGCTGAAGGAGCCGGGGCATGGGGTAGAGACCGGGGGGCTTCCCAACTAGTTTCAAGAAATGAAAAGAAATGAAATGGGGTTTTAACGTCCTACTGTTCTGCTTGGAACTGGGCTAATGAAGACGGGCATACGCCATACACTGTGCGATGAGGGAAATTTTGCCCGGACAGCGGCACTACGGCCTACTCTTATATCGAATTCCATCTGTCAAGGGATCTTTTACGACCACGTCAATGTGGACACGGGACCTCGGTTTTTCGTCCCATCCGAACGACTAGACAGCTGTCCTTGTCCGCCTCGAAAAGAATAGAGTCCCTATATATGATATGAACGAAGAAAGGGGATGGGGTGGGGCGGGGGTGGGGGGGATGAGGTATTTGACATTTTCATGTGGCCTCGTCCAGTCGATAAAACCAGTCAGTTAGTTCAGTCAAATAATCCAGTCGAATAAACCAGTCGAATAATTCAGTCGAAAAGTTCAGTCGAATAAACCAGTCGAATAGTTCAGTCGAATAACTCAGTCGAATAATCCAGTCGAATAATTCAGTCGAATAAACAAGTCGCTCAATATTAAGCAGCGGTGGCAGCGGGCTAAGATAATATAGTAGCAAATCATGCTCGTAGCCATAGCTGAAGGAGCCGGGGGCATGGGGTAGGGACCGGGGGGCTTTCCAACTAGTTTCAAGAAATGAAAAGAAATGAAATGAGGTTTTAACGTCCTACTGTTCTGCTTGGAACTGGGCTAATGAAGACGGGCAGACGCCATACACTGTGCGATGAGGGAAATTTTGCCCGGACAGCGGCACTACGGCCTACTCTTATATCGAATTCCATCTGTCAAAGGGATCTTTTACATCCACTCCAATGTATACACGGGACCTTGGTTTTTCGTCCCATCCGAAAGACTAGACAGCTGTCCTTGTCCGCCTCGAAAAGAATAGAGTCCCTATATATGATATAAACGAAGAAAGGGGATGGGGTGGGGCGGGGGTGGGGGGGGGATGAGGTATTTGATATTTTCATGTGGCCTCGTCCAGTCGATAAAACCAGTCAGTTAGTTCAGTCGAATAATCCAGTCGAATAAACCAGTCGAAAAGTTCAGTCGAATAAACCAGTCGAATAGTTCAGTCGAATAATTCAGTCGAATAAACAAGTCGCTCAATATTAAGCAGCGGTGGCAGCGGGCTAAGATAATATAGTAGCAAATTATGCTCGTAGCCATAGCTGAAGGAGCCGGGGGCATGGGGTAGGGACCGGGGGGCTTCCCAACTAGTTTCAAGAAATGAAAAGAAATGAAATGGGGTTTAACGTCCTTCTGTTCTGCTTGGAACTGGGCTAATGAAGACGGGCAGACGCCATACACTGTGCGATGAGGGAAATTTTGCCCGGACAGCGGCACTACGGCCTACTCTTATATCGAATTCCATCTGTCAAAGGGATCTTTTACGTCCACTCCAATGTATACACGGGACCTCGGTTTTTCGTCCCATCCGAACGACTAGACAGCTGTCCTTGTCCGCCTCGAAAAGAATAGAGTCCCTATATATGATATGAACGAAGAAAGGGGATGGGGTGGGGCGGGGGGGGGATGAGGTATTTGACATTTTCATGTGGCCTCGTCCAGTCGATAAAATCAGTCAGTTAGTTCAGTCGAATAATCCAGTCGAATAAACCAGTCGAAAAGTTCAGTCGAATAAACCAGTCGAATAGTTCAGTCGAATACTTCAGTCGAATAATTCAGTCGAATAAACAAGTCGCTCAATATTAAGCAGCGGTGGCAGTGGGCTAAGATGATATGGTAGCAAATCATGCTCTTAGACATAGCTGAAGGAGCCGGGGCATGGGGTAGAGACCGGGGGGCTTCCCAATTAGTTTCAAGAAATGAAAAGAAATGAAATGGGGTTTTAACGTCCTACTGTTCTGCTTGGAACTGGGCTAATGAAGACGGGCATACGCCATACACTGTGCGATGAGGGAAATTTTGCCCGGACAGCGGCACTACGGCGTACTCTTATATCGAATTCCATCTGTCAAGGGATCTTTAACGTCCACGCCAATGTGCACACGGGACCTCGGTTTTTCGTCCCATCCGAACGACTAGACAGCTGTCCTTGTCCGCCTCGAAAAGAATAGAGTCCCTATATATGATATGAACTAAGAAAGGGGATGGGGTGGGGCGGGGGTGGGGGGGACGAGGTATTTGACATTTTCATGTGGCCTCGTCCAGTCGATAAAATCAGTCAGTTAGTTCAGTCGAATAATCCAGTCGAATAAACCAGTCGAATAATTCAGTCGAAAAGTTCAGTCGAATAAACCAGTCGAATAGTTCAGTCGAATAATTCAGTCGAATAAACAAGTCGCTCAATATTAAGCAGCGGTGGCAGTGGGCTAAGATGATATGGTAGCAAATCATGCTCTTAAACATAGCTGAAGGAGCCGGGGCATGGGGTAGAGACCGGGGGGCTTCCCAATTAGTTTCAAGAAATGAAAAGAAATGAAATGGGGTTTTAACGTCCTACTGTTCTGCTTGGAACTGGGCTAATGAAGACGGGCATACGCCATACACTGTGCGATGAGGGAAATTTTGCCCGGACAGCGGCACTACGGCCTACTCTTATATCGAATTCCATCTGTCAAGGGATCTTTTACGACCACGTCAATGTGGACACGGGACCTCGGTTTTTCGTCCCATCCGAACGACTAGACAGCTGTCCTTGTCCGCCTCGAAAAGAATATAGTCCCTATATATGATATGAACGAAGAAAGGGGATGGGGTGGGGCGGGGGTGGGGGGGATGAGGTATTTGACATTGTCATGTGGCCTCGTCCAGTCGATAAAACCAGTCAGTTAGTTCAGTCGAATAATCCAGTCGAATAAACCAGTCGAATAATTCAGTCGAAAAGTTCAGTCGAATAAACCAGTCGAATAGTTCAGTCGAATAATTCAGTCGAATAATCCAGTCGAATAATTCAGTCCAATAAACAAGTCGCTCAATATTAAGCAGAGGTGGCAGTGGGCTAAGATGATATGGTAGCAAATCATGCTCTTAGACATAGCTGAAGGAGCCGGGGCATGGGGTAGAGACCGGGGGGCTTCCCAACTAGTTTCAAGAAATGAAAAGAAATGAAATGGGGTTTTAACGTCCTACTGTTCTGCTTGGAACTGGGCTAATGAAGACGGGCATACGCCATACACTGTGCGATGAGGGAAATTTTGCCCGGACAGCGGCACTACGGCCTACTCTTATATCGAATTCCATCTGTCAAAGGGATCTTTTACGTCCACTCCAATGTAGACACGGGACCTCGGTTTTTCGTCCCATCCGAAAGACTAGACAGCTGTCCTTGTCCGCCTCGAAAAGAATAGAGTCCCTATATATGATATGAACGAAGAAAGGGGATGGGGTGGGGCGGGGGAGGGGGATGAGGTATTTGACATTGTCATGTGGCCTCGTCCAGTCGATAAAACCAGTCAGTTAGTTCAGTCGAATAATCCAGTCGAATAAACCAGTCGAATAATTCAGTCGAAAAGTTCAGTCGAATAAACCAGTCGAATACTTCAGTCGAATAGTTCAGTCGAATAATTCAGTCGAATAAACAAGTCGCTCAATATTAAGCAGCGGGCTAAGATAATATGGTAGCAAATCATGCTCGTAGACATAGCTGAAGGAGCCGGGGCATGGGGTAGGGACCGGGGGGCTTTCCAACTAGTTTCAAGAAATGAAAAGAAATGAAATGGGTTTTTAACGTCCTACTGTTCTGCTTGGAACTGGGCTAATGAAGACGGGCATACGCCATACACTGTGCGATGAGGGAAATTTTGCCCGGACAGCGGCACTACGGCGTACTCTTATATCGAATTCCATCTGTCAAAGGGATCTTTTACGTCCACGCCAATGTATACACGGGACCTCGGTTTTTCGTCCCATCCGAAAGACTAGACAGCTGTCCTTGTCCGCCTCGAAAAGAATAGAGTCCCTATATATGATATAAACGAAGAAAGGGGATGGCGTGGTGCGGGGGGTGGGGGTGGATGAGGTATTTGACATTCTCATGTGGCCTCGTCCAGTCGATAAAACCAGTC